GTTTCAGTAGAAATAATTACTATGAAAGGAAGATGATTTGTGTCATGACTATCAAGATGAAGAACAGTTTCAGCAATCTTTCAGAGTAATATAGGTTTTAAGACTTCAAATAATATTCAACCTCAATTTTCCTATTTGATTTAGTTCAGTAGATGAAGTTGCAGACCTGAAAAGGCATTTTCTCTACCTCTCCATTACTTTCAGAGATTAGAAGATTCGCCAAAAGCTGGAGCGACACATGAAGATGATGCGCTGCAGTCTGTGAGTGATCATCGATCTGGTGAAGGTGGGAACCCATCTTCTTTGAAGTTACCATTGAACCCAGTGAAGCTCCAGCGCCAGGTGAACTGTCAATAGCTTCTGCTTGTATCCACTGTATTTGTTTTTCTTAGTTTATTTAGGTTATGATCGTTCTGAGCTCTTCAGGTAAGGCGAAACGAGAGGAGGGAATACCGAACTTCAGTGCTAATTCGACAAGGTGAAGGAGCTGCTGAGAACCAGACACAAGCAGCTGCATTTATATGGTATAAAAGCTTGGACACCTCTGTCAAGGGAAAGTACAGTATATGGAGGAGAGATTTTGACAGTCCAAATTCTGATTCTACGCTGAAACTCATGCGGGACCAGACTATAATGGCCAAAGCATATGCAAATATTGCCAAATCAAATAATGTAACTACGCTTTACAATGCTCTTATGAAACAGTTGAGAGAAAGCCGGCATGCTATTGGAGAAGCAACATCTGATGCTGAACTTCACTCAAGGTATGTCCTTTCTGTTGTCTGTTGCTTTCTTTATGGGGCATATGTTTTGATTCTTGGTTTTCATGGATGGATATTTCTGTTATGCCTCTCCAGTGCACTTGTTCATGCAAAAGAAATGGGGCGTGTTCTGTCTATAGCAAAGGATCAACTATACGAATGTCCTACAATGTCAAGGAAGTTAAGGGCCATGCTTCAGTTAACTGAAGAGAACGTAAATGCTTTGAAGAAAAAAGTGCATTCTTGATTCAGCTAGCAGCAAAAACAATCCCAATACCGTTACACTGTCTTCCTTTGCAGCTTGCAGCTGACTATTTCCTATATGGTCATCAAAACAAGGAGTATTTCGACAAAAGAAAGGTTGAAGATCCATCTCTGTTCCACTATGCCATCTTTTCTGATAACGTACTCGCCGCATCTGTGGTTGTCAATTCAACTGTGCAGCATGCAAAAGATCCAGAGAAACATGTTTTCCATATAGTCACAGATAAATTGAACTTTGCTGCAATGAAAATGTGGTTTATTGTCAATCCTCCAGCAGAAGCAACAGTGCAAGTTGAAAATATTGATGATTTTAAGTGGTTGAATGCCTCTTACTGTTCTGTTTTACGTCAACTTGAATCTGCCAGGATTAAAGAATACTATTTCAAGTCAAATCATCCTTCCTCTCTCGCTTCTGGTGCTGACAACCTCAAATATAGGAATCCAAAATATTTGTCTATGCTGAATCACCTTCGATTCTATCTTCCTGAAGTTTATCCAAAACTGGACAAGATCCTTTTCTTGGATGATGACATTGTAGTTCAGAAAGATTTGACACCACTTTGGTCCGTTGATCTACAAGGGATGGTGAATGGTGCAGTGGAGACATGTAAGGAGAGCTTTCATAGGTTTGACAAGTATCTAAACTTCTCAAATCCTAAGATTTACAACAACTTTGATCCAAATGCTTGCGGTTGGGCATTTGGCATGAACATGTTTGACTTGAAGCAGTGGAAAAGGTGGAATATCACTGGCATATATCATCGATGGCAAGATCTGGTAAAAGTTTCAATCTCCTCCTCCGAAGTTTTTTCCACCTTAAAAACTGTTTTTTTCTTATGTACGTTTTATGTCAGATATCTTTTGGATTATATCCTGAATTATTACTCAGTCGTGAACTGGCTGTATATGAATATAGTCGTGACATGGGGGGAAGAAACTAAAATCTTGAGATATTTATTTGGATTATTTTTGGCCAAAAATACCCATGTATCTGTTATTGGAAGTGAAGAAACCAGTTTTTAAGGTAGCTGGTTTAATCATGCTTTATGAGAGAGCTTGAATGGTGTCATGAATGGGAGATGTAGATGCTAATATGCTATGGTTTTTTCACCCCCTCAAATGGTTTAATCATGCGAATGTTGGAGTGGCCGAGTTTATCCTTTTTTATCTTTAGGGGGTGGATGAATGCTTAAAGAGTGATTTTGTCAAACTGGTTTCTCAAACTGGTTTCTCATCTGCTATATAATACAATCATGCATTGCTATTTTTATATGCTGGGGGAAAAAAAAAACAACTGTATATTCATAACCTTTTTAATCTTTTAATCTGAGTTTTATTACACTCTATAGTTACTCCTTTTTATAAATGATTGGTAAAATTGTTTTGCAGAATGAGGATAGAACTCTTTGGAAATTGGGGACATTGCCACCGGGACTGATAACCTTCTATAACCTAACCTATCCACTGGACCGAAGTTGGCATGTCTTGGGACTTGGTTATGACCCGGCTCTTAACCAAACTGAGATAGAAAATGGAGCTGTAGTTCACTACAATGGGAATTACAAGCCATGGCTGGATTTGGCTGTTGCCAAGTACAAGTCTTACTGGTCTAAATATGTACAGTTTGATAACCCTTATCTTCAACACTGCAACATTATCGAAGAATGATTTTTTGAACCCATGTTCTCTTTCTTGTCGTAGTCTTTAAAGAAAGCAAATCACAGTGCCTTGTAGCTCAACAACTTTTTGTTTTTCCACCAAGAAACTTGCTCAGATAGATTTTCCATATTTTCATGGTTTTTCTTTTTTTTTTTTTTTTTTTTTTTTTGTAACAAACAGTATCTCGTTTTGTTATTGAACTATAGCAAATCAATGCAAGCCCGGAGCAACTCATATTATTAGGCTCCATTCATTATCTTTGACAATTTCCTCCATCGCTTTCTGTCTTGAAGGTTTCTGGGTGCGTCGAATTGGCGTTAATAGCTTCACCCTCGTAGCCATGGTTTTTAATCGAAATCTTATATTTAATTGATTATTCTTTATATTTTTCAGAACTTTTCAACACAAAAAACATGATTTATTATTGTGTATGCATTGATTTTTAAATAAGTTTTAAATAAGAACCTGTGGCAATCTAGATAGAGAATAGAATTCATAATTGGAAAAAAAAAAAAAAACCTTAATATTTTTTCCATAAGTTTGTATAAAAAAGATGTTTAAAAATATTATCTTAATTATTTATTCACAAACAACTAAATTTAAATGATCCAAAATAAAAAAAATAATTATAAATAGTTGTTATATGTGTGTAGATGCATAGTTAATTTTTAATAAAATCAATGATCTAATTTTTTTTTAATATATACATCACGATTATATTTAATAGGTTTAGAGTGTATATATATAGTTAGTGTGTGTGTGTCATAAGAATTTATCATTAAATTATATTAATGTAAAAATAATAATTACATTTCAAAATTTTATTAAAAATCCATAAATAGAAAAAAATGAATCATATTTTTTAACAAATAAAATTAACTAAAAAATAAATTAAGAAATGAATTGGATGTTTTTATAAAAAAGAAAAAACGAAAAATCAAAGAAATTATTTTAAAATTTGAAAGTAAAAAAATACAAAAATAACAAATGGGAGAAATCATATTTCTTCATCGCCAGAATGCATGAAAAAAAATTATTATTTTTTATTATAAATTTAGCACAAAATTAATAATGAAAAACAATAAAAAATTGCTGAAAAAAAAAACTATCCCAGGCTGGGCTGGCCACATTTGTGTATACATATAAAGAGCACATAGTCTGTGAATTTGAGTTCACTGGAAAAATAGATTTTTGGATTTTTTTGGCTGCAAAACTCAACACGTTCATTTTTTTTTCTAAAATACTTTAAAAACACAAAAATGAGGTCAAGAAATACGTTTGGAATCTTAAAATTAATTATAATGCATATATAATATTTCGAAATCTCAATTTAGCTTCTCCGATCATTATATGTATTAAAACCACAATAAACAGACTCAACTCTCTAAGATAAATAAATTAAATAAAAATATTATCGATCAAACTGATCAAAATAAGTTTGATCGACACTCTCTCTTTCTCCTTTTGGCTTCTCTCTCTTCGTTTCTTTCTCCTTTCTATGTTTAGGGATCAAAATGTGTCATAAATAAACTTATGGATCAAAATAAAAATTCTAAAAACCTTAGAGATCAAAGTATAAAATATTGTATAATTAGCATATAATTGTCAGAAAAAAGGTGAAAATCACAAATCTTTAATTTTTTTTTGTAATAAAAATTTTGGAAACATTAAGGACCAAACTATAAAATTTTGTATAATTCGCATATAATTGTACGAAAAAAAAGGCAAAAATCACAAAAAATCATATTTGAGTCTATAGTGCTAGCGAGTTTGCTGCTACAGTAATTGTACAATGAAACCCTCTAAAATTTTGTTTTTTAATAACATTTTTGGAAACGTAAGGTATTGAGTAAAAACTTTCTTATAATTCACATATAATTATCTTTAAAAAAGAGTTTAGTTCAAGTTGCCATTGAGTCTATAGGTACAGTATACTGAAAAAATTATAAATTAATCCGAGAAACAAATTAATTAGTTTTTTTAGTTTCAAAAACTAATTATACAATCTTTTTAATAAGAATGGATCAAGATTAATTTAATATTTTTATTCTATACAATTTTTTCTCTTAAATCTTTTTCATATTTTTACCTATATTATATTCTTTTTTATTTCTTAAAAAAAATCAAAATAAGTTGAAAAATAGCAAAAAAGGATTACATAATTATTGTTTGAAAATAAAGGGACTAAATAATTCGTTTCTCCAAGTGAGAAGGACTAATTTATAATATACCCGTGGAAATCTCCGAGTCTTTTTTTTTTTTTTCGGTAATTGTAATGCCCCTGAAGGGTCTTTGGCCAGTATTTGTTTCTAAGCAATGCGTTTCTCAGCTATAGTCTCAGGTTCAAAAATCCCTAATTGGATTCTGAGAATCAAAGAATCGGCAACTAATGGAAAATGGCTAGAAGTCATTTCCCACTACGGCGAAATGAGAAAAGCAGGATTTCAAACTGTAGATGTTTCAGTTTTTCCTCCCATTCTCGAAGCTTGGTCATTTCTGTCTCACAGGCATGGAAAATCCCTTCATGCTTGTTTGATCAAGCAAGGATTTGACTCATTCACTTCCATTGGGCATTCCATCATGGGATTTTACATTAGATGTGGGGACCTGGACATTGCTGTGGATGTTTTTAATTACATGGTAAGAAACAGAGACTCAGTTTCTTGGAATATTTTGATCCGTGGGCACCTTGATAATGGTGCCTTAGTGGAAGGGTTGTGGTGGTTTACTAATGCTAGGGTTACTGGGTTTGAACCCAATACCTCCACATTGGTGCTTGTAATTCAGGCATGTCGCAGTCTTAGAAATAAGCATGATGGGCTGAAACTACATGGTTATGTAATCAAGAGTGGCTTTTGGACTATTTCTTCAGTTCAAAATTCTCTGCTGAGCTTGTATGCTGATGCTGACATGGAGTTTGCAAGAGAGCTGTTTGATGAAATGCATGAGAAAGATGTTATTTCTTGGAGTGTAATGATCGGTGGGTATTTGCAGTGGGAGGACCCTCAGCTTGCCTTGCTAATGTTTAGGGAGATGGTATCGGTGCTTGGGCTTGAACCAGATGGAGTGGTTGTGGTCACTGTTCTTAAAGCCTGTGCTAGTTCAAGAGACCTTTGTGCCGGGAGATTGGTGCATGGGTTGGTGATTCATAGAGGTTTCAATTGCGATTTGTTTGTTGAGAACTCTCTGATTGATATGTATTCGAAGTGTAACGATTCTGGTTCTGCTTTTAAGGTTTTCAATGAGATGTCTCGCAGGAACAACGTTTCGTGGAATTCTATGCTATCCGGATTTGTTCTCAATGAAAACTATTTAGAGGCTCTATCATTGATTTCTTCAATGAAGAAAGAAGGAGTTGAGGCAGATGGAGTAACTCTAGTGAATATTCTTCAAATATGCAAGTATTTTGTGCTCCCATTTCACTGCAAGTCGGTCCATTGCGTGATAATCCGTAAGGGCATTGAAGCAAATGAGTTGTTGCTAAGTATGCTGATCCATGCTTATGCAAAGTGCAATCTTGTTGAACTTGCATGGGAAGTTTTTGTCAGGATGAAGAGGAGAGATGTCGTTTCATGGAGCACAATGATTGCTGGGTTTGCACATTGCGGCAAGCCTGATGAAGCTATAGCTGTCTACCAGGAGATGAACAAAGAACTTGAGAAGCCTAATTCCATTACCATTGTAAATCTTCTTGAGGCATGTTCTGTTTCAGCTGAACTAAAGAGGTCAAAGTGGGCACATGGAATTGCAATTAGACGAGGCTTTGCATCAGAGGTGATAGTCGGAACTGCGATCGTTGATATGTACTCGAAATGTGGAGAAATTGACGCCTCGAGAAAGGCCTTCGACCAAATCCCATCTAAAAATATAGTAACTTGGAGTGCCATGATTGCTGCATATGGTATGAATGGTCTTGCACACGAAGCCTTGGCTTTGTTTGCTGAAATGAAGCAGCATGGGCTCAAGCCAATCCCTGTGACCACTCTCTCATTACTCGCTGCCTGTAGTCATGGTGGATTAGTCGAAGAAGGGCTCTCCCTTTTCATATCAATGGTTCAGGAACACGGGTTCGAGCCTGGGTTCGAACACTACTCATGCCTGGTTGACATGCTAGGGCGAGCAGGAAAGCTTGACGCTGCAACGGAAGTCATCAAGATGATGCCTGATAACTTAAAGCATGGCGGTGCAAGCATTTGGGGATCACTTTTGAGCGCCTGTAGAAGCTACGGTCAGACCGAGCTCTGCAAAGAAGCCATCTCCCGTGTTCTTGAGTTGGAACCTTTGAACTCAGCAGGCTATTTGGTAGCATCAAGAATGTATGCATCAGATGGTTTGTGGGAAGATGCAGCTAGGATGAGAGTATTAGCGAAGGAGAAAGGAGTGAAGGTTTTTGCTGGATACAGCTTAGTACACATTGATGACAAGGCGTGTAGATTCGTTGCTGGAGACGAATCTCATCCACAAATAGATGAGATTCACTCAGTTGGTCAGCAGCTCCATGATTGTTTTAAGATTGATGAAAAAAGAAATATATGTCAGCTATTGAATGCTAACCCAACTCACCAAGTAGTAGTAGACTCATAGTTTTAAATCAATAAATCACTAATATGGTCGTAAAAACGATCGAAATTGCAATCATGGACCGTAATAATAAAATAATAGTTGCTCAATATTAATTTATTAATAGATATTAATAAATTTGTTTTAATTTATATATTTTTAATAGTTTTATTAATTAAGCATAATAATACTATTTTTACTAGTTTAATCATTTGATCGTATGGAAACTTATATTATACCACTAGGAGTTGAAAAAATAGTGACATTTCACTTGTATCAAAAGCAATATAACATTATTCATGAATTAACAGCAATAGATTTTACCATTATATAATATTGTTATTGTTCTTATTTAAATGAAATAACATAACACTATATAATAGAAACAAATCTGTCCAAATCCCTTGAATAAAAGCTATTATATTATTTAACAATTATATTTTGAAAGAGTTAAATATATCCTGTGTTCTTGCACTATGCTGAAAATATTATTGCAACACTTCTATTTAAATATAATTCATAACAAATCTAGTATGATTAGACTTTGGTGTAAAGCAACTCTTATGTTAAATTGATCAATTTCTATTAATTGACTAATGACTGATCGATCAAGTGGTAGCATGTGCCAACTTAAAGGTAATAACATAATTTTCTTGTAAATCTTTTTTTAATTTTTTCTAAAGTTAAAAAAAATTAATAATTATTATAAAATCATTAAACATTGAAAAAATTTCTAAAGAAAATAAAAAAATTGAATTTTTTTTTTGTTTTTCAAATTTTTTATTGAAATTATTAATAATTATTAAAAAATCATCAAAATTTTCTTTATATATATAATAATAGTTATTATAAAATTGATAAAAATAATTATGTATTAATAATTATTATAAAAAATAAAAAAATTTAAAAAATTCTTTATATATATTTTTAAATAATTATTATAAAATCATTAAAATAGAAAAAAATGAATATTTTAAAAATTTTCTTTAGATTTTTTTTTCAATTTCTAATGATCTTATAATGAATATTAATTATTTTAGCATTATTTTTTTTAAAAAAAAAAACTTATTTGAGAAGAAAATTACTTATAAGTTGACTTATGCTATCACTTGATTAGTCAATCGTTAATCAATTAACAAAAATTAATCAATCTAATAAAAAAATTAACAAAAAGGCTATTTTGCATCAATATCGAATAATACAAAATTTATTATAAATTATATTTAAGTAGAAGAGTTATAACGATATTTTTTATCTAGTACGTAGACATGACTTGCTTGAAAGTTTGAATTACTTGAAATATAGTAAGTTTATAAGAAATGGTTAAACAAACGAGTTGCCTAAGTAGCATAGATTAGATGCAAATAATTTGATATTTTGAACTTCACATATGGACTTTTAATCTGGATTTTCGCTTAATAATTTGATAGTAAGTATTAATCAAGGCAGATTACATTTTAAGGTTCACTAATTATTAATTAGTCCCTGTAGAGTAGAGGCAGACACAAAATTATGGATCGGGCTGGGTAAAAGTTGGGCCAAACTGGGATGGGCTTAAGAACATCGTCAGCTGAGCTGCGTGTCAGTCAGGGAGTGAGTCCTCAGTCATCGGTGTCCTCTCCTCTGACAGAAAGCTTAGTAATTAATTAACTGAGTAAAGTATAAATTAGTCCCTCTTATTTAGAGAAACAAACTAATTAGTTCCTTTCTTCTAAATGTTAATAATTTAGTCTTTTATATTTTAATTTCGCCAATCATTTATTTCTTTTTCAGTTTTCTGTTAAATTATTGAATTTTATTTTCAAATCACTCTTTTCTTGATTTTAAGTTGAAAAGAGAGGAAAGAGTAGGTGAAAGAGAAAGATAAAGCATAAAAAAGAGTAATTTGAAAAAAAAATTCATTAATTTAACGAAAAACTGATAAAATGACAAAATTATTAATACATTAAAATATAAAAAACTAACTAATTAATTTTTTTTTAAAAGATATTAATTAATTCATTTCTCGAAATAAGAGGGACTAATTTATAATTTATTCAACAACTTAGTAATTAATTAACTGCAAACGCAAGGAAAAAAAAAAAGGAACAACGTGCCGTGCCTTTGGGATATGCTTGCTTTCTCCTTCCTATTTATTTCTATCACCATCCTCTTTCCTACTCTCTCTCTCTCTCTAGTCAACTCTACAGACGCAACAACCAAAGCGAGAAAACAAGAAACCAAGCTTAACCTTATTTGCTTAACAATAGAAAACAACAAGAAATGGCGACGTTCATTCTTTTTCTTTTTTTTCTTCTTTGATTTCTGGTCTCACTTACGGGTAAATAACCGTTCATCACCATCTTCTTTTGTATTTCAATTTTTTTTGAATTTCTGATCATCTTTTTTAGTTGGTTTTGCTGCTAAATTAACACGATTAGCAAGTAATTAAGAAGTTGTGATTTGTTGGGCAGTGCGAAGCATGAGAAAGAATACTGCGCGATGTATGATATTTGTGGAGAACGCAGTGATGGAAAAGTTCTTAATTGCCCATTCCCTACCCCTTCTGTCAAGGTTAAAGCTTTAGAAGTATTTAAAGAAATAAAATTGTGGGATATTAATTAATTAATTAATTATGGGTTTGATGCGTGCAGCCTGATGACCATTTCTCTGCTAAAATTCAAAGCTTGTGTCCGACAATTAGTGGAAATGTTTGTTGTACTGAGACACAATTTGATACTTTGCGAGCTCAGGTTCAACAAGTAAGACTCCCCTCTTCCTCTCAAGATTATTACATTATAGGAAGCTGTTCTTTTTCTTTTTTTCCTTTTTTGTTTCTAGTTGATAGCTTTCTTAAGGACTGATACAGTTTAGTTTAGAGCATTGGACATGTTTTTTTTTTTTTTTTTTTTTTTGTTGTTTCTATTATGGCTTGTCTTAGGAAATGATGTGAAATTTATGATGTATGCAATCACTTTGCAGGCAATTCCTTTGCTTGTGGGCTGTCCAGCATGCTTGAGGAATTTCTTAAATCTTTTCTGTGAGCTATCTTGTTCACCCAATCAAAGTCTTTTCATCAATGTCACTTCTATTTCTGAGGTCAGCCTTATTGATCTGTTATAAGTTAATACTTCGTTTTATCAAGGAACCATATGCCCTTTTTTCTCTTACAGCAACCATTTCCTTACTCTTCAATTGCCATCATCTTGTTTTTTGTTCAAGGTTAATGGCAATCTCACTGTGGATGGTATTGAATATTATGTCACCGATGATTTTGGGGAAAGGCTTTATGACTCCTGCAAGGATGTGAAGTTTGGAACTATGAATACACGAGCAATAGACTTTGTTGGTGGTGGTGCCAATAATTTTAAAGGTGACCTGCTATCTTGTGAATGGATGTTTGAATATTTAGTGCGCACTGTCTTTTGGTACTAACTTCATCTCAGGTTAAATTGGTATTTTTTTCCACTGTGCTTTTGACTTCCAGGTGAATGTTTCGTTTGATGCATAAAAAAAGTCCCCGCCTGAGCAAATACTTCTTGCTGCATTAGTTTCAGTCTTTTTTTCATGTAGAACATCTGTTTCTTTTTCTATCCAATATTATTTTTATTCTTTTTAACTCTTTCTATTTTTGTAGAATGGTTTGCATTTATTGGTCAGAAGGCACCCCCGGGCTTTCCTGGTTCACCTTATGCCATTGATTTTAAGTCAACTACTCCCGATTCATCAAAAATGGTCCCTATGAATGTCTCTGCTTATTCATGTGGAGACACTTCACTGGGCTGCTCTTGTGGTGATTGCCCTTTAGCTCCAGGATGCTCTAGTTCAGAGCCACCTTCTCCACCCAAGAAGGAATCCTGTCTGATTAGAATTGGGCCTCTTAAGGTAAGGAAATGCTGTGACTTAGTTTCTTTTATTTTGACTGTTCTTTCTGTTCAGTGGTCAGACCATTTTTGTCATGTTGGTTACTGAGATGTCCTGGAATAGTGTGGAAAGTGAGAGACCTGCATTGTAGTATATAATTTACTTGGTTTTGTCGACTTATGCTTGCAGGTTAAATGTCTTGATTTCTCTGTAGCAATCTTGTACATCATATTGGTTTCTGCATTTCTGGGATGGGCTTCTTTTAATCGGACAAGAGAAAGAAGAGCTGCAGCTAGCACAGAACCATTGTTGAGGTCGATGGATGAGGTTGAAACTGGTTCTACTGAAATCCAGAAGGATGGAAAGGTAGATAAATTTCCGGATTCTTCTCCTCCAATTTCCAATCTTTTCTATAGTATTGATTGGTGTAATAAAATAGCACATGCTGTTCATTTAGTGTGAGACATTTGCTCATTGGTCTAGAATTTGTATGGTTTTCTCTTTCTGGCATATGTGGTGATGGCATGGTCAGCTTTTTCTTCTTGCCTTATGCAGTGCTTTTGTAAGATTGATTGCATGCAAACTAGGGAAGCTTCAATTACTTCGTGGACCTACATCCCTTTTTTTTTTTTTTTTGGTAATCTTATACTCCCGTTTCCTTGTAGGGTATATACTCTACTTTTTATGGTTGTCTGAAGCTGAGATCTTCAGCAATTGATTTTTTTCATCATAAACTTATGTCTTGAGTTTTCTAGGCACACAATATTAGTGGTCCTGGATATTAATACGTAAGGGGGAGTTTTTTCTCTCTTCTTTTTCTAAACTCCTTTCTTTTGTACCAACTACTGTACTTAACTTCATTGTAATCTTTATGGAATTTGTATCATGTATTTCTTCTTGGATGAAGCCAATCTCAACCATTCACCTGTCAAATTATAGGCCATTGTGCCTTCTTGTAGCCTTAACTTCATGCCTCTCAGTCACTTTGCTCTCCTTTTTGTGCCTTAAGTTCTGTTAATATACTCATCAGCTGCTGTATTTAGTAGACTTTGATCATGTGAATATTTAGTGATGCAATTACAAGGGCTCATTTTGAGGTGCTGGGTGTGAATATGTGTTGATGTCTCATCTGTTTCATCACCATGGACACATTATTGAGGTGTTCGATATAGGGGTGTTTTGGTATGGTAGAAAGGCTATTTTTTGTCGGTTGGCAGCAAACTTTTTGATAGGAATGCTTTGGAATGCTGGAAACTGGCATTTGAGGCTTTGAAGAAGCAGACTTGTTAGGTGTTGCTAAAGATTACTTGCTTCTCTATGTTGTTTGAAAATGTATTACTTCTAGTTTTAGTGGGGCTTGTCTTATCTTACTTCCCACCTTGCTGTATGCCTCCACACACACACACACACACACACACACGATTTGGATCAAAGGTCTAATTGACTGCTGAATAACAGGTGCCTCGATTGATAAATAGGTTCCAACTAGTTGGCGTTCAAGGACACATGTCAAACTTTTACAGGTTGAATGTTACACTGCTTGAAACATATATTTAATTGAATTATGCTGATAAATCCTTATGCTACATCCAGTGGCTATGGAAAATGGGTTGCTAGAAATCCCACTCTCGTCCTCTGTTTATCAGTGGCAGTTGTTCTTGTCCTTTGTATAGGATTAGTCCGTTTTAAGGTGGAGACCCGGCCTGAGAAGGTATCATACTGAAATCTATTCCTTTCATATCTTGCTAGAGAATTTCCTTTTGGTGTGCACTTAACTCTGTACAAGTTAATCAATTACTGTCCATCAATATAGCATTGCTACATGCTTGTCTTTCTTTTGATAAGTTAATTATGACAAATATAATTTTGTAGTTGTGGGTAGGTCCTGGGAGTAAGGCAGCAGAAGAGAAACATTTTTTTGACAGCCACCTTGCCCCCTTCTACAGAATTGAACAGGTTTCATGATTGCTTTTAATGTTTTGCTTCATCTTTTGTCTTGTGTAATTTCTCATGATTTAACTGCTATGAGCTATGCTTCTCGTCAAAGTGAGCCAAAACAAAATATAAAGTCAATCACAACCAGGATGCTTGTTGTTGTCCCTGTCACCCACATTTTTTAGCAACATTTTGGGAACAGCAATATAAGAACATTCCTAAAAATATTTAAGAGGTCAGAATTTCCAGGAGACCAGTAGTTTTAAAATGAGGCTTGCAGATGATAACTGCAGGCGAGATGACATACTATAATTATTGTGTTTGAGCATATTTTTTTCGTCAGGCATAACATACCCCATTTCTTTTCCCACGTGTTCATTTGTTTAATGCTTTTTTTAGAGAATATCTTGTTAGTTTAGTCCATATTCTTGTAATTTCCCAATGATTTTTGTTCCTATAATTTGATTTATAGGACAAAAAATGGCAACTAGAATTTGGTTGGAATCAAAATATAATTGGGCTGAAAAGAATTTGGGGAAGTTAAATAAGGATGGAAAAGGGCATCAATTGAAAATAGTTGAAGCATCTTGATCAAAATAGTTTTAGTAAGCTAAATCTATTGAAATATCTAATGTGATTTCTATGTGTTTGCACTGTAGTGATAATGAGGTTGGATTTTTGTTTTGTGACTGCTTATCAATGAGAGAGATGTCAGTATAATTGCATCACAATTGTCACAATGTTAGCTACATGATTTAGGTGTTGATATTAATGTATGTCCACCCTTTTCCTTTCAACCCCACACACAGCCTGAAAGCTTTTCTGTTTCAAAATTTGATGTTTCTTCATTCTTGTTTGATGGAAAATGAATATGTACAGATGTACTCGTTCTCTAATTATTCTCCTCACCTGTTCTATAGGATGGGGCATTTCCAATGTACTTTTATATAAAACACTTGATGTGTCAATTTTTGTGTGTGTCAGCTTATATTAGCAACCTCGCCAGATCCAAAGAACGACAAGAGACACAGTATTGTCACAGATGATAATATCCAGTTACTATTTGAAATACAGAAGAAGGTATTTTGAATTTCCAATGTGTGAACAATTTAAAAGTTTTTAATCTGATATAGTATTACTTTACAATTTCTTTTAAATGAACAGGGTGGGTATATGCCCCTTTGTGTTCTCTTAGGAAGAGCTTTGGCACTGTCTCATTCTTTGACTCTTTGCTCAATGATACCAGGTTGATGGAATTCGTGCAAATTATTCTGGCTCAACTGTATCTCTAACAGACATTTGCTTGAAGCCTCTTGGTGATGATTGTGCCACTCAAAGCGTGCTACAGGTTTTCTTACATTGTCCTGCATCTGTATATTATGTGCATTTTGAATGTTGAAACACATATGCATTTTGTCCTCATCTTGTAGAAGTTGATAAACTGGGGTTGGTGGGGAATTCTTCGTCAGGCTTAGGGTCTGCATGTCTTTTTTTTTAGTATAGTTGTGGATTTTGAAATATATGATTTGTGTCTTCTCAAATTGAAAAAAGTTATTTAGCATGTTAGCATTTACTTTTCAAGTATTTACATTGTTTTTTTTTTTTTTTCCCCTTTCTTGATAGTATTTTAAAATGGACCCTGAAAATTATGATGACTATGGAGGAGTGGATCATGCTGAGTATTGTTTTCAGGTAATTCATTGACCCCCTTGTATTTGCAATTTTGATAGCTGTTTATGGAAAAACTTTTAGTGACCTGTGGTATATATGCTGTGATTATTTGATTGGTGAGGAAACTTTTAATAAAATCTAGTTCTGGATAGTCAAATGGAACAATTAGGTGACTAATTTTTTATCTCTTGGTTGCATTTTTCTTCTTTAACTAAAATACTTTGGATTATATTTGTATCTGCTTATCTTTTCCTAGAGATATTGGAAGAAGAGTCAAGTTTCTTGCTAAGAAAATAAATGAGAGAGACGTGAAGAATGAAATTTGAATAATAAATCATCTCTGCAATCCTCATTTTTTCCAAAAATATGCAGAGAATAATTCTGCACATTCCTAAATGCCCATGAACAAAAACTAACCAAAAATTTATTATGTATGCTGAAAGAAAGGATCTGGATGTTTCTTCTAATGGAGCAATGCACTATCATATTTTTGGCTGAATATAGATTATCTTGAAGTCAATCAATCACCTGTTCTGTCTCTGCTTAGCTTCTTTGTAGTCAAAACTCATGTCAAAGTTGCCATTAGCGTTGGCATTCAAATTTTTTTTTTGGTTGGCACATCTGTGAGAAGCAAAGTCATTGGTTGAAATGGTCAGTTAGGATCCAATTTTTCTATATTACAGATATTGTGATTTTTGTAACCATTGGATGGATTTTGACTTTCATGGTCTCCTTTTTTTCACTTTCAGCATTATACTACTGCAGACACTTGTATGAGTGCATTCAAAGCCCCACTAGACCCCAGCACTGCCTTAGGAGGATTTTCTGGGAACAACTATTCTGAGGTAAGGTTTTCAATCATAGCACAGGAATATGACTCTGTGCTAACATTTTGATGTCATTTTTCAAATTTCAGGCATCTGCATTTGTTGTTACCTACCCAGTTAATAATGCGATTGATGAAGCAGGCAATGGAAAGGCAGTGGCATGGGAAAAAGCTTTCATTCGGTTGGTGGAGGTTCGAGCACTGCATTTTCTTTCTATTTGCTTATTAACCAATTTTGCATTCCCTGTGTGTGAGATTCCACATTGACGTTATTCAGGAAATTTATTCTCATTTCTATTGTCATTATGAAGTTTCTATGCAATATCATGGCATTGAACTCCCGTGTCATATTATTTTGAATCATTGGAAATGCTGTTGTGGAAGTATTATTTTCCTAATGGATTTAAAATATGTTATTAAGAATGAACATTCCATGTACACACTTGAGAATTGGCCTAAATTTTGTAGTCTTGCTGGATCCAGGCAGTAGAATGAAAACTGGGTAAGCAGGGCTAGAGCCTAGAAATTCTGTGCTAGTAGAGGATCTATTTTGCTTCTGTTAACAGTGATATGCATTTCGTATGGTTTATCTGTATTATAACTGTATGATAACTTCAAACAATCATATTGGCAGGACGAGCTGCTGTCCATGGTGCAGTCTAGCAATCTTACACTTTCGTACTCGAGCGAAAGCTCAATTGAGGAAGAATTGAAAAGAGAAAGCACTGCAGATATTATAACTATAGCAGTAAGTCACTGGAGAATTTATGCTTTCATATGAGAAAACCACTGATGTGGTATAATAATCTGTGTCATTTGAGCACTGGACTTGTTATTTATCATTAGTTTGAAACTTATAACCTCCCCCTGCCCAACGTGCTTTCAGGTGAGCTATGTTGTAATGTTTGCTTACGTTTCTGTGACGTTGGGGGATGCACCGCACTTGTCTACATTCTTTATTTCATCCAAGGTATGATTTTGCAATTGCTTTAAATTGTCCCTCCATATGAGTCATGAGAGTTTGTATGTGGGCATATGTTTACGAATTAACTTTTTGAATATGAATGTTGTGTTTAACCAGAATTATGTACTTTATATGTTAAATGTATGGCTAAATAGTCCTTGTATGAGAAATACAGTAGTGATTTCTCTAGGTACTCACTTCTTGATGAAATGGTCCCAGGTATTGCTTGGTCTTTCAGGAGTTGTTCTTGTCATGCTTTCTGTCCTTGGATCTGTTGGATTTTTCAGTGCAGTTGGAGTCAAATCTACATTAATAATAATGGAAGTCATTCCTTTCCTGGTTTTGGCGGTAAGTTCAGTTCTAGCAGCCAATGTTGTGTTAGGTGTTTTTTCCAGTGAAGTTGCATCTGATTTTGATCTGTGTTAGGTTGGAGTGGATAACATGTGTATATTGGTGCATGCTGTGAAGCGGCAATCAATTGAATTACCTATAGAGGATCGAATAAGTAATGCACTGCTTGAAGTTGGCCCATCAATCACACTTGCTAGTTTGTCTGAGATTCTGGCATTTGCCGTTGGAAGTTTTATTCCTATGCCAGCATGCCGGGTTTTCTCCATGTTTGCAGGTCTGAATTCCACTTGTAGATTCACCATGGAATTACATTTTCCCCCTAATTTGACATTTTTCTGTCTGCTTTTCTGTAGCTTTGGCTGTTCTATTGGACTTTCTTCTTCAAGTCACAGCTTTTGTTGCACTGATTGTATTTGACTGTCGGAGAGCTGAGGATAACAGGATTGACTGTTTTCCGTGCATTAAAGTTCCTTCATCACCTGGAGCATCTAATGAAGGTATTTACTTTAGCATTTGTTCTAGTTTGGCTTCTGTATTTACCTAGTTCAGTATTGAAATATACATTATATTCTTAGAACTACAATCTTTTCAGCATTTTGCATATTGCCTCTGACTTAGTATGTTGGTATATAGGCATCTATCAGAGAAGACCCGGACTTCTGGCCCGATATATGAAGGTAACTTTTGGAAATTGTACTTGCTGTTCGAAAGTTATCTATATTTTTCCTGGGTAATTCAAGAATGCAAGTATCTTTTAAAGGACAGACATCAGTATTGGTGTAAACATCTTGCCTTCATCCCTAAAATGACCTTTTTTTATTATTATCATATTGTAGGAAGTTCATGCACCCATTCTTGGACTTTGGCCAGTAAAAATAGTTGTCATTGCTATCTTTGTTGCATTTGCGTTGGCAAGCGTTGTAAGTTGTTTCTTTTTTTATTTCACGAAATTAATTTCCTCTTGAAATTGTATCCCCTCCTCTTTCATATTTATGCTATAAAGTCAAATCATTGTTCTAATATTTCTTCATTTTTTTCATTCTCATAGGCACTATGTCCCAGGATTGAGTCTGGTTTGGAGCAACAGGTGGTTCTTCCACGTGACTCCTATCTTCAGGTTCAAGTCCACATTCCTCAATTTTTTTTTTTTTTTTTTTAATCTTGTAAATTTGCTTCCATTTAGTATTTTGTGTTTTGTGTTGCTGTTCTTACAAACAGAGTTGTATTTTGTCTCAGGGTTATTTCAGTAATATCTCCGAATATCTGAGAATTGGACCACCCTTATATTTTGTTGTTAAAGATTACAACTACAGGTATCAGTTTTACTGTTATCTCACTACTCCCTTTTCTTTAATCTATCATCTTTGGAGTTCAAAGTTTCATTTGTACATCATATATCATAAGTGTTATGTGTTCATTTCGGTTTGAATAAGGGCAATTGATAATATTCCTTTATTCCTACTTTATCATTAAGCAACGTTATTCACATTAGTTTTCTTCTAATATTTTGTTTGATGCCCGATGGCTTTCTCACTCAGCTTGGAATCAAGGCATACAAACCAGTTATGCTCCATCAGCCATTGTGATTCAAACTCTCTTTTGAATGAGGTAAATAGGTGATCGAGTATTTTTCATTCTAAATTTGGGGTTAAAGTATCAATTTTTTTTTTAACCTTAATACACATGTCGTATTAGTATGAAATGGATTTTAACCTCAATACAAGCTGTATTAGTATTAAAATATTTCTCACCTAAATATGCTGCAGGTATCGAGGGCATCTTTAGTTCCAGAATCAAGCTACATAGCCAAGCCTGCTGCTTCATGGCTTGATGACTTTCTTGTTTGGTTGTCACCTGAGGCCTTTGGTTGTTGTCGGAAGTTCATGAATGGTACTTATTGCCCGCCAGATGATCAGGTTGGTGCTCATATTATATATATGTCACCGTCGTGTGGAAGCTCCACCTTTGTTTCTTTTTTGGTTTGATGAACTTTATCTTTGCGTTGGCATTTTGGATTTAGTTTAATAGTTAATGAACATCTCTCTCTCTCTCACACCCTACATCTTACCCATGCATACACACCCATGCGCAAATGCAGACACCCATGCACACTCCCAAGCATGAACAGTGAACTATGTTAGCTTTTTATTGTTACTGGTTGAATTTTTTGTGATTTATTTGTTAAAAAATTTCTTCTCTCTCTCTCTCCCTCTCACACACAGACTTGCCTGTGCACGCAGACATGCACACTCTCAAGTCTGAAGAGTGAAGTATGTCAGCGTCTTATGAGTACTGTTTGAATTGTTGTGAATTTGTGTGTTATTAGAGGTTTTGAGGGCCTTTGTCTGAAGCAATGGCGGAAGCTGTTATGTTTGATGCCTAAGAGCATCCACTTCGGAGGGAACATATTTTTTTCTTTTTTAACTCTTTCTTTGAGTTCATTCAGTGTTATAACAACTGATGCAACTTTGAAGTTGCCCTTGTAATTAAGTTTGCTAGGTGTTATTGACAGAACTTTGTTATACTGATAGTAAACTGAAGCTAAAGTCCTTCTTTTCAGCCACCTTGCTGCTCACCAGATGAATTTTCATGTGGCTTTGGAGGAGTTTGCAAAGACTGTACAACGGTGATATACTATTCTCTCTCTCTCTGTCTCTCTATGTACCCTTTTCACTTTATGAATATGTTCTAAAAACTGTAGTTACTTTAATACGATGACTTTGTTATTCAAGTGGCCTATGCATATGCTAAAATGGAGTTTTCGTATTATCTATTATTTGTTTGCACACAGCATATGCAAAGAAGAATTAATTTTAGTGTCAGGAAGAAAGCTTTGAAGTCCTAACATTTTAGATTGATTCCAGTGCTTTCTGCATTCGGATTTGGTTAATGATCGCCCATCTACAGCACAATTTAGGGAGAAGCTTCCATGGTTCCTCAGTGCTCTGCCATCTGCTGATTGTGCAAAGGGCGGTCATGGGGCTTATACCAGCAGTGTGGATCTAAATGGTTAGTTGGATTGGCGTTTTATCTTTTTGTGATGACTTCATTTTGATTCATTTGATTTTAAACTGTTTATCAGGTTATGAGAATGGTGTTATAAGAGCTTCAGAGTTCCGTACATATCACACACCGGTTAACAAACAAGTATGGAAGTTCCTTTAATGAATTAATACTAGAAGTTTAGAACATAGTTTACTATTTTTCTTAGTTTATATTTTGTTGCATACACCCATCTTTCCTTGATCTGATTCTCATTTCTTTAGGGGGACTATGTCAATGCTCTACGAGCTGCAAGAGAATTCACTACAAGAGTTTCTGATTCCTTGAAGGTTTGACTTCAAGAATGTTTGTTACCTTTTCTTTAGCTTTCTTGATGTTCTAAAAGTCTTCTAGAATATTTGTTTTCAAGTAATAGATTTGATAAGCTGTTTCTTTTTTGGTCTAGACACTGAAGCATGATAGCACAGTTACTAAAATGCGCTTATTTCTAGTTCCTTATTCTCCCCTGATGTTTTGCTATATATTGACTAGCTTTTGTTACTCAGCAACTAATAGTGCTCTGCCCAGTGGACATGACACAAACATTTTGCAGCCAGGCAATTAGTTCTCATACATCGTATATTCTGACCAAGCTACATTATTCAAGCATGTAACTATTTACAAAAATTAGTTGTGTTTGTACCCCATTAACTAATTTTATTTTTAGCTTCATGTATGTGTCATGGACAACCTGAGTTAGGGGAGAGGGTCCTGGAAGTGCAATTTTTTGACTAAAAATTTGATACATATATGCTTTTAGTGTAATTACCTAAAAGAGGAGATGGAGATGAGACCTATCCCTCAAAGGACATAGTCAATGATGGGCGCTGATATAAGTTTTTTTCCTGCCTTCTGCATGTTATCTCACTAACTCTGTGTATTATCTGCTGCAATATATTTATCTGATATGGATTCAGATATTTTACTCTCATTACTTCTTTGATGCAGATTGAAATCTTTCCATATTCCGTGTTCTACATTTTCTTTGAGCAGTACCTAGACATTTGGAGGATAGCTTTGATCAACATTGCTATAGCACTTGGTTAGTATTAGAATGCTTGGTTGTGATGAATATAATCAAGTCTTTTTGGTGTTTTGGGTCCGTTATTAATTAAGCAGTCCTACTTGTTGGCACACTGAACTTATTTTACACGTCGCACAAAGCATGTGTGTGTCTGTATCCATGTGGATGGATGTGTTAAAGCAGGTCATAAATTTATATGGCACTTTTAGATTATCTATTTAATTGAAGCTTTTTTTGTGCATTGAAAGACAATATTACCCTTCTTGTCAGACATGCTTCACGAATAATGTTGTCTTTTTTTACAAGTTATTAAAAATTGGAAATGGCAGAATTACTAAAATGTTTAGACATTTGGCCAGCACGATGAGATAATTGTTCTACATTTATTTTGTACTCTCTGCATTTGAGCCTTTTAAACATCTGAATATCTCATTGATACTATACAGGTGCTATATTTATTGTATGTCTGTTCATCACTTCCAGGTTTAAACCCTTTCTCTAGCCCTCGTTTAGTTTCAACTGTTGCATCTTAATATAGAAGCTGTCTACTGTTGAAGACACTGTTTTGTGCACCTTTAATCCCTTGGATTGTGTTTTGATGCAGCTTTTGGTGTTCAGCAATCATTTTACTTGTTTTGGTGATGATTGTTGTGGATTTAATGGTATGACGATCAAAGATAATCCTTCTCTTATCTGATGATAAAAATTTTACTATGGCAATTGTCTGCTAATAGACACACATATTTGCATGTTAAATCCTGCAGGGCGTAATGGCAATTTTGGATATTCAACTAAATGCAGTTTCCGTTGTCAACCTAATAATGTCAATAGGAATTGCCGTAGAATTTTGTGTGCATATAGCACATGCTTTCTTGGTTAGTATCTAAAGCTTCTGTGAATCTTTATTTTTAGTATTTTGCCTTGGACAAGGCAGTAGCTGTTGAAGGGGATAGGGTATTATTATTCATGAACTTCTGAAATGTAGTTGTTACTTTGTTAATATGAACATTGATGAATTACAGACATCGAAACCTTTTGGGACTGCCATTTCCAAATACTTGCACGTACTGAATTGACACGTGTTTCCTAATTTGATAATATCCTACAACCTTGTGTTCTTGACAGGTGAGCCATGGTGATAGGGGCCAGAGGGCAAAAGAGGCTCTGAGCACCATGGGAGCTTCCGTGTTCAGGTTGTCTTATGCTGTTTTTCCTTTGTCATTGGTCATTTGTGGTACTTCATTTGAACTTCCTATATGCTCTATATATCAGTTTTTAAATGAAAGGCAGCTATATTTGGCTGAAATTTCCTCCTAAGAAGGGCATAATACTATAGATTCCAAATTTAACTTTAAATAAGATTGAAGCATTCACTTAATACCGTCTATCTTCTTGGGGTCCATGATTGTGCTTTATGCTAACCAAAAGATAGTTATTGATAATCGTTCATGTCCATGACTTTTGACAGCGGAATTACACTCACAAAGCTTGTTGGAGTGATTGTCCTTTGCTTTGCCAGATCAGAAATTTTTGTGGTCTCTGCTGCATCCCTTAGTGCTTTCAATATTTTTGGTCCATTCCGAGGATATAAAAATAACTTTCTCTGTTTTTGCAGGTTTATTACTTCCAAATGTACCTGGCATTGGTTATTATTGGTTTCTTGCATGGACTGGTGTTCCTACCAGTAAGTTACTTTTATTCCATTACCATAACCTTTGTTTGACTCCTGTATCCACATGCGCCCTTCCAAATCCCCAAATCCCCCGTTAGGAGGGAATATTTATCCCTTTCCGTACTTCCCTGCTATGTGCCATTATGTAAATGCGATTGCACGATGACGAAGGAAGAATGATGATCACATAAAGCTATTGCCTGTTCCTTGCTTTTGGTGGAATAATGACCTGGTTCTGTGTTTATGATTTGCAGGTGGTGCTTAGCGTGTTTGGTCCGCCAACAAGACAAGTCATCATCGAAACAAGATGAGCTTCTACTTCATCATACTTAGGCTGATCAACAGGCATATTGTAATTAAGAATTTCACTATCCATACTTACGGAAATAGTCCTGGACTATTTGCCCTACATTCTTCTAGTAGTTGAGAAGAGTGTGTGCAATACAGCACCCATTTGGGGAAAACAGCTCCAGGCTAGGGCTTAGGACAGCCAGTTCAATTTTATTTGTCTATGTCGAGATCCTTAAAACGTTTCTTAAAAACAATGCTCACCACTTTACGTTTAGTGTATAGTATTTAAACTGCTAAACTGTTCTAATGCAATACAGTGATCATCGAGGCCTCTCGAATTGTGGAAGAACCTTGTTATATGATCGTAAGAATAAATTGTTACCGCAGAACGAAGAGATCATAAACAAATCTTCAATACAGGACGCAAATTTTCTAGGCTTTGTATAGCTTTAGGTTCTTTAATAAGTTTGTCTGTGACCTTCAGCTTTGATGTCCTTGATTCTCTGCAACACACAAAGAGTCTGCTTTCGCATAACTGATGCAAATGAGAGGAGTCAATGGAAACTGCGTAAGGCAACTTAGTGGCTAAGAACCAGCTTATTAGGGAGTAAATTATGAATTAGTCCTTTTATTTTTGAGAAATAAATTAATTAGTTTTTTAATTAAAACACTGATTATTTAATTCCATATCAGAGTTGATTAAAAGAAAATTAATTATTTAATTTCTAATCACGGTTGATTACATCTAATTTAATATTATATTTGAATTTTTTTTTCAATTTTTTCCTTTTTTTTTGTTATTTCTTAAAACAAAAAATAAAAAAAAATTGAAAAAAGAAAGGATTAAGTTTCAAAAAAAAAATATAAAAAATAAAATATAAAAACTAAAATGGTTTTTTTTTAAACAAGGGAGATTAATTAATTTGTTTTTTTTTTTTAAAAAAAAAAAACTAAAGAGATTTATTTGTAATTTCCTCGTTTCTCAAATCTTAACCGATTCTCTCTCTCCCGCCTTTTTCTTGAAACAAAACAAGAAGTTAGTTGCAAGAAAGAAAGAAAAGAAACCTCAAAAGCATACCCAAAACCGCCTTGTACATGGATCCGACAGTCAAACTCACAAGAGTTCTCCTCAAAAACACCAATGATCCCAAACTGTCATGGCACCTTTTCAAGCGCATTCTGTCCTTACCAGTCACAGAGCAATGTCCTCAATCAATTCCCATCATTACCCGTATCCTCATTCGCGCCAAAATGGTTAAGGAACTAGATGATTTACCCCAACTTCTGATTGCCTCACAGCCCCAAGAAACCTTGCATTCTTCTCTTGTAACATTCATAGCCGTTTTAGCGAAATCGGGTCTTTTTAATAGGGCTGTTTCGCAGTTTAAATCGTTGCGTTTTCGATTTCCTGAAAACCCGCCTTCTATCTATTTGTATAATGTTCTCTTTAAATCATGTGCTAAAGAGAGCCGTGTAGATTGTGTTTCTTGGTTGTATAAAGATATGGTGGCTTCTGGGGTTTCTCCAGAGACTTATACTTTTAATGTGTTGATTGGTTTGCTTTGTGATTCGGGTTGTTTGGATGACGCCCTAGAGTTGTTTGATAGAATGGCTGAGAAAGGTTGTAAACCGAATGAGTACAGTTTTGGAATTTTGGTTCGTGGGTATTGTAGAGCTGGATTTACTGGTAAAGGTTTGGAGCTTTTGAGTGAAATGAGGAGATTAGGGTTTTTGCCTAATAAGGTTGTTTATAATACTTTGATTTCGAGTTTTTGTAAGGAAGGTAAAATTGATGATGCCGAAAAATTGGTGGATGAGATGAGGGCGGTTGGTTTGTCTCCAGATGTGGTGACTTTCAATGCTAGGATATCGGCTTTGTGTAGTTCTGGGAAGGTTCTTGAGGCTTCTAGAATTTTTAGGGATATGCAAATTGATGAAGTGTTAGGGCTCCCTCGGCCTAATATTATAACATATAATTTAATGCTTGGGGGATTTTGCAAGGAAGGGATGTTGGAAGAAGCCAGGGCCCTGTTTGAGAAAATGAAAGGAAGTGATAGTTTAATGAATATAGAGAGTTATAATATTTGGTTGTTGGGTTTGGTCAGGAATGGGAAGCTCTTAGAGGCTCAATTGGTACTTAAAGAAATGGTGGATATGGGCATGGAGCCTAATGTATACTCATATAATATTTTGATGGATGGGCTCTGCAAAAGTGGGATGCTCTTTGATGCAAGAATGCTGATGGGTTTAATGACAAGCAGTGGTGTTTATCCTGATACAGTAACTTATACCACTTTACTTCATGGATACTGCCGTAAAGGGAAGGCATCTGAAGCTAACAATGTTTTGCGTGAGATGATGAGGAATGGCTGCTCCCCGAATAATTATACTTGCAACATTTTGCTGTACAGTCTGTGGAAGGAGGGGAGAATATCAGAAGCTGAGGAGTTGCTGCAAAAAATGAATGAAAGAGGTTATGACATCGATACTGTGACCTGCAATATTGTAATTGATGGTCTATGTAACAATGGGAAGCTAGACAAAGCAATTGAAATAGTAAGTGGTATGTGGAATCATGGAAGTGCTGCTCTGGGGAGCTTGGGGAACTCATATATTGGCCTGGTTGATGATAGCGATCGCAGGAAAAAATGCATGCCAGATTTGATTTCATATGCAACCATAATTAGTGGTTTATGCAAGGCTGGGAGGCTTGATGAAGCTAAAAAGAAGTTTATTGAGATGATGGGGAAAGACCTGCAGCCTGATTCTGCTATTTACGATGCGTTCATATATAGCTTCTGCAAAGAAGGAAAGATATCATCTGCATTTCGAGTACTCAAAGACATGGAGAAAAAAGGCTGCAACAAGACCCTGCAAACTTATAATTCATTGATCATGGGCTTAGGGAGTAAAAACGAAATATTTGAAATTTATGGACTGATGCATGAGATGAGAGAAAGAGGGGTTTTTCCTAGTGTCACGATATATAATAATGTGCTTACTGCTCTATGTGAAGGAGGAAGGGTTAAAGATGCCCCTTCTGTTTTGGATGAGATGCTGCAAAAGGGCATTTCTCCCAATATTTCATCCTTCAGTATACTAATTAAAGCTTTCTGCAAGGCTTGTGATTTTAGTGCAGTGGATGAGATATTTGAGATTTCTCTGGATGTTTGCGGCCACAAGGAGGCCCTATATAGTTTAACATTCAATGAATTACTTGATGGAGGAGAAGTTGTCAAAGCTAAAAAGCTGTTTGAAACTGCCTTAGATAGATCTTTTGATGTGGGGAACTTTCTCTACAAGGATCTCATTGACCACCTCTGTAAAGAGGAGAAGTTGGATGATGCTAGTGGCATTCTACGCAAGTTGATTGATAAAGGATACCGGTTTGATCCTGCATCATTCATGCCTGTGATTGATGGCTTTGGTAAAAGGGGAAACAAGCATGACGCTGATGAACTCGCAGAGAAAATGATGGAAATGGCTTCAGATGGTAAGGTGGAAAACAAAATCCATCGAAATGCGAGGAGTTCCATCCAAGGGAAGAAGAATAAGGGTGGCGAATGTGAATGGCAGACTGTATTGCACAGGTATGTTGATAAAGAATGTGTCACTTTTCTTTTTTTGATTTCTTGTTGCTAAACTTGGATTGGGCTGGTTTTATCAACCTTTTTTTTTTTTTTTAACAATGGTGGGGAAAGTTATTAAATTGGTTTTTGATGAAAATGTCCTGTAAGTTTCTGGTTGAGGAACTACGATTTGTTTAAAATCAGGACTTACAGGTAGAAACATCATACTCTGACTGTATCATGGTACACGTATTTGTATATTGACTAATACATCTGGGTGACTGGCCATCTCAATGAAATAGAAACTGCAAAATCTTGTATCTTGAAGTTGGGTTCTTTTTATTTGCAAGCATTTCGAATCTTCGATTATTTCAGTACTTACTTTGCTATTCTCACCATGATGTATCATCTTCCTGATTTCACATCTGTTTCCTCCTGTTTCAGAGATGATGGCAGTGGAATTGCACTGAAAGCTCTTAAACGCGTACAGAGAGGCTTGGATCAGGGAAGTATAGCAAGTTTGCAGCCCCAGAAAGATGACTACCTTGATTACTAGAAAGGTAGTCGTTAAATGATTGGACCATTCAAACTGAAGTTGAATTCTCCTGTGCAAAAACTGAGATTTGATATGCGGTTGGATGGCTTGCTTGATGCCAAAATCGAGGCTGCAGAACAGCAGAAAGATGCGACCTACGTTGGTGCTTTTGCAGCGGTCTCAATTTTATTGAACTAAATTTCTCTCTTTCGTGTAAGAGCCAATCAGCCTAAAGATTAGTTCAGAGCTCAGAAGAGTTCTGCAGAGGTCCACGGATCATCAGATTGGGGATGCAGAAATTACTTGGTGGTACACCGAGAGAGCCCCCATTGGATTTTTTTCAAATTCATCAATCTTCATGTTAATTATATCCACAGGTTTTAGCATGTTCTTCTTCTTCTTGATTTTGGTAACTGTTAATATGGTAGTAGTTTCCCTTGCTAAGTTGCTATCAGAATTAGGCTGTCTCATCCTGCATGCAGGCATACTTTAGGCACTAAAACAGCTATTGTAGTTACTGTATAGAATATAAGATGGTGTACAGAGGCTCCATGTGGGATGAGAGGCAATTTGCTATTTACAGATGAATAATGGTCTCCATTAAGGTTCTTTTTTGGCACAAAAAGGGCAAGTGAAATGCAATTTTACATTTAGTGTCTTGCAGTTCCATAAGAATTTTGTGATTAGATGGTGAGTTAGCATTTGCAAATCAGGTTTAGAAAATTTTCATGGCCAGCCCTTCTATATTTTTCTGGATATGTTTTACTTCCTCAGTTGTTCTCGTTCAATACTATGAGCTTGACTAGGCTTGGATTATCATCAGTTAATTGAAGTCTCCTAGTTACACTGGTAGATTCTTTTATGTAACCAAAAATGCATAACCCTACTTGGGTTGGAATTTGTCTCTCCATTTTCAATCAAGCCATAACCCTAAGTAACTGTCATGGTTTGCAAGGCTGCAAGTCCTAATTCCTTATTGAAGCCATACTGGCTTTGACAGGAGAAGAAAAAACTGATACTCCACCAGCCGATCAAAATATCCGCTAATTTGAGAATCATCTAAACTTTCAAGCAATAAGCTGCTCCTTGGAATAAATATAAAAGAGCTGTCATGAATAGATATAATGGCGAAAGCAAAGTATATAACCTTTTGACACAAAACATTCATTTCCATTCTAAAAGTCCAACCCTACTGATGTAATTTACATGATTTATGAGCAGCCAACAAGCTTACTTGAACCAAGGATTCAAATATTCAAATATATCCTTATTCCCTCTAAAGAGCCACGGAACCGTAAAATGAGATTCAATGGCTGCTATGCTAACATGAAACTGGAAAAGATTCCTTACAGAATCCCAAGCCATTTCACAAGCTACTAGATGTATAACATCCAAACAAAGAGTAACTAAAGAAGAAAATTTATACTCTTAATCCCAAATGCCATGAGCATTAGAAACTGGCTGTGGCATTAGAAGGGCCCTCCAGCTCCCAATGAACTTCCCAGATGTGGCCCTCCAGATCCAAACGAACTTCCTAGATGTGGTTGAGAAGGTTGATGAAGGGATATTTTGATTGTGTGGTTCTCAGACAATTTATGGACATCTCTACACTCCTCAAGGTCAGCATCACATGTCAAAAGAACCCAGTCTTGGTCGTCATCCAAATACTTGAGATCAATTCTAGAGATATCGTCAATATTAAAACGCCTTGCAATCTCTTGTTGCAAGCGCCCGAAACCCCAGTTTTGTTGCAAGGTGAACCGGATTTTGTCAGCACCAAAAGTGGCCTTCACTCTACAGCCACCCCCATCACGTATAATCCGGCTGGTAGTTTTCGGAAGGGACGGCAAAGTCTCTGGATTTGGAAGTTCACCAAATGTTTTGTGGCTTTGAGATCTTACAAGAAGCTTTGGTTCATCACGATTCAAGGCATGCAATTCAGCATCACTGTGTGTTCTCTTAAGCACACCACCAGGATCCTCTACCAATAATGGATTGCCACTAACTGAGCCATTATTGGTGGTTGCGTGTTGCTTTACTCCAGTGGAACAACAGATACTTGATCCAGAGCTCTGACTACATGATGAGGATGGGGATTTTGAAGCACTAGCTGCAGCATTAAATATGCCACTCTGAGGGTGAGGGTTTAATTTATTGGAATCGTCATTTGTCTTGATTGATGGAAAAGCACCATTAGCAGAAAAATTTGGAGAGGTCAATTCTGGGAAAGTTGTGTAGAAGGAACCGATTTGAATGGCACCCTCAGCACCTTGTACTGAGTCAATCACAAGTTGAAGTTTCTTCAACGAGTGGCCAACCTTCTTAATCTTTCGAGAGGGCCAACGGGCAATGCCATGTTGCCTGCATATTCTTTTCAGAGTGGTGGGGCACACTGCATTAGGAGTAAAATAGGTCAGCAACAGGCACCAAGGTAGCCTATTCGTATGTGGATAGATAAAAAAGATCAACACAGTGGTTTTTCCGAAATAAACAAAGCCAGATCATGCAAATAGGGGCATATAGACTCCTCCATGAAATAAGGCTAACAGAAACTTATACAATCAGAGACAGAAGTCAAATATCAAGAAGCAAAAGATGGCATGTCCTAGCAAGGAAAATTTCAACATAATGTTGTGATTGTATGTACAAGAATCAAGTAGATAAAGTAGAGATCTGTGGCAGATTCAAGAGTTATATAAGAAGAATGATCGAGGAGATTGAGCCAGTAAAAGAATTGCATATCTGTAAGAAGACTCATTCTGGATTACTTTCTCGACGCGATTCATTTCTTCGAGTATCAGTCTGGTATGTGTGCATAAACTCATTTTTATCATCTTGTGGACAATTAACAACAACATGAACATATAAGCACCAAAAGCATAAATAGGAGGCTAAAAACCTATTAATGAGGACTGCAACCTCTTGTAATAAGCAATAAGTGATTCCAGAAAATGGTGTCAAACTTTTAACAACACATGAACAATAGGCTACTCATACTTAAAAAGTCAGAATGATTGAATCATATGCAAACATCCGGTGTAGTAAAGTTCCAGGTGAGTATGCTAAGGTTTACATTAAATCTAAGACTGCATCGATGAAGAAAGGCTTTAGGTTCTCTATTAAATATGGTTTTGGTTGCTCAGTGCGTAATATTTACTTGACTCAAGAAGTGGAAGAAAAATATGTAATTTCCAATTGTAGTAAAATTCTCCTACCGCCAATACTCTTCGCAGCATCTTTGAGGCTTCCTGCAAAGTAATTTCGAAGAACTTCCAAGCTTATTGTCTTCTCCGTCTTGGTCCGTCTCTTGTCACCTAATTTTTTAACACCTAATGAGTGACGCCCAGCAGCAGAAGAATCTATAACAGTGTCATTACTAACTTTGGGTCCAGAATTTTGCTGAAATTGCTCAAACTCTGTAAATGCCTGCTTGTGGTACAATTCATCCTGAGTCTTACCCCAGTGGGAGGTCACTTTGAACTCTTCTTTAGGTTCCTCTTTTGGATGGTCCCATGAGACACAGACACCTTTACCTTTTTCTTTTGAGCCTCTGCCATACGAGCAATCCAGGATGATTCTACTTCAGAGGATTCTTTGAACAAAGAAGATGCAAATATCTGAATTTCATCTTTATTAAATCTCTCTACTGAAGCAACTGCCATTTTCTTGTTGACAGTTTCCTCAAGCTCCTTGTCCATGACAACATGCAAACTCCGACAAGCCTGTTGTACAGTGATAGGCAATACATCCCACATTTGTTTTTGTTCTTCAGTGTTACGACAATCCTTTGGCAAGAATAACTCCAAGACAAAATCAACCGATCCTGCATGCGTGCTTTGTACTGGAATTGCTATGGCAGCATGGAACTCAAACAACTTAGCATGGTGAGAGAGAGGATAATATGTCTTGCTCAACACTGCTACATCAGTCGAAAAACACTGTTTGTTTGTTGCAAATGCTCTCCCAACAATCCCTTGACCAAAGGAAAGGTATTGCTCGGAACATGCCATATAGAACCCAAAGTCGTCTGTCTCAGCTACAAAGTAAGCAGAATTCACCATAGAAATACAATGAGAATAGTTCTCATCAAAATGCCGGCATCCACCTTTACCTTGCTGGAAACATAGGGCCCATGTTAGTGCTAAAGGTATTCTATGTGCCTTACAAACAGACTCCAAAATCTCTGATATCTCAGGAACGGCAGCTTGGCAAAACTCTTCGCAAACCTGTGAAAAAGGAAGCATAAATCTATGATTTATGACACTTAAATAATCTCTAATGTTTGCAAGACATCATCCGCTCACCTTCACACTTGGAGGGCAGAAGTCTTGCGGGCTCCTAAGATCAACAGCCTGCATGTCACAATGTTTATTAGACTGGAATACAAGGTGGGATAAATTTTAATGCAAAGGATAACTTATATCATGGATAAACCAATGGCTCTTGGAGCTTCTGAAAGGTTCTCTACAAAAAATTATTCTAAAAAAAAAAAAAAAGAAAGTCAATAAAAATTTTCTTTTCTTCTTTAAATGAACAAAGTACTACTAATCAAAACAAAGAAGAAATCAAAAGAAACTGGAGTAAACCCACAAATGACAGAGCCAAATGTCATAATAGCTTACCAGTCAGTTGCGAATACTCATCAAGTACGATAGATGAGTGCTTATTCGAAAGTAGAGAGAACCTAAGAAAAGCTTGCAATGGTGTCTCTAAATGAAGGAAGGTTCTCAGATTTAAAATGCAAATGGGCATTGCTTGTTTAGACATTACAGATCATAACGAGTGCCCATATGTTGATTTCCATTGTTCTTTCAACAAAATCAAAACTTCAGTTGTAATATATATAAGAACAAGAAAAAGAAACAGACCTCAAGAGCTTTGCAGACGTTTTCTAGGTCTGGACGATAACTGATGTCTCGAGTGGTCGTGACAACCTCAATAACCCCCAAACAAGTCCTGCTTCCCTGTTCAAAAACAGGAACCGCAAAGGATCCTCTAATATTGAATTGCTTTGCAAGCATTTTACGTGGATACTCAACCCTGCTGAAGTAACCAACATCTGGAGTCCACTCAGGCAGCTTCCTCAAGAAAACTCGGCCAGGCAAACCAACGAAATCTTTGGAATCCTCGTCTGCTGGGAAATGAAAGGTTTGTGAAACATTTCTGTAACTCGCAAGACTCTGGCATTTAGGATCAAACAAGTATGGCTGATCAATAGTGGTAAGGACATGCTTGCCTTCTTTCTTTATCGGCACCCATATCTGAATCAGGACATCCCTATCCTTGGTGCAATCTTTCACCTGTTCTATAGCTTGGATCAATCTCTCTCTTACCGAAGAAGATGCTCCCGCATTTGCAGTTGGTGCAATCCAGACTCTTCTACCCAAGTCATTGCTCTCAACTGGAAAACTTCCGGATTGTACTAAAGATATGGTAGCCGGTTGAATATCCTGGTCTTGGGATCCTATCACACCAATTTCCTCTATTTTGGAATTACCAATAAGTGGGTTCTCACGAAAGTTCTCTTCTGTTGCAACTTGATAGTTCTGTTGACGAGGATTTACATTCGAATTACCACTGTTAGACTCGAAAAGAGGAAAATACTGCTTAGGGTCATTTAGATCACCCGAGGCTGAGGTACCAGCCTGGAAAAACTCGAACTCATCGGCAGTCTCCAACCAGCATCCATCATACAAGAGCTCATCCATGAAATCCAAGTCCATGGCAGCTCCCGAGTGGCCCCCGAATCCAGAATCAGGAACAAAATCACCATTTCTATCATCCATATCGAGTACTTGCCTTGGAAATTTGTATCCAACGAAGCCTAATAAATCTGAATTTGCAAACTTTTATCACGATCCGAAACACAAAAGAACAGTAAAGATGAAAAACAAAAAGAGGAACTTCCAGGAAGGATTGCTATTGCTTGTATCCAAAAACCCAATATGCCCGTCTTGCAGAAACATTGCCAACAGTTTTTTGTGGACTGCTGCAATTCAAAAATGCATTTCAGAGGAAGAAATACCTACCACACCATCATCATACAAGTTAATTATACCATTAGCAAGTAAAAGCATCACTGACCACCTTAATTATATCTTAAAGAACGCAACTTTAGTTGACTCTACAACTATTTATCAATCCCTTAGCTTCAAATTATTACCAGCAACAATTTTAAGACAAAACCCATAAACACCAAAGCAACCATTACTTAACCCAAGATGCCAGTTATCCATATATATACATATAAGAAAGAGAAGAAAACCCACTTCTAATATAGCTTATATAGGCCTACAGTAAACACAATTAAAAAACAGTAGCAAGAAAAGAAAGAGAGAGACAGACAAGAACATGAAAGAAACAGTAGTGATGAAAGTGAAAGAGAGAGAGAGAGAGAGAGGCAGACAGAGAGACAAGGAAGTACAAGTAACTTACTTTTGAACTATGTGTCTGTGTAGTAAAAGCAAATCTAAATCAGACCGAACTACAGGAAGAAGAACAAGAAGTATGTACATAAGCAGAAACAAAGATTCTGTTCAGTGAAACTTGGGTTGGCTTGGTTTTCCCTTACACGACAAAAAGACTAAACAAAGGAAAGAAAAAGGGCATCTTGACATCCAGAGAAAGAAAGAAAGAGAAAATTATCCTCCCAGTTGTGGCAGAGGCAGCTCTCTAGTGATCTACTGAAGGAAGCTGATGTAATGCCAATAGCCTAGTCCAAGCATTTGTAAACGCCAAACTCTGGCATTGCCAAACTTTCTCCTTCTCAGGCTATCGCGCGTGAAGAATCTTCTCCTTACGCAAAGCAAACAACAACAGTACACAGGACCCCACCAAAGGACCAAAGCTTCCGATTTGTAAATAACAGAAAAGAAAATAATTTCATGATTTCCTCTCCCTGTCTTGTCTATAAATAGGACACCATTTTTTCACAAGCAAATTATAAATTAGTTTTTCTACTTTCAAGAAATAATTTTTTTTTTCAAAATTAATTATTAAATTTTTATGTAATTTTATTTTGTAATTTTTTATTTTAAAAAAAGAAAAAATATAAGTAAAAAATATGAAAAGATTGATAAAAAATGATATCTTTTTAAAAAATAATATTAAATTAAATTATCAATAGTAATTAAAAAACTAAATAATTATTTTAAAAAATTAATTAAATTCATTTTTTTAAACTAGATTGACTAATTTATAATTTACTCATTTTTCCACAAAGACTCAATTTACTTCTAAAAAAAACAGTCCATCATGGGGATTGAAGATTTTATTTTATAAATGGAATTAAAATTTGAATTTTGTAGGAGTAAAGGAAAAAATGCATACATAAAAAATGTATATATAATTATTCTTTAATAGTATCATGTTTGAACTGATTTTGCTTAAGAGAATCTAGTAATTGACAAAAAAATTAGATATATTCTCACATTAGTTTAGCTCAAAAATAATAGATTTAATTTTGATTAATTTAAAAATACTTCATTATCTGTGAATTAAAAAAAAAAACAATTAGGCCAACTTCCTTACATTAACATTAAGATATTATTAATTGTTCTTCTAGAATATATATTTGAACTAGCTAGAATAAATGAAATGCTAGGTTTCATGATAATACCAACGTATTTTTATTGTAATTTGTTGTCGTAATTAAAACCATGCATCAACTTTCCTTTCTCTTTTGAACTTGAAGATAGATCTCAAGGTTAGAAAATGAAGGTATGTTGGATGTTACGGTGGCGTTTTATCCTTGCTTGTTAAGATTCCCTCGCATGCCCATGTGTAGCTAGCATGCATTATTCTAACATATAATTTAACACCTAACAAGGCAAAGTTCCTTTGCCATTCTTTATTCTAGCTTATTCTGCAACATCATCATCAAGAACAACCCTCTGAAATGGATTCTCAGTCTAACCTGTTTTATTATTTTAGCTTATTAATTGACTCCAAGATTCTTCACAACCATTTTGAACATAACCCAAACACTTGACTAGGTTTATACGTACCCCCAATTAGTTTTTGTGCCTCTTTTCGAGAAGGTGTTGGGAGCCAAGCAGAACCCTGCTGCATTTATATAGATATATACGCTCAATGTTCAAGAGTTGGAGCTTACCACATTAAAATAATTATTATAGTTTGGTTTCAATGTTTGTAACTTTTGTTTGTATTTTGGTTTTTCTATTATCTTACTGGGTTTTAATACAAGTGTATTGTTTTTCATATTACAAAAAAAATAGCTCAGCGCAAAATTAGGCTTGACTTTGGATCGATTATATGAGAGGCACTGCAATGAGGATATTTCACAAGAATCTATTTGAATCTTCAAGAAATCATATATTAACCACATGGGGTCACATTAACATTACCCACTGTCAATAATTGCCCCTCAAGTTTCCAGGGGGCATGACCTCTTTCTCATCAGTTCGCCGCGTATAGCCATTGAAGTACGATTCAAGATAATTATAATTAACTATGCTAGTGTAATTGTATTTTATATATGATAATGGTCCAGAGGTGGAATCCTCAAGATTCATCATTTCTGATTCCAAATAATGGGAAAACGTGAGGTGGTTTTGCCTCTTTAATCCTCATTGCTTGAGCGAAACCAGCAGGCCCTACACGCATCTGTTGCTTTTGAGGAAACATTAACAATCACTTCCAAAAGTATTTGATTATTAGCAGCAGAATTATCCATCAAATTGTTGTGTTAATTAGGAGATGAGAAACGCTCATCTTAATTCAACTTCTGCTTCATTGGAGTCTCTGCATGCATGCCATCGATGGTCCTGAAAAAGATCATAAGGTTTCGCATCAGCGATTCAAGATTTTAGATTGTGAACTGATCAAGTCTCAATTATTGATATCAAATAGCAAATAATATGTGAGAAAATTTTATGGAATTGCAACTTAGTTGCAATATTTTAATAACTTCGCTTAGTCATTGACAATAAAGTATAATGCTATTTTATAGCCCACCTGTGATTAAATATTCATGGAAAATGATGATGATTATGGCTTACCAAGATTTGATAATTTGTTTAATTTTTTCAGAACTGATGTCAGTTGATGTGGTGTAAAGCACAGAATGTGATTAAAAATGGAGAAAGAAATGTTAATAAAATGTGATTAGTATTATCATAACCGTGATAAATTAATTACAGTTTCGCTTACGTGCTTTCCACTCAAAGCTCCTTTGTAAAGCTTGGTTATTCTCCATTATTGTATGATGTAATGATGGATCCACTGAAGCTGACCCATCCACTGATATCGTCCAAATTTGATACTCGGCTCTGACGACATCGGCATCTTGTCTTGTTGTTTTCTGAATAAGTGGAAACCTAATGCTGGTAGAATTTTCTTGTTTTCTTTTTCTTTTCCTGTCCTCAACTCAGTTTTTCTATACATTTCCTTCCCATAAGTTTAGTTACTAGATTTTGCCTCAGTGATTAACTTTATGAAAATTTCAGGAATTTGATAAGTTTACTTGTCCTAGCTATTACTTGAAACAGTTTCTAATAACTTCATGATAGGCAAGATTTGGAGCTTCTCAGGTTTTTTTAAGCTTTTCTTTGGAATCTTAAATTTGCTATGAACCCAAAAAATTGCAGTCATTATCTCATGGACAGATCATTCTTGTTCTAATCAGTTTTCAAAGTCTACAACAAGCTTGATGTTGATATGCAATTTACTTGTCCCAGAAAACACTTAACAATTTTTGGTTCAAGAAACTGTTTAATTAGTTGATTCTTTAAATTATATATCTAATTCAGGAAAGTCAGCTGTTTAATTTTTCTTTTAATCTTTGATTCAGATGATAATGATGTGATAAAGTTGAGGCTGTGGATTGCACCAGCCAATAGATTCAATGCAAGATACCAATGGGACTCATTTTGGGTATCTGTCAATTCCATTTTTTTTTATCCCTAATGGAGATTCTTTCTTCCTTTTTCTTCTTATAATATAACCTAAGGAGTGGAATGGTCGTTGCTTATTATATGTTAATCTTGTTGGGAGATGAGTAGGTTAACTATTATCAGATGTGGTTTCAACTACAAGAATCTATCTATTTTACTCCATTGTTATTCTCTGAATCAGCAGATGAGCCACAATTGTGACAGATGTTGATGCTGAGATGAAACAGCTGGCAAGGAATGGTTCAAAAGCTTTATTCTGCAGATACTACTGGTCAGAATAATCAGGTAGCTGAGAAGAGGTAACAAGGAAAGAAAAATGGAAGAGATGAGCCTAGCTATTCAATATTTTGTTCGATCTGTTTCTGCTTTACCAAAGTTTGTAGATAAGTTATTCTTCATGGTCCTGTCACAAGGAAATAGATAATATACATGAAAGAAGCTTGAATGATTCTTATTATGATGGTCACATAGCAGCAGTATATACCAAAAGTCAGAAATCAATAATTGTTTAGTTTTTTATTTCAAATTAATATATAGATGAATCTAAATAAGTTGAAAATGAATCACAAACCTTCTTGGAACGGGATCAGATGGAGGAAGTATTATAAAACAAAAAGAAAAAGGAAATCGTTTGAATGGTAGATCCATTGACTTCTCTAGCTACATGGCAAGCAATAAATTAGGGTTCCAAGGGGATGCAGATGATTATATCTTTAAGTTCTAACAATCTTTTCATTAAAACTACTACTGATAAAACCTAATAACTTAGTCATCAAACACATAGATAGGTGAAGACCCTAAGCAAGCATGATCATTAGACCAAGGACATTAGACCTAGCTACTACAGAAGAAAAAACTGATTAACAAGGATATTATATTAGACCAGGCGGTGAACTACCGAAACAGGAGATCATTCGTCTACGGTAACGAGATATAATTATTCTATCCCTATATATATATCAAGTGATTTCAACTGCTCAAGAAACCTATTTGATCAAAACTATGGTGTTTCAGGAAGCATGAAATGCGGCAATATTTGACTCTATACTTCATGACTTCATGCGACGGTCCACCATTCTTTTGCGCATTGATAACTTGAAGTCCTTGTATCAATGGCAGACAAGGAGCATTTGCACGGATCAGAATCTGATGAATGAAAAGTCTTTGCTGGTTTAATATATACTAACTGATCAGTGCATTTGCCCGCGTGATCGGCAGCTTAGCTAATCAACTACTCTATCCGAATTTTTAATACAAAATAGAATAATATTGTATGTGTGCCTGACCCACTTGATGATCAAAGCAGCCTCTATCCTCCTGGAAAGGGGAGGGAAGCTGATGTAGCGAACCACAACGAATGGATTGCTGATTTCTGTCCATTATCTGTTCTTTTTGTTTCTTTATCATTCTCTCAAATGAACATTTGAGGATTGAAAACTGAAACAATATAATATTTAATCTGAAAATTCATGTTCTATACAGATTCTGAATGGATCCCTCGTATCTTTTCTTCAGGAATTCTATCGGGTCATTCAGGAATTGCAGCTTGTAGTCCAACTTTCAGGCTTAACAGAAGAATTATTGCTGGACAATATTATGCGCAGCACAACTTGTGTTGGTTTGATCAGTATTATTTCATTGAATGTGATCTTCCTGGGGATGCTCCAGCTTTTGTACGTAACTAGGATACTGAAAAATTATTTATTTTATTCCTTTCAAGTTGAGTATTGAGTCATTCCAACGAAGTTGCTGCCATGAGGTCTCCTGTAACTTTGGTTTTTGAAGCCAAATCTTTAGGGATTTACCTACCTCTCTTTGGATTTTTTAAACTTTTGAAAACTAACCCTTAAAAAAAAAAAAACGTTGGAGTTTTCAAGGCAGTAAAAACCATTATTTCCAAATATGCACAGCTTCAGAAGAGAAACTGCCAGAATCTGAAAGATTTAGGGGTAGTAATATCAAATTTCTCTAGTCCCCACATAGTTGATATGCGGCTATTGGGAGCCTCGTAGTCCCCAGATTCCATGCAAAAGAGGCCAGTGTGGCGTCCCTGCAGCTACGAGTTAACCTCAAAAAAGCATATAGGATGGAGACATCACTAAAATCCAAGTGATTTTGAATTTAATACTCAAGGAATGACGCAAGACCTTACGTAGAATCCTCTCCTTGTCCTCCTCCAAACCATCACAAGCCAACATTTCTCTTCTTCCTATTACTTACCAATGAGCAAATATTTCATCAAGTGCCCTACTCATCCCTCCTCCTCCTCCTCCTCCTCCTCCTTCTTTTTTAAGTACAGTGCTGAAGAAGTTGTTTTTACATATAGTAGCTACTGTCGGCCACCAGCCGGGAAGAGAGTTTCTTTAAAAATAAGAGAGGGGAAGTTTACATCTCATGGCAGGAAGCTAAAGTCCAGGCTAGGCGCCCTGATCTGATGATCATTTAGTTTAAAAAATAATTAATTTAGTTTCGATTAATTTAAAACTGATCCAAATGTATAAAGTTTAATAGCTCAGTATATCTTTATATAATAATATAATTATTCAAAATATGATATTTATATCACTAATTGAATTAATTTTATTTTTAAATATATACTAAGGTGTGTTTGATAATCGGGAATAAAGTAATGAGAATGAGAATAAAAGTTTTATTCCACGTTGTAATTGTTTGGTTAAAGAAAATAAAGAGTGGGAATGAGAATGAAAATTTACACATAACTTCATTCTCACATAAGATGTGAGAATAAAAATAAGAAATGAGAATGAATTTTTTTTTAATAATAATATATTTTATTTATTTATTGTCTATTAGCTATTTTTACCATCACTACAACCACCATAATCTCTACCAACACAACCATCACCACCACCATCATTATCATCACCACCAACACCGTCAAAACCACTACCGCAACTACTACCCCTACCACCACAACAACTAGAACCATTATTGTTATAACCACCACTATTATTTTTATTATTTTTACAACCATTATAGATTGATAAAATTATTTTTTAAATCATTATTTTTATTTATATAAAAAATTAGATATTAAAAAATTTAAATTGCATTCCGATTCCTCGTTAGCATTCCAAACATAGTATGAAAATATAAATATCATTTCGATTTCTTAATTTTCATTCCGATTCACGTATTACTATTTTCATCACTCTATTCTTGATTATCAAATAACACCTAAGTGTTTAATATATGGTTCCAACAAAATTTTTAAGCTAAATTATTGAAATTAATTACTTGATTTGCATATAAAAATTTTCTATTTGACTCGACTTGTAATAATATTTTAAAAATAAAAATTAATCATGTGTAAATTACATAAATAATTTTAGTGGTTTAGACTTCAAAATTTTGATAAAAAATTATTAAAAACATAACTTAAATTCATTAAGAATATCAAAATAGAGTAGAGAATTCGCTTTTGATTGAGCTATTATGTAACAGTATGCATAAATAGGTTCTTCATTTAACAGGGCTTGGAAGCCCAAAAGCATCAAATATTAAATGGATAGGTAATGGGGAACAAAAGAGAAAGGTAATAGGCTCAGCCCAAAAGGGAACATCAGCCGACAGAAGTAAAAGCCTTTTTATTCTGTGGGCTTAAAGACCTGATACTTAAAGAATATTGGGCTGACTTTCCTTTCTTCTTCTTTTATTTTTATTGGGCTTTAAAGCTACGAGTTCAAAAATATGGCCATCCAGTAGTTGGGCCTCATTCGGCCTAACTTACCTACAGGCTTCTGTCCTCCGAACTTATTTATTTATTTCCATGAATTCTAACTATTCTTCATGAATAATCTAATTGCTCCTATTTTTATTTTATTTTATTTTTTTTAGGAAATCACTCCCAAAATATTTTTTTTTTTCTTAAGATGAGATTTCTTCAAGAATTTTTCATTGAAATTATTATTATTACTACTATTATTATTTTTACAATAGAAATATCGAAACTACAATTTCATTGAAATGATTATTGTTTTTTTTATAATAGAAATATTATTGTTTTTTATTTTTTTCATAAGATCTGATTAATTTATTCAAGAAGCTTTCATTGAAATTATTATTACTATTATTTTTACAATAGAAATATTGAAACTACACTTCCATTGTTTTCTATTACAATATTTATATAATATCGTAATAACTTAAGCACCTTTTTTTTTAATAAATCACTCCCAAAATATTTTTTTTTTGAATTTTTTTATATGATATGATTTTTGCAAGAAGCTTTCAGTAAAATCATTATTATGATCATTATTTACAAATAGAAATATTGAAACTACGATTTTATTGTTTTCTATATATATATATATATAATAACCTGAAATATTGATATATGATTAAAGCTAGTATGTCCAACGTAGGACGTTTTGGCATTGCCTAGAAATTAAAAAATTAACAAATGCGTAAGTAATGTATATTTTCATTATTAAAATTAATAAAAGTCTAATAAAATAATATAATTTTAAGTAAAAAATAATTGGAAGGACGTCCAACTTAAATAAATAATTGATTAATTCTGAAATAACTTAAACTTCAAAAAAAGTTTGAACCATTTGTCGATATTCTTGAGACGAGGCGACATCAAGAAACGTACGAGAATTAGGATGGACTCTGGCCAAAATGGCCTCAACTCTGAAGACACCTCCTCCTCGTGAACTCTGGCCAAAATGTGGTGGAGTTTCTGGCTGACTTCGATGAATATGCTCAATGATTGTCCTTGTTTTGTGAATTTTTGATCTTACAAGAAAGTCTGGTTCTCCTTGGTTACTCGAGGAATGTATTTCTGCTAGTAAAGAGGCATTTCCATTGCTTGAGCCAGTGATAATGGTGGTGGCATGCTGTTGTGCTCGAGCAGAACAGCAGGTACTTGAACAGGAGCTCCTACTACACGGAGAGGAATGAGATTTTGAGGCAGTGCCAGAAGAGCTAGCATCAGGTGGAGAGTCTAAGTGCTTTTAATTGTCACTCCTCCTGAATGATGGAGACGGAGCATGACTTGAAAATTTTGGAGAGTTTAGCTCTGGGAAGGTTGAATAGAAAGATTCAATTTGAATGGAACCCTTAGCACCTTGGACATCGTCGATCACCTGCTGAAGTTTTCGTAAGGAATGTTCAACCTTCTTGATCTTTCGAGAAGGCCATCGTGCGATGCCGTATTGTCTGCATATCCTTTTTAGAGTAGTAGGGCGAACTGCAATTAGAAAAAACTGTGTTAATTGCAGACAGCAAAATGGTTGAACAAACAAAAATAATTTTAAGGGTTTGGGATGATTATCCAGCAAATATTTGTCTGTATAAGGACAAGGATGGATCAAATCTAACATTGAAATTCTAGACGTCTTGGTCCGTCTCTTCTTACCTGTTTTTCTGCTGCCTAATGAGCGACGTCTGACAAGAGCAGAAGAAACTCCATCACCCTCAATATTGCCATTGGGTCCAGAATTTTGCTGAAGCGGACCCAATTCTGAAACTACTTGATGATGATCGAATTCCACCTCGGCGTCATCCTAATGAGTTATGATCTTGAACTCTTCTTTAGGTTCTTTTGGATAGTCCCATGTGACACACTAACTTTTACCCTTCTTTTGGGCCTCCACCAGACGGGCAATCCAAGATGATTCATCTGGTGAAGGCTCTTTTGAAGGTGATGATGCAAAACTCTGATGTTCTCCTCGATCAAGCTCCTTGTTCATGACAATTTGTAAACTCCGGCAAACCTGTTGTATGGCAATAGGCAATAAATCCCACATCTTCTTCTGTTCTTCGGTGTCTTGGCAATCTTTTGGCACTAATAACTCGACCACAAATTCAACTAATCCGATAGAAATGCTTCGCAGGGGAATCGCTATGGCAGGGTAATCAATCTTAGGTAATTTAGTCATTTTCTTCCGATCCTATCGGTGTTACGGACTTTGATGAATCAGAAATTCTTGCGATCAAACAACTTCAGAGTTGAGTGCTTTTCATCTCCTTGTACAAAAGTTTCATTAGACTGTTGAATCATATTCTTCAAATGCTATCAATTGAGTTCGCAAGAGTTTATATCATATGTCTTGAAAGTTGGATTCTAATTTCAATAATAATACTTCTTTTGTTAGTAACCTGATATCTGCTTGTTTTGCTAAAGTGAATAAAGTAAGGAATGCTAAAGCTGATAATCTAGTTAAACATAATATTAGCAGGCAAGAGGAAGTTGTAATTTAGCTCTAATCGTTATACATTTTTTCTGCCACTTTCTTGCTAGCTTTCATCGATCTTCGTTTACAAAAAAAAAAACTAGTTTATTAGTTCAAGCTCTCTCTTTGTACATGTGCCTTGCTTATCAGTAGGACCCAACATTAAGCATTTGTTTTCAAAAAGTTTGTACACTTTATGCTCTAGAAACTAAAAACTGTGTATGATTTCTGCTGCTTTAATCATAAACATTAAGCATTGGTCCATATTTTGGCATAAGTGCCCCATGTTTTCTGGAGAAATGTCATAGTTAACTTGGGTTAAAAATCCATCTAATGGACCAATTTCCAGATCATTTCAGAAGACATCAGATTATGGGATGGGACAGCCTGCTAAGAGGGACGAGTTTGCAAAACCAGCATCATTTCCCATAACTCAGATTAAACAATAATATTAGTAACATATTCTAAATCATTGGGTTTATTCTTGGTGCTTTCTTTAAAAAGCTGCAGATTAAAAAACTGTAATCATTTCAAAAATGGGACTGACAGCTGCAAAATGTTAGATGGCCAAGCTAATAAAATCATTTGGTAGCACTAATCTGCTGGAAAATAAACTAATTGCAGCATTGTTTCAGTGCTCTATTATTGTCTTTGTTCTTTTTTTTTTTTCTTTTTCTTTTTTTGTGATGTTTAGAATATCATCTGAACAATTTTTACATTAATCGAGAATAAATCTATTATTTTCTGAAGGTGAAAATCAAATTCGTACTCTTCTTACCGCTCTATCTACAACATGTGGTGGTTTGTCTTAGTTTCTCTGCTGCTTACTTCCCATGCTTCTACTGTACTCTTTTTTGTGTTGATAGAGATCTTGTCCTGTAACACATATATCTCTTTCATTCCCCTTAATTTAATACTAAATGTTTAGGTCTAAGTATCCTTGTAAAATTCATACAATCAACTAACACTAAGCTGTCTACAACCGATTACCGTACTGATCAGCTGATGAAAGACAACTTGCATATATAATGTAGCTTATGAATGTAATGCCCTTGTTTTTTCAGACATGACATAACCAGCTCCAATGCAGATCATTTTCATATAATTTAATACTAAATGTTTAGGTCTAATAATCCTTATAAAATTCATACAATCAGCAAACACCAAGCTGTCCGCAACCGATTGCCGCATACCGATGTGTAAAACTATACCGTACTGGTCAACTGAAAGACAACTTGCAGAAATATAGCTTATCATCAGAATCAATGAATGTAATGCCCTAGTTTTTTCAGACATGACATAACCAGCTCCAATGCAGACCATTTTCATATAATTTATCTGGAAATCCATTAACTATATATATTATAATTAAGCAAGAATCAAGATAAAGATAGTGCTTAAACATTAATTCAACTGATGGACCTGCTGCATTCAGATAGCTTATCACTAACTACATCAGTAAAAAAAGGACCTTAACTCTTAACTCTGAAACTGACAGATCAATCTATATATTTTATACCAGTTGATCGCCAAAATTAAAGAGCACGTAGAGCAACTAAGAATATGAGGGCAGGAGCCAATTTTGGTAGGCTGTAAATTGTAATTATTATAATTAATATGTCAAACCTTAATTAAACTAGTGCTGATTATTGATAGGAAATTAATAAGAGTTTTTACAAACTTGTCAGTACTGCATACATATACTAGAGCCTCCCAAACTTGGGGCAGCAGCATCAATGATACAGAATACTAGTTAGTATATACTAATTAGAAGTTAAGGTACAATTACAAATCAGTAGCATACCAAGTTTTAGTAGAAGAACCCTAAAAAGAAAACGATTCATTCTTGTTTCAGAGGCCCAATCTCAAGTCCAAAGTGAGGCCTGAAGAATAAGAAGAGGATGATTCATTTTCCATTGGAGCAGGTAAATTGAGGTCCAACCCACATCCTTCCTTTGCTGTAAGAAGATGAAGACCTTCTTGATTATTCATCGATAATGAGGTCTCTTCTCCTTTCTCCCAATGGCACCTCTTGTGTCCACCTAGTGCCTGTCCACTAGGAAACACCCTCAAGCAAATACTACACTTGTGCCCTAACACCATCAATGCCTTGCTATTATCTTCCACGTTCTCCTTCACGTCACCATTTCCACCATGATCCTCAACTATATTCTCACAACCATCACTTCTTGTTATTGCAAAACAACCCTTCACATTCTTGTGACTAGCCCTATGACCCCCTAGTGCCTGGTGTGACCCAAAAACCTTCTTGCAACTTGAACACTCGAAACGAGTACAAGTCACTTGATCATGATCTTGAAATTGATGAGAACTAGTAGCACCAACCCCACCACCAAACTCAGTAGTCTCCAACGTTGTTGCACCATCACTATTAGCCAACATTAACAAACATGAAGCCACCTCATGATCTTCTGCAGTCATCATGTCTTCCCAATTAGTAGGACTTAACGGTTGAACAGGCGAAGTGGGCCTACGATAATTAGGTGGTGGATTAATGCCACGCCATTCTCTTTCAGGATGACATCTCATGTGACCAAAGAGTGCTTTCCATGACCAAAACTTCTTGCCACACTCACTACAAGGTCTTGTGATCTTCGGTGCAGAAGGGTCAGGTTTTTTGTAACTTTTTGGCTTAGAGATTGCACTAGAAGGAAGCAAACTTTGTTCAATCTTGATCAACTTGCTCCTTTTTTTACGTGGGTTTTGATGGTGGTGTGTGGTAGGGATTGAAGAAGATGATGGAAGGCAGAAATCAGGGTCGGGATCAGTATTTTGGTTTGTCATCACTGTTTGAGAATTTACGGTTATGGAGATCGAATTTGGAAAGAACAAGAACAAGAACAAGAAGAACAAGAAAAAGAAGAAAAAAGTGTAACAATGGGAGAAGAGGTTGCTTATGTAGATGTAATGGCAGTTATAGGCAGTTAATTCAATGTGAGAAAGTGGCGGTTTTTATGTTTTTGTTGTAGTAGTTATCCATAAGGTGCTTGAAACCTGGTGACTCTTCGTTAGCACTAATCAAACTGCCTAATCCGCACTAATCTCACATGGTGATTATGGCCACAAAAAGGATTTTTTGGTAATTAACTAAACAACAGTAATACCAATGCTTTTCTCTGAAAAAATTTAGTTTGTCTCCAATTGTGATTCGTGGAGGCTAATTAGGAGGTAATAGGTCATTTCTGTTTCGTGTTTGGAGGGTGGAAGTGGGAAAATGAGGGCAATGCTTGATGCCCACTACATGGCAAGCTAAACCCACTTTGATCACCAATATAGTACTAGACCACATGGGTTTACAGAGTAATTGTGGGATAATTAGCCACTAACACAATAGTTCAAACAGATACCAGAGGTAATTTAGTGATTTAACTTCTACAAAAGGCTATAAATTCTTTCAATTGTTTAATCATCAATGCCATTTTGTATTAATTCTTACAAATAGATACTTGTTTTTGAATAGAGCCACAAAATATTACATACAAAACTAGCTGGAAGCATAGGAAGGAAGGAAGGGGAGAACAAAAACAAACAAAATGAAAATGAGCATTACTAAAACTTATATTACAGCAAGGTTAGAATTTAGTAATGTCAATAGATCTTGGAGCTAGAGATTAAAGGATGGCTGATACTGCAAGTGGAATATTACATTGGCAGCCTAGAAGGAGGATGGCCACTGCAGCAGAGTCAAAATAAGTGCAGACAGGTTTTTACCCTTCTTTAGTCAAAGAGTATATAACACAGAAAGGTAATCAAACATTCTCTCATTTCTCTGACTGGTTTTGCTGAATTGAGGGTAGTGCTTTAAAATTCTTCAAGGATTTCCCCAAGACATTTAAAATCGAAACACATTGCACCTCCTTCGCTGTAAAAAAATGGGAATGAATTAGAGTGATGTATTAGCCTCCCACAATATCAAAATATTGAAGGAGACTAGAATTTATCAAGCATGCACAAACATAGTTAGCAGCAAATGTCTATTGACTGGTACCAAAAAAAAGTAGAATTGATACAGTTATGTACCCCAGAATAGGCAATGGCACCACCTGTTACGACTTATGCAGTCACTGTGAAAAAGACATGGCTGACAAATATAAAATGCCAATGTGCAGAAACTTACTCGAAACTGAAAAAAGGACACAATCCTACAACAGCTAGTCCAGCCTAACAGTAAAGTTTGCTGATGTCTGCTCCGCAAAGTGTAGAAGTTTAAGTTGAGAAAGTCACAAAAGCATATATAATAAAACTCTAGTGAAGATATGGAAAAGGCAATTTGGTGACATGAGTTCAAGTGGTAAACTGTTTAATGATCCTCAACATTAGAAAGATTTTGCTTCCCATTTGCAATCGCGTTGTGCATTTCATGCAATACAATGCCTATGTAGGCCACATTCATTTACATTTGGTGCACATTAAGCCCACCTCAAACATGCAGGCTCTCCCACAATATCCATCTTACAGTTTATGAAGGTTGTGTTTGAACCTACCTTATCACACACACACAAAACAGAAATTCATGTTACCTTCCTCCAGTGAAAGCTGAATTGATCTCTTTTCCAACTCAATAGCATGTCTGCTAAGCTCAACTGACGAAACTGACCGAAGCACTGCAGTGAAAGAAAAGATAAAGTAAATCAGTGCTTAGCGGTGGCTAAATAGTTTTTCTCAATTTGAAACTCCAGGACTTACTCTGGACATATTCCTCTTGATCCGATTCATCTAATTTCTTCAATAACGTCTGCAATTGATGATATCGCTCTTCCCAATCCATATTTCTCTCTGCCTTTGGATTAGATGAAGGGACAGAAGAATGAACAGGATGATAACTGGATTCTACTGTTGCAAACCTTGTGCTAGACTGTCCAAGAGGAAGAGGAACTGAAGGTTTTCCAGATGAACTTATTGGGGGAGCCACAGGCATAGGTGACAATGCGGGAAACGAAGAGACTGTTGAATCCTTTATCTGGGAGGGGTTTGGTTGATCAGTCTCCTCTGGATGACCAAGCTTGCCTATTTCTGCTTCAGATTTCCTACGGACATAAACAAGATGAGAATTTGGGGCACCACTAGTTGAAGATTCATAACGTGGAACTGGAGATCTCATCAGGCCCTCAGACGAGGGTCTCTTGACTCCAGAAACCTTAATGCTGTTCATAGTCTGTCCTCCATTCTTTGATAATGGAGAATTTCCTACAGATTTGGGAATTCTATTTTCATTCTGCACATCTCTTAATGCTGTCTTCTTTACAACAAGTGGAAATTGCTTATCGTGTGCGGACAAGTTAGTATCAGTATTGCCGAGCCCATACTCGCTGAATTTTGAATCTATCGTTTGTTGAACCATCTGAAGTAAAGACAAACATGAGAGATTCAGAAAACTTAATTATACAAGAAGTCAAATGAACAGAAATTTATGAAACCTTTGAAAACTAGAACTGATGAATGATACAAGCCAAACCAATGAAAGAAGTCATCGTGCTTAAAATTATCACCCATGGAAGTTGAAAAAAGGGTAGAGGCTTCAGATTTCTTAACACTTAAAGTCAATGAACATCGAACCCAAGAAAAGCAGATCCAGCTCAATGAACATCGAACCCAAGAAAAGCAGATCCAGCAAACACAAGTTTTTTTTTTCTTTCTTTAATCTCATTGAATGACCATTTCCGGAACGCTCATCTACCATACTTACTATCAACAAAGCCATAAGGCAGCATTTTCTTTTTGCATTAGATTCACAAGTAATTCCTAACAAATCATATTAACTCAAATGATAAATAAATAAATAAATAAAATGTCATATCTTTCTTCATTATCTAGAGTAAAATATAGAAATATATAACCTTGAAACTTCAACTAATTAACAACCACAATATACAATTAGGGCATTTATTAAGCATGATCAGCAAAAGCAGAACTCAAATAACTTAACATTACAGCAACAACAATACCAACAAACAAACCAAAAGAATCCAACAAGCAATAACAACATAAACTCAATAATTTCTTTTTTTCTTACATAAAACCTTAATCTTTGAGCAACATTGAAGAAATTTACGCAGAAGTGGCCAAAAAAACAGAAACCCAGAATAGAAATACAGCACTTTCGAAACATGGAGTCTGCTTATTACCTTAAAAAAAACAAGACCCATAAAATCGAAATGCAGAATTTACAATAACAGCCTATTCTACAAGAAGTTAAAAAAATTGATCCATGTTGGTCAATATTTCATCATTGATCTCCCAAAAAAAACTTCAAATGAAGAAAATAAATGAGAGAATAAGAGTAATAAACTAGAGAGAAAAAGGGTCAGAGAGAATTTGGAATTAAAAGCAGAGATAGAAAGACATTATTACCTTCGCTCATTGAAACGCAGTGTGAGAAAGCGAGTGTTGGAGAGAGAGAGAGGGGGGTTGCTAGTGTTCAAAAGCGAAAGAAGCTTTGGCTCTAAAAAAAAGTTTAAGAGATTTACGATTCAGCTCTCTATTTTTTAACTATTTCATTCGGGCCACAATATTTTATCTATTTTCTTTTTTTCCCAACTTTGGAGCTTTGTTTTCATAAAGTGCCACAAAAGTTACTTCATTTTTTCGAGTCTGGTCCAGCAGCTTCCTCTTAGGAACCTTTTAGTGATCTAAAAATACAACTAAAAGTTGGTTAATTTATTCCACAAAGTTTTTTTATTTATTTAATTAACAGATCAATTTATTTTTACATAACAAGAAAATTCTCTAATTTATTTTATATTTTTAATTAATTTATACATGACTAATTTTTAATCAAAAAATACGTTTACAAATCAGTTAAATAGATGATTTTTATATGTAAATCATGTGATTAATTTCAATAGGTCATCTTAAAAATCTTGCCACAATAATATTAGATACTTAATATATATTTAATGATAAAATTGATTCAATTATATATATATATATAAACAGATTAGAGAATTATTTTATTATATAATTGCAGATTTAGCCATTAATCCTTTCTTTTTTCTTTTTTTCTTTTTTTTTTTTTGGACGAATTTGTTGATTATGGGGAATTGTCAAGGATTTATACTAACAAAAATCTAGGCAGTGATATTTCCAATGTAAAACACATATTCACATGATTTTTTCTTCTTCCCTTTGAAAACTATTAATTCATAATTATGGAATCACTACAAGATATATTTTGATAGTTAAAAGTGGAGAAAAAATCAAGATTGGTGCATTTATAAGTGTTCCCCAATTCCATTGAACCTTACATGAACCCTAAGGTTACTAAAATGGAAACTCCATGGTAATAATTATATTTTATACCACTCACTATTGGATGAGTACAGCAACTTTTAGACTTTCCCATGATCAACCAGTTATATTTTTGGCTGATTTTAGCCTTGTGAGTTTAGTAGTTGTCCACAGGTATTTTGCTTCGAAATGTTCGCAAAGACCCCTCCTTTTCTGAAGAACATGCAGGTTTGACACTTTCATCTATCTTGCCCTTGTCAGAGGTTTACCTGTCTCAAAGCTTATAAAGCTTGAACATCTGATAAATTCTGCTAATGCACAAGTCCACAGCCACAAGTTCAAGCTTGCACATTTACATTTTGTGCAGCGTCTAATCGACTTATCTTTTCTTTTCTTTTCTGTTCTTTGCCATACCACAACACGAAAGGCACAGCTCTAAAATGCACTTAAACTTACCAACAAAGCTTTCAAATCTCAGGACTTCTGAAAAAGAAACAAAACAACAAAAACAAAGAGTAAGCATCAATAAAAGCTTAAACTTTGGAGGAAAATGATTATCTCACTGCTTAATCCAACAGCACTTAAAAGCCAAATGAAAAATATCATAGAGCAACAAAGAAAATTGAGCTGTAAAATACATCCACTGTTGATCATTAATAAAAGTTTCTACATAGAAAAGGAAATAGGTTTCCAAGAAGCTGAAGAATAGTGAGGAGGAGAAGAGGAGGATCAAATGCAGCACCATATGAAAGAATACTAATTTGTACATTTTTTTAAAATTTTTCTACTTTCGTGTCCTAGCAGTCTCAATTCTGCTATAGTAGGTCTTCAGAGACTTAAACATGGAAAAAATATGAACCCTTGCTCAGAAAGATCCCTTCTCCTCCCTTTCCAAGGCTTGGCTTTCCAAAACAACTCATTGGCCAAGATTCCCCAGAAGTCGCTCTACTGCAGCATGTACGTTTCCAGCTGTAGCACGCAGTGCCCTGATATTCTCTTGGGTATCAAAGAAACCCATCTCTTGTAGTTGTGATAGTTGAGTTGCATAAAGTTCTTCTGGGGGCACTACAAAAGCGACAAAATTTTCAGTAACAATGAGTAATTGCCATGAGGTGATATTACATGAAATAGGGGGGATAAGAAGGAACTAACCATTAGGTTGGTTAGGTGCGGATAAGCCGCCTGCTCCAAGACCACCAAACATGTTCATCAACATCTCCAGCCCAGCATTATTAGGTGTTCCTGTTAATTCAAGAAAACATAAGCATAATCTTAAAAGGGGAAACAGACAAGCCTGCAAAGATCACAAAAGCACTCATGAAATGCTTAAGATAATTATATAAGGCATTCACTAGGTTTCTTGTTTCCTTGAGTACCTGTAGGGGCGCCAGGCTGTGCCGATTCCCTGCAAGTGAGCAAATATTGGATAAGCAATGACTAAAGACAAATCTAATTTTGTGGGGGCAATGGGAGCATAAACTACAGGTCCTTTAATGATCTCAAGAATAATAAAACTATAGACAACTAAGATTTCACCCACAATGAATAACGAAAAAATAAATTGTCCTCACTTACTGGGTTGACTGCTGTCGGAGCTGTGGAAGAAGTGACTGTTGTAAAGCTAGCATTTGCTGTTGAAAAAAGGGGATTAACAAAGGATCAAGCATAGAAAATGAATTCAACATAATCCACAAACTATCTCATAGCAGTCATAGGCCAAGTATAATTGGAGGTCCAATTAACTAGCCAACCACTGCACAACACCATAAAAAAGGCTCTGTTTGTCTGTGCACACAGATGCATGAGAGAGAAGAAAGAAGTAGTTAGTCCATAAGTGTGGATTGCTCAAAGTGGCATACCTGCATTGTTTCTGGAGAGGTTAATTGGCGAAGAAGCTCAGGATTTTGCATCATCTCTCTCAACTGAGGATTTGTATCAACCATGCCACGAAGCTGGGGATTGAAGTTGAGCATCTAAAATTCAAGTGCAAGTTGTCAAAACTGAACCCAAACAATAAATATCACATAAGCTAAAACCACTTTCAATAACAATAGTACCTGGTTCATATATTCAGGATTGGAGAGTAGGCTTTGCATCATCTGTGATACAGCTGGATTTTGCAACAATTGGTTCATTTGATTTGAATCAGGCATGCCATTGAACAAGTTGTCCATTCCTGGGAGACCAAGCCCTCCCAGACCCAAACCACCAAGACCTGATGCCCTAGCATTCCCAGCTGTATTTGGCCTCGCAGTATTGTTTGTCTGGGTTCCTCCTAGAAATTCACCATTTTAAACATCAAGAATATTTCAATTATCATTTATAAACAGTAACTGTAATAAAGAATTTCTTCCAGTAAAGTGTAACTAAAGATATTCAAGATCCGCTAAATAAATGTGCACGAACAAGAATTCATCAGGACCAGGAACTATGTTTCCCAAAGCAAAAGTTTCATAGGCATCTACTAAATATGGTTATCATTTCTTTCTGTTAAAAATTCCTATATCAGACCTCAAGAGTATGGCTTTTGAGCGAAAATAGATATATAAATGATTTGCCAGAAGCAAAGAGATGTAAAACTCACCAGCAGCATTGTTCCAAGGGTTGGGCAGTGGGTTTGTATTAGGTGCAGTAAGCCCTGCAGTTGTTTCAGAACCAGTGGTTGAAGGGTTGTTTGATGCATCCCTGACTTGAGTCCCACCTTGGTTCCCCAAGAGAGCTGCAAATGGATTTGAACCCAAATCATTGCCAGAATTTCCGCCCATTGTTGTGGCATTTAAAAATGGTTCTTGAACATTTTCATACATTCGCCGGAGCATGTTAAATCCTTCAGGAGTTGATTCAATATTACTCATAGCCCTGTCAGTGTGTCGCATCATCTCACGCATAAGCTCCGGGTTTCTAGCAGCTTCTAATGTCTGTCGAAGAATACTAGGATCATTAAGCACATGTGCAAGCTCAGGATTTCGGTCCATGATCTCACGCATTTGAGGATTGCTCATCATCAAGGACCGTATTAACTCGGGGTTATTCATAAGGCTCTGCATAGCAGGTGTATTCATTATTTCCCTCATCATGTTGGGATTCTGTGTTAGACGTTGCTGTACTTGTTCCAATTCAGGAAGGCCAGCTCCAAATAAACCAGATGCGCCGCCGCCACCATCGCTGCCTAGCGAGCCAAGTCCAGGGAACAAAGATGCCCCAAGACCAGCACCTCCAAGTCCAAAGGCCCCACCTTCATTGGAACCAACACCACGTGTAACCCCTGTTGTAGTATCAGGATTCCCAGCATTACCAGCGGCAGGAGCAGTGGGGGTGGGGGTGGCAGGAGCAGTAGCTGGAGTCGACGGAGCAGAAGCTGGAGTCGATGAAGCAGGAGCAAAACCACGAACCATATGAATGGTGTGATCAGCTTGCAAGCCTTCAGAAAAAGTTAATAACAAACAAACAATTCAATGGTCAACGCTTGCAAAATAAAGCATGGAAAAGGTGCATTTGCATTATGAATTCCACTATCGTTAAGAATCCAAAATCAACACCACACAGCCATTGATTCGCAGCACTTAACAAACAAAACATGTTAAAAAAGGAGTTCTAATCTTTTATAATACTTGAAATAACTACATCTTTTTTCGATTCATCATAAACAAATTATCAATCAAAAAATAAAAGTACCCAGATCTTCCATTTTCTACTAATCCCAGTAAACCAATCAATAGGAAGCTTTCATCGTCATCTAAGCATTAAACAGATGGAAAGGCAGCCGCATTTTTTTTCTTCCTCCCTTTCTAAGTAAACCAACCACACAGAGAGACGAAAAATTCTACTTCTTTTTTCAAAATTCATGCCCTTCCATTATCAGACCCAACAATTTATAAAAGTCCCATTCCTCCTTCCAACAAAAAAAAAACCGACAATTACAAGAAAGAAACGAACTCACCATAGCTAAGAAGGGTCTGGTCATCTTTCAAAATCCGACCTTTATAAATCAGCCTCTGTTGATCAGGTGGGACATCACAATTTTGAGCCAAAACCGATTTGAAAACGCCAACCGCCGATTCCAAGCTGGTCCTCACCGTAAATTTTGTACCATTAGAGCACCGAATATTAATCACCACAGCACCCTCCTCTCCCTGTCCTTGGCCTTGCTGTTCATTACTCACTTGTGACTCGCTCGAATCGCCAGCAGCAGCCATATTATTATACAGAAGAATTAATCAAAAACCCTAACCCGAAAATCAATTAACTAATTTGCTCAAAAAAAAAAACGATTGCGATTCCGTTTCTGTGAAAATGTTAGATCGACGTAAAAGAAATCAAAGAGGAACTCAGAAATGAGAATTGAAATCAGCGTAAATTGGGAAGGAAAGGGAAGGGTAGGGAAAGAGGATCGACGGATTTACGTTTTTATGTTTTTTGGACTTTGTTTTAGAGTAAATCTAGAATATTCGTTTCTTTTGTATGCAGTTTACTCTTTTTGTATTCGTATTTGTATGTCTATGCGTATTTGCTTGACTCTTGCTACCAATTAAATAATGAGCTTGGGCTTCATCTTTGGGCTTTTAATTAATTGTTAGTTGAATCTGATTTTTATTTGGGCCTTTGTTAGGCCTTTGATTTGGGCCGAAATTTTATTAGATCAAATCCATATTATGTTAACGACTCGGACAGCTCAAAATATATTATCCATCAAATTGATGTTATGTTTACCATGATTTATGGAAATAATAATTAATTTATTTCATAATTTAATGTACAGTTTTTTTTTATATATATATATACATATATAAAAGAATAAGAGTTGCAAAGGTCAAATGTGTAAAATTTATTTTTCTAACAAGATTTTTTAATTAAATTATTAGAATTAATCACACGATTGAGGTTATAAACCTTGCCTTCAGATGGATCAGAGAAGCTTACTCCTTTAATCTTTACAGTCTTCTTCTTGATGAGTAAACATTAGCCATGGAACTTGAGGAGTAACGTTTTCTGCGACAGCTTTTGGAACTTGTCTGATAAAAAAGCTGTGTTAAAATTACTAAATGGGCTACCGTTCATTTGCATTTGGCAGCCTTCTACAGACATTTCTATCATCATCACCAGAACTGTAAAAATTTCTTACACTAGTGTATTAACAATCCATACAAAGTCCTATATAATGGGGCCAAAAAACTCACTATCTTCTGCACTTGGCAAGCCACGTTGGATGACACACAAAAAAGGTTGTAACTATGTCCCTCATGCACACAAGTAGGCATCTCTCTGTGGGAAGCTAGATATGATCAATCTGTTAATTTGGTGCAAAAATTTCATGGAATGTGTTCGTACTTACTCATATGCAGCAATAGAGAATTTGCTTTCCTTTGAGCCCTGTTGGTTCCACTTTTTGCAAGTTCTACCAAATGTTCATACACACCATACTGAAGTGCTGCTAAGATGATGGATGAATTATTCAACCCCAACTGGAGAAGAACCGATATGGCGCATTCCTTGTTCTTGGGAGTCCCATTACTTGTGATTTCAACAAGGGTTTCAATGAAAGATAGTTTGCTGATTTCATTTCTCCCTTCAGGATGTGATGCAATGAGTAACAATATGGAGAGGGCTTCGTCGATCATGCCTAAGTTTTTGTCCTCAAGCAAATGGAGCAATGCTGGTATGATACCTGCTTTTATGGCCCTGGACTTGTTGGATTGGTTCAAAGATAAGTTGAAGAGTGCAGTTGCAGCATCTTTTTTACCTCGTACAGTCCCATTCTGCAAAAGGGACACCAAAGGACGGATACCATTCAAAGCTCCTATTAGAACTTTGTTTTCGTCGAGCATTGACAAGCTAAATAAAGCTGCAGCAGAGTTCTCTCTAGCTTCATCTGTTCCATGCTGCAAAACTTCAACTATAGCAGGAATTGCTCCCTCTCTGGCTACAAGTCTTTTGTTTGTTTCATCAATTGACAAGTTCAAAAGAGCTGTTACAGTGTGTTCTTGAATCTTGGAATCTTGACAGGACAAGAGCTGAACCAATGGAGGAATCCCTCCATAGTTGGCAATCAAAATTCTGTTGTCTGGATTCTCCTTTGCAAGCATACGGATCTTCATAATGGCCTCTCTTCGCACTTCAAACTCACCCAAGGACAGATTTTGGATCAAGGAAGAGATTTCCTCTATATGCTCAGCAGAAACGCCATCAGAGACCAAACAAGCATCCTTCATAGGTAGTTCATAGTTATTTTTCTCACACCATTGCAGTATAAGATTCCTGAGCACAAAATTTGGTGCTAGAGTCAAATGATCCAAATTTTGACCAGTCTTCGGGCAGGTCCGACGATTAGAGTTCAGCCACTTCTGTATGCTCTCTCTTTCATAAGTCTTTTAAAACAAAAGAAAAATCTGGTTCAGCTTCCATAGCATAGTAACTAGAATATTTAAGATTTCTACTTCAGTTTCTGTAACATTAAAATTTTGTAAAAAACTTGTTTATTTAATAGTGACATGTGTGATCGAAAGGATTTTAGCTGTTCAACATGAGATTACCTGTCCAGTTGCCACAATGACAGGATCCACCATGATCTCCAGAGTAATTGGACAGAGGAATTCATGGGGGATATGCAAAGACTGACACCTCTTAAAGCTTTTTGAAGGAATAGGACCATCGAGAACAATGGTTTCATCAACCCCAGCAATCTGTTTAAATTTTCCCAAAAGGTCTTTAATTTGCTGGATGCTTTCAGCATTCTGCACCGCTTTCTCTTTTACTAGTTTTCTGACTGCTACTTCTTCTGCTTTCAAGTCTGGAATAGCGTGCAGCTCTAACTTGCTGGCCAGTCTCTCTAGTATTGCACTATCTGCATTTCGGTCATCCTTTTTAGAAAATACAACCATCATATCCATTGCCAGTTCTATATCCTGAGTGTCGGTTCGCCTCTTTGCTCTTTTAAGTTGCATCCGTGTTAGCTCAACCTGAATCGTAGCGATAGCACAATCACATATGTAAAACTGGAGATATGATAAAATTGGAATTGCAACTAACAGCTCATGAGCTCAAAATGTATTTTCTCAATAATCAATAATATAGAACAATTTTCTACGAAAAGCTTTTAGTCCTTGAACCGAATCTTCTTCGTTATTATGTGCAAAATGAGAGTGCTTATAATGTTTGGAAACGTAATCTTCACTGAGACAGTTCACCAGACAACGCAATGAGACAGAACTGATTACAAAGGTGACAGCATTTACTCCGAAACGGATATCAGACTACAGAATATTTCACATAACCAGCATGGTATGCCTACCTAAGCACATTGTTGTAACCAAGCTGGTAGTAAATCATCAAGACCCTCGATCGATAGGAGGTCCCGACACAATCAGTTGTTCACCTAAGTCCTCATCATCTGTCAAAGGAGACTACTAGACTCATACAATATTTCTTTGCATAATTCAATGTCAATGCCGATTTACAATGATTCTTACATAATCAAATACTTTCTGAAAGAATCGAATACCTGCCGAAAGACCGATGCTCCATAAACATGTAACATTCGCTTTCTTTTGACATCAACAATGAAATGACAGAGATGGGAGGACAAAAATTTGAGCACGAAATCTAGTATGTACTGAGAAATAGCAAAGTGGAAAGAAACCCATCACCATGTTTTGCCAAATCTTTCTCTAAACTATGGTGCTCTAACCAGATAGGAAATTAACTAATAAGGCTAGAAACATTAAGAAACACAAAGGAAAAAGGAACCAAAAAGGAAATTAGAAGGAAAATGAAGAAGAAGAAGAAGAAGAAGAGGAGGAGGAAGAGGACTTACTTGCTCTTGAACTTCAACTGAGATCCCTAGCTCATCATAGGACAAATCATCCAAAGCCTGACTTAATTTGTCATATACAGAATGAAAGCTACTCATCACTGCCTCGCTCTCCATTGCCTAATTGAGTTCAACACAATCCTTGAACATTTCAAAACCTTGAAAAAAACAACAACAAGAAACACAACCAAGAGAGAGAGAAAACAAGGGACAAAAAAACAAACACTTACCAGATAAATCTTGCTTCCATTGCTACATTTCTTCAACAACTTCTTAGCGCCCAAAAGGGCCTTCTTCAAATTAACCAAACTAGTTTTCAAACCCTCTCTAGAAAGCAATTTATGCTTATCAATCTCCTCTATCTCCTCTAAAAGAGGAACTAATAGCTTCAATCTCCTCACCATGTTCACGCACTCCTTTCTTTGTGTCTTCCTGTACCCCACATACAATCCCACGGCCTTAATCACATCCATCATTTCCTTCACAACATCAACTTCATCTCCACCATTGGATGAACTTGACACACCTGCCTTCTCTCCTCTTTCCATCACTTTCTGCCTCTCCATTTCTCTCTTCCCAGACAACCTCAGCTCAATGCCCTAAACGGGATCTTTAAGTTACTGACAGACTAATACTAATATAATACACAGGTTGATCCCCAAAAAAAAAAAAATACAAATATGTCAATCAGTACTTGAGTGGAATATAAAAATAAATGCACAGAGTCCTCTAGAATAGAAAGTAAGAAACAGAAGCAGCTAGCTAGCTATGGAGCTTGAAACAATTAAGGACAAATGCTTTGGAAATTTGCAAAGATACTGTTAAATCTGGAGGGATATACGCGTTTATGAGCATGTGCTATGTCTATATCCAATGTATGGACATGCCAATGTTACTGTGAGTGAATTCCATGCATGATATCCCATATTCTATTCTTTGATTTTCCTCGCAGCCCTTCGGACTTATTTTTCTTCTTCTTTTTTTACCGCTGAATATATGATTTTTATTATTAAACTCTATTCTTTTTTCTAATTTCCAATATATATTCTGAAATTTGTTTAATTTAAAAAGTGACGGACTTAATTAGTTTCAATCGATTTGAAAACTAATCAAAATATATATATATATATATATATATATATATATATATATATATATATATATATATATATATATATATTTTTTGATTAGTTTTCAAATCGATTGAAACTAATTAAGTCCGTCACTTTTTAAATTAAACAAATTTCAGAATATGCTTAGTTTTTTATTGATTATTGAACTGTTATTTTAAGTTAAACCAATTCAAACCTAATATCACTAAAAAAAATAATTTGATTAATTATTAGGGAACAATTGATAAGATTAGAATATCGAGAGGCATTTTTTTCTAATTTCAACACTTAATTAATCAATTTTTTTAATTGACATCTTTTTTTAATATTACATTTATTTTTGACAGTTTAAAATTATATAAAAATTATATTTCTTTTTATAACGTAACTGAAAATTCATCCGTAAATTGTAATAATAAATTAAGAAAACTTGATTTCAAATGCTGCATAAATTAGGCTAAAAATATAATTGATGATTTTTTTTTTTTTTTTTGGGGGTCATAACTTAATCTTGCAAAATTACGAGAGGGCTTTAAAGACAAAAGCTTAACCATTGAACAGCTTGAGTCTCTTTGGAGTGAGATTAACGGTAGGCAGTTGTTACGCGGGTTTTGAAAGAGGGTGTAAAGTCAAAATAAAAAGGGGATTTGAAAAACAGTTAAAAATTTGACGCGGTTTTTAGACAATGTGACGCGTTTTCACGTGCAACTTTTTTGGTTCTTATTTAGGTGTAGATCATACGCCACAGCCATAAGGATCCCCCACTTTGCTTTTGTTTTTTCAGATGGGTCCCTCGATTACTTTTTTGTATGATTTTCAAAAGAGAATCTAGTGGTGGGGGGCAGTGGACGGTGGAATTGACGAGAAATCCAAACTTCCATACAAAAAAACATCTTTTTTTTTTTATCTATATTTTAGATTTTCTAACCGAAGATATAAATTATCCATTTTTGTTATTATAAAAAAAAACTATTTTTTTTTATCGTGCTATACTTTTAATCGGATAAAATACATAAAATTATTTCATTTCAATATCTTGTATTATAGTGTACATTTATAAAAATATATCAAATGAAAACTGAATAAAATTTTATTCAATTTTATTATTTTTTAGTCAAAATTTTTTATTTGATTAATTATTTTTTATATTTTTATAAATTTTTTATTAAAAATATTATTTATTTATTCATATCCATATTTTTATCTAAAAACTTATTTTGTAAATTATTTTTTTAAATTAAACATCTTTTTGTCTTAAAATTTTAATTAAAAAATCAGAAAAAAAATCAAAGTAATCAAAATGAATAATTTATATCTTCAGTTAGAAAATCTAAAATATAAATTATCCATTTTTGTTCTCATCGAGCAAAAATAAACGTAATTCGATGCATATGGATCGGTGACTTTCCACCCCCTGCGTATTAAGTAAAGAAATAAAGAAATTAAGGAACCGAGGGAAAAAAAAAACAAAAAAGGTACTAACATGTAAAAGGGCTTTGAAGTGGTGTACTTGTCAAGAAGCTCATATCTTCGTTTCTTATTTCTAGGTTTTTATTTTTTATTTTTTTATGCATCATTATCTTTATATTTTCTGAAATATCTCCATCATTCAATCAAATTAAAATTGATAATAATTTAAGTAGTTTAAACAAATAAAAAAATATATTAAAATAAAAATAAAAAATCATATCACTTTAATAAATAATATCAATTAATACATATAATTCAATTTAAATAAATAAAGTACCGAGTGATAAATACTCCAACAATGATATCATAACAAAATAGTAGATGAAATATGAGTTTAATTTAATGATATTGGATCTGTTGTTCTCTTCTCATTTTAATAAAACCTAACTTTATATTGTATGTATAGGATTTTAAAACTTTATTTTCTATGCCTTCTTATCGATATTAAATTTATTATTTTTTAAACTAAAATATCATCAAAATACATTTAACTTTTAATCAACTATTAAATTAATTTTTAAATCAAACTAACTCAAACTTTATAATAAAAATTAAATTTTGGCTTGATCAAATCAAGTACTCCATTACCGTCAAACTACTGTATCTCTTAATAGTTGGTCTGATTGATTCTCACTTGATTTATTTATTTTTATATTATAGTTAATTCTAATTTCACGTCAATTAACTAAAAAAGAATAAAAAGAATAAACCTTTTAATGTAGAGCATCAATCATGGCTACGGTGGATAAAGACACATTTGAACGGTGCATTTCCACTTTTTGGCTAAATAATTGCAGTTTGGTCTCTCTTTTTAATAAATTTTTGTTTCAATCCAAAAATTTATTTTATTGCATTTTGGTTCTTGCGTACTAAGAGGCCAGAGAAACGAAAAGAGAAAATGAATAAGAGAGAAAAAAATTATTTAAACATAAAATTTTAATTAAAAAATTATTATTATTATTTTACTTTTGATTCAATGTGTTTTAATAGAGTCGTAATATAAAATAAATTATTAAACTGAAATCATTTTATTTATAAATTCGTAATATAATATAAAACCTAACTTTATATTGTATGTACAGGATTTCAAAACTTTATTTTTTACGTCTTTTTATAGATATTAAATTTATTATTTTTTAAATTAAAACATCATCAAAATTACATTTAACCTTTAGTCAACTATTAAATTAATTTTTAAATCAAACTAACTCAAACTTTATAATAAAAATTAAATCCTGGCTTGATCAAATCAAGTACTCCATTTTGAATTAAAAAAATATTATTATTATTTTACTTTGATTCAATGTGTTTTAATAGAGTCGTAATATAATATAAATTATTAAACTAAAATTATTTTATTCTATCTTATCTGTGCCATATTACGATTAATCGAATAGAATGATCACTTCTCAACCTAACTCATTGCCGTGTAACTTGGTTCGTCGATGGAATAACGGATTGACCTTGACTTCATCATCATCTCCATGAACTACAAATAATTTTCAAAGTCTTAGTTTGATTGCCGTCATGCATGGGGTCTGATCAATCAAAGGAAAATAAAGTTAGAGCAGAGTTGATGTGTGCCAGCGCAAGTTGCCTAACAATGCTTGAAACTTGTATTAGAAAGAACCCCAAAAAACCATGTCTTATTTTATTAGTGGTTACAAAGAGAAAAAAGAAAGGCTAGAATTAAAACATTTAAATTAAGGTATTGTTTGTTAATCGGGAATAGAGTGGTAAGAATGCGAATAAAATTTTTATTTTCACATTGTAGTTGTTTGGTTAAAAGGATTGAAGTGGGAATGAAAATAAAAATTTACACACAACTTCATTCTTACATAATATGTGAGAATAAAAAACAAGGAATGAGAATTAATTTTTTTCAAAATAATAATATATATTTTTTATATATATTATCTCTCAACTACTTTTATCACAATCACCACTATTACAACAATTACAACCACCACCACCACCACCATCTTCATCACTGCCATCACAATAACTACCATTGTTATCACCACAATCATTATCACAATCATAACCACTACTACTACTATCACTCGGCAATCATTATTGCTACTACTACCATCACTAGAAGTGACCACAATTACCTTTATTATTTTTACAACTATATAGTTTAATAAACTTATTTTTTAATCATTATTTTTATTTTATAAAAAACCGGATATTAAAAAATTTAAATTACATTCCGATTCCTTATTACTATTCCAAACACAGTATTAAAATATAAATACCATTCTGATTTTTTAGTTTTTATTCCGATTTCTGTATTTCCATTTCCATAATTCTATTTTTAATTACCAAACAGCACTTAATTAAAAAATAATTTATAGTTCTCATCATACTTGGGCTTAATCTCCATAGACTTAAAAAATATATTGTAGTTCTCATCATACTTGGGCTTAATCTCCATAGACTGGAACAGCTGATACAAAGATTTGGGCTGAAATATTTGCCAAGGCCCAGAGCACGCCCAAAAAATATTTCTTCTGTTGGAGTAGGGTTGATGCATGGAAAGTCTATTTTTTTTTTTAATTAATTTTTATTGTTTTATATGGATAAAGATGACTACACACCAAACCTAATAAAGAACAACTGTTTTTTTGGTTCGAAAAAAACACCATCTTACTATTTATTAAATCTTTTATTCCTATTGCAATATGGAATCAATATCTAGACGTTTCTTTAATACTTTCTTTCCCCTATGAATATAATGGACGTGGAATAATATTTTTTAATAATATTCTTCAGTAATTCATAGCTGGGAAGTCGAATTTTTTAATAATATTCTTCAGGATCAGAGGACAAAGATAAGCAATCGGATTATGTCACTGCAAATTAAGGTAATGATAGGCTTTAGTCCACGTAAAGTTGTTGAAGAGAACATGCATGGGTGCATTAATTGCAGCATATTTGGTGAATTAACAAGAACAACAAGGCAGGAAAGTATTGACGAGAAAAGAATAAGAGGAGAAGAAAACCAGTAGAATATCAGAAGAAAGGAAGGAATGTTCGAATGTGGTAGCTGTGCTGGCTTAAATGTTGTGTTCATCGATCCATCCTTTAGAGTAAGAACTGATATATGCTTGAAGAAGTGGGACATATATATACGCTAGTAGCTCTTATACTTTGATCAAAGGTTGGAGCTCCGAGGTAGAGAACAATAAAGAGCTCAGGAAATTAAGTCACAATTGTGGAACTTTAGTCATTTGGGATAAATGGTAATTTTATTTGTTATTTCTTTAAATATTATTAAAGTATTCAGTCAGTTTTATGATGTAAGTGATTAGGGTTTATGGCTGCCTTGGACTATACTATTTGAAATGATTTTTATTCAAATAGATAATTTTTATTGCTCATGATTTTCCCGACTCGTTCCCACCACTTAGAAAGTTTGATCAGAAAAAAAAAAACAAAAAACAAAAAGTTAAAATAAAATATATAACTATTAAATAGTTGGGACGTAGGTACACAATAAGTTATAATTTAGTATTTATGTATCCATAATTTTCTTCTAATGAAATAGATTCGAGTATTAATGAATTTAATTTATTTAGTGACCACTATATAATGAGAGGTAACTATTTTCGTTACGTAATTTAAAATCTCAGGAGCTTTTTAATAAAAAGAAGTTTTGTAATTTACCACATACATTTATATGTTATGTCTTAATTAAATTAAATTAATTAATAATTTAGGTGAAAATAAATACATGCATCATTACAATTTAAATTTTATTATCTTTTATTGTTTTCTGCTGCCATTTTGACTTCTTTAATAAATAAAAGAAAAGAGTTAAAGGCATTTTTTTCTCTCTTTTTTGAAAAAAGCAAATGCTCGCAAGTCCCAAACTATATTCAATAATTTTATGCCAAATTAATATGCAAAAATATAACTAAACATCATAAAATTAACTGGTATATATCTAGCTTTTTTTTCATGCTTTTTTACTTATTATATTTCAAATCAAATTACTAAAATCGTTATGAAAAAGGAAAAAAAAGTATATGTCGAGACTGATATTTTGGGATGCTTATGCACTCAGAAAAAAATATTGAAGTAAATTTTTTTAAATTTCTTGGGAATAAAAAATCAAGATTATTAAATTTATGTAAAACATAGCATGATCTTAATAATTGAAAAACAAAATCAAACTCGTGTGTTCGAATAAAACAAGCCAGGGATGTTAGGAGCATCAATATCCCTCCCCTCCTTGACTCCTTCCAACATTGGATGATAAACTTTTTGAAAACACTGCAATTTAGTGAACCATTTTTATTTTTTATTTTTAAATTCTATTTGAACATTTAACTTTTTATTTTATTTATTTGAGTTATTTAATTTTTATTTTTTTATTTAAATGGATTTTGATATCCGAAACTAATAAATGTTGATATGATCAATATCAATTGATATATGATAAAAAGTGGATTCCCTTCGAATTTAGAAAAAAACTACAACTTCAATACCTATTTTTATTTCATTTGAGTGTATTTTGGTATTTAAAACTATTAAATATTGATGTAATCAATATCGGCTAACACATGGTTGATATCAACCAATACGTGATAAAAAATAGATTCTCGCTCGAAATTAAAGAAAATTATAACTTCAGTATTCAGCCATTGAATTTTCTTTTGTTTGAATGTCTAATTTTGTATTTTACATGATTAATTTCTGATTATTTTTTTATTTGAATACATTTTGAGATTGTTAAAAAAATTATCATAGTTATGTTAAAGTTATGTTTTATTTATGTTTGAAAATTAATAAATTCAAGAATATTATTTTATTTTAAAATATAATATAATCTTTATAATTCATAGCATCAAATGGTATGATTTATTCCAATCGGATAAAACATTAAAAAAAAGAAGTATAATTTATTACGGAAACAAGCAAAAATTAAGGCGCTTTTAGAAGCTTCCACGTGTTAGGAGCGCACCTGGGCTTCTTTTTTCTAATGGCTAAAAACGGACCGCTCCAGTTATGGCCCAAAGACGCCTTATTTAACCGTTAACAGACCAACGTAACTTTTCGTCTTATTAAAATCCAACGGTCACTACTTACTAGCCGTTATTTTCGAAATCTCTTTTCTTTATGTTTTTCTAAACCCCAAAGCTTTCATAGGGAGGAAGAGAGAGACAAACAGACAGTTTCTCCTGCTTGTTCTTGCTTGGAGATTGAAATTGAAGGTAAATAAGCTTGAATTTATGCTTTTTTATTCAGTTTGATCCGATGCTGAACTGGGATTTTTGCTTCTTGAAGTTTAGTATCATAAAATCTTTGATTTTCTTTACTCTATGACGATGTTAATATGTTTCTTTGAACTAGATCATGAATGTGTGTTGATATTCTATGATTTTTAAAGGGTTCTTTTCTTGTTGATCTTATTTTCTTGAAGATGGGTGGGTCAAATGAGAACAATCCTGGTCTTTTTGTGCCTTTAAACCTTCAAGGTAAGTCGGTAACATTGCTAGTCTTTCTTGCAGATTTTTAGTTAAGATATTTATTTCTTTAGATCATTCTTTTTTGGTCTTGTAGAAGGAACAAGAATGGGGAATTCGAAGTTTGCGAAGGACATGGGGCAGAATCAAAGGAGGCCCTTAAGCAGCATCAATCAGAACATCATTGGGGCTGCCCTCTACCCATCTGTGGTTAACGAGAGAGATAAATCAGGGTAACTTCTATTATATATGCTTCATTTTGATTGGATTTTTGTCTTAATTTAGTGAACTATGTTATTACACCTGATTATCTGAGTTGTTTTATACACGAGGAAACAAAAAAAAAAAAGTGAAAAGAACTCAGTTATTACAAGGATTTTTGTCCTCAGTATTTGTTATTCTTTCCAAAGTTGCAAGTAATTCACTTAATTTTTTTGTTTAGGGACATGGCAGCAGAAATGGTCAGAAACAAGCAACAATTCTATGAAGTAAATTTATGGACTTTTTATTATTTGTTAAGCAAATTGAATTGATGTTTTAGTGAAACCATGAAATTGATTTGAACTGTTGGGATTTATTACGATATCAGGAAACTGAAAAATCTACCACATTGGAGTTGAAGCCAAGTAGCTATGAAGACTGTTCAATAATAGAAGTGGAAGAGTATGATGGTGCTGCGATACCGATGTTCGTGAAGCACACAGAGGCTATGCTAGATGAAATTGATAGGATGGTATTTCTTTTTATCAAACCTACACATTTAAATAAGGTTTTTCAGTGTGTGTGTTTGTTCGCAGGCTAAAGGAAAGTATCAATAACTCCCCTGAATTTTTGTAGGAGGTTGAAATGGAGGATGCAGAGGACTCCATTGTGGATATTGACAATGGCGATTTGAAAGATCCATCGGCAGTTGTTGAGTATATAGATGATATCTATGCTTACTACAAGAAAACTGAGGTAAATCCAATCTGCATTAGGAATTCATTCCTTAAACTTGTTGGCATGTTTCACTTAGTGAAGTTAACCAAAATATTATTATAATTTAGGTAATTCAATCTATTTTGAGGCCTGTCTGCATTGTGTGACTTCTATTTGTTTTTTCTTGATTTTTTCCAAATAAGATGTGGATTCTTGAGGAAAAAAGTTGAAATTATGATTGAAAGTCTATTGCGATAATACAGTTTAAGGAATTCCTCTAAAACAAGTAACTCATTAGTTGCAGCAACCTTGTGTGGAAGATGGATCAATCTTATTTATTGAACAGGATTCATTTATGCAGGGCTCTGGCTGTGTCTCTCCAACTTATATGGATCGTCAATTTGACATCAACCAGAAGATGAGGGCTATCCTTATCGACTGGCTTATTGAGGTACTACTCCGACCTTGAATTGTTTCTTGGATCGAAAATGTTGGAGTTCCCTTTGCAATTCTTTGAAGCACTTTTGTGGACAGAATTTTCCATTGCGCTTGAAAAACCTTAGCCTATGTTTAACCAGTATCCTTAATGATAGTTCACCATCTGACTAGAGATAGACCCATTTCCAGAATAGGTGGTCTGATTGTCTGGTTGTTTGATTCAATAGGTCCACTACAAATTTGAGCTTATGGACGAGACATTGTTCCTAACCATCAATCTTATCGACCGGTTCTTGGAGCGTTGCACGGTGGTCAGAAAGAAACTACAATTGGTTGGTGTGACAGCAATGCTAATAGCATGCAAGTATGAGGAGGTCTCAGTCCCAGTAGTGGATGATTTTGTGCTGATATCAGACAAAGCTTACACAAGGAAAGAAGTCCTTGATATGGTAAAATTTTCTTCATAGTCCTTCTCCCTTTCCATCAATGTCACTTTTTTTACTATCTTTAATGTTGCTTGTAGGAGAAACTAATGGTGAACACTTTACAATTCAACATGTCTTTGCCAACCCCTTATATGTTCATTAAGAGATTTCTCAAGGCAGCTCTATCTGACATGAAGGTAAGAAAAGTAACCGAGTAGTGAGAAATTCTTGGGAAAATAAAAAAAATCACCTTTTAAATTATTGATTTGCAATGGCTTGAACAGCTTGAGCTTCTCTCCTTCTTCATTATTGAGCTGTGCCTAGTCGAGTACGATATGCTTAAGTTCCCCCCATCTTTACTAGCTGCTGCAGCAATCTACACTGCTCAGTGTAGTCTCTACCGGTTTAAGCAGTGGTCTAAAACCTGCGAGTGCCACACCAGCTATACAGAAGATCAGCTTTTGTGAGTATTTTGCACCATTGATTACCTGACTTTGTGACTAAACTCTGATGCGTACTGATGAATGATTTTTCTTGCATGCCAATAGGGAATGCTCAAGAATGATGGTTAGTTTCCATCAGAAAGCTGGATATGGGAAACTCACTGGAGTTCATAGGAAGTACAGTACATCCAAGTTTGGTTATGCAGCAAAAGCTGAACCGGCCCAATTTCTCTTATAGCCAAATGTGCAAGGAGCTATATCTTCTTGCAACTGGGAAACAACTACTCTTTGTTCAAGGTTCCCTATTTGTGTCAAAACAAAATTAGTGTCTTGTTTATTACAACATCTACCTTGTAATTTGTGAGTTTGAGTGAAAGAAAAAACTGGCTTTTTCTTTGTAAGAGCAATCAGATACAGTTTACAAATCTACCTCGTAATTTGTGAGTTTGAATGAAAGAAAAAACTGGCTTCTACCTTGTAAGTTGTGAACTTGAATGAAAGAAAAAACTGGCTTTTCCCTTGTAAGAGTAATCAGATCGCAATCTGTTGGCTTCATCATTTGTTGGCAGCTGTTGGGGCAGTTTTTGCTTATAGTTCAGTTTAACTAGACATTCAGGGCAATAATCTCTTCTCTTCTTTCCTGTTGACATAACGTAATTGCCATAATGTTCCACATCTATAATAACCTCGGGGAGTGTCTTCATCCCATGTTCCTACATGAAGCTCTTAATTTCGAGTAAGAGAATCCTTTGCTGGAAATAAGTTTTACTTTTTTTTTTTTTTATTAATTATATTAACTTTTTTAAAATAGTCAATTAAGTATTTTTCATCATACTTATACCGATTATTCAGTTATATGATGATGTGTCACATTCTCTTTACACTATAATTTCGCGCTTTATTGTTTTGAAACGGACTTTTTATATAAAAAGTAGAAATTGTCAAAATAATTTGAAAGCGAAAATTTCCTATAATGAAAGTATAAAATCATAATTTAGTAGTTTAAGATAAATGATGCATTATTAAATAACGATACAATTGATAGAAGTTCAATGAAAATACTTGAATGATATTTTAAAAAAATTATTTAAATGAAAAAATATAAAAAAAAATTGATGTATTTATATTGTAATTATCTTAAACAGGAAATTTCATAATTGAAGATAACCAAATTCAATCTCATGTATAGGAATACAACCATTCAAAGTTAAAATCATTTTTATTTTAATAAAATAGAAATTCATTAGTATAATATTGATCTTTGCATGTTTTTTTTCCCCTAGATAAATGAAAATTCATTGAACAAAAAGCAATCAAAAGAGGTAAAAAAATCTTATTGCAGAGTCCAAAAGTACAAAAAAACGTATGTATATGCTACATACATAAAGCTAAACTTCATTAGCTACTAACGTTTGACTTCGGCCCCATTTCATGATTTCAATAACATAAACTCGAGGGAAAATATTGATTGCAGGGATAAATATGAGACAAAATAAAACAAGCGGACCATGTTGGAAAATTACAAAGGCAACAGGTACCAAAACGGATTGTACAAGTCATTAGCATTGAAAGGACGATGATGCCCCTGTTTTTAATGTTGCCCTAGACCTGAGATGAAAGGCTAAGATGTAACATTGCTCGAAATCAACGGCTTATAAACCTCATTCAGCCCTTTAAATTTTTCTTGCCTTATTTCTAGATTACTCTGCTTCTTGTGCTCTCTAGGGTTTCTACTTCCTGCCAAAGAAAGAAGCCGTCTCAGAGATCAAAATGGTGGGTTCATGTGATTTGGTTTAGTTTTCTGGTATTATCTGTTTCGTTCTTTAACTGATCTGTTTTTTGGACGTTGTTAAATGGAAGCCTCTTCCAAACGATATCGATTTGCTGAACCCACCAGCAGAGCTTGAGAAGAGGAAGCATAAGCTCAAGCGTCTTGTTCAGTCCCCAAACTCTTTTTTCATGGTAAATAAATATACCATCCATTTGCCTGTCTTTATTTTTTTATTTTTATTTTTTTGTTTTATTGTTAATTTTTTTTTATCATATTTTCTGAAAAAAAACCTGCAGGATGTGAAGTGCCAGGGTTGCTTCAACATGTAAGTGCTGTCATGGCCTTCGTTTGGAGGATGAATTTAAGCCTTAGCTGTTTTGGGATTGATTGTAGTGTTTTTTATTTATTTATTATTTAAATGAACATATTTTGTGCAGAACTACTGTTTTCAGTCACTCGCAAACTGTCGTAGTGTGTGGGAACTGCCAGACAGTGTTGTGCCAACCAACAGGGGGCGTGCCAAGCTTACAGAGGGGTGTTCTTTCAGGAAGAAGAGCGAGTGAAGATTGTGATAAATTACTGTCTGCTTAATTCTTCTTGCCCTTTTTGGTAAATTGTTCTAGAGTTCTTTCTTAGGCAAAATGATGACGAATTGAACTAAGTTATTTTGATTTTGATGTTTATTTGTCTTAGGTTTTCTCTATGACTATGTGTATGAGATTTTGGATTTTACTTGATGGGAAATGCTTTGAATGAATGTCAGTTTAAGTCTATTGTTATGTAGATTTTGAATGTTGTAGTTAATTATAGTTTATGCCTCTTTTGTGGCTCCAGGGGAATCTGTTAGGCTCTTACAATATGCTGTATTATGCATCTCAAGCTTTTACCTGCTAGTTTGTGAAGATTAGTTGATGGTACCATTGTGAATGTTGTTATTTAATTAGCCCCTATTACAATAGTATTATTAGTTAAGCACTTAGTTTTTTAGCTTTCTGTTTTGATGAGCGTAGTGGGTCCTTAGCATTCTTTCTCACTTTTTCCTTAATTTTGGTGATTTAATTTTGAGTTTTATTAATGATGATGATCAAAGCACCTAGACAATCCTACCATGTCCTGTACTGTTGTAGCTGTTAGAAAGTGTCTTTACATTCTCCAGTTTGCACCCCACTGTGTGACATCTTTTGGATTGAATGGATTTTTCATTTTGGATAATGCATGTATTTCCTGATGGAAGGATGATGCATAAGTTCCCGGACTTGTGTTTCACTTTGAGCTAGAGCTTTTTTGATTTGAGATTGCTAGGTGATTGCGTGGGTACTTTGGTTTGTAATTTAGGCGATAAAGAATTAGGCACGGTCTTAATGTTTCTTGGGTGGGATGGCATTGTGTTCTAGGGAACAAAAGTATGGCATTGTAAAATATGCTGCTGGGAATTTTTGCTCACATCTGTTATCTGATTTGGTACAACGTTCTGTTGTATTTGAACAAGGTTCCATGCCCCTTGGATAGGATTTGTAGCATGTATATTTGTGTAGTTATGGTTTACGTATACAGTGAAACCAATCTTACATGGGTGCCCTAAACTATTCTGTAATTTAATCTAGTTTTGTTCGACGATGGGTTTCTGTTTTTCATCTTGGTATGAATTATTAGGGTTTCTTTATCCTATAATGTTGAAATTGTGACTGACTTTTTGATAGCGGTCAGTGCCGAGTCTCTATATTAGAAAGATACAGCATGAAGCACAACATGAAAAAATATGGCAAAAAGTTGGATGTTATTTCTATTCAAGTAGTTGAAGGCTCAGGGCTGTTATCAAAATGCATCAAAATTGATCTTCTTGTGTGGTAATTAGCAACTAAATTTTTTATTTTCAATTTTTTTCGAACTATCCAAATTGATCTTGTTTTTGCCTGCAATGGTAATTTCGTCTTGGTTTAAGAAAACGTGATTTCAGTAATTACTCCCACAGTTTTTGCTTCCATTTTCGTGTAATCGAGTTGCTTGTGTTATTGTTGATTGACCCTGTTAGTCCTACCGTAAAAATGAATAATAGCAGGGTTATAGCTCTGCACATCTTGTCTTGCAGGCCGTTCTGATGATTTGGCCAAAAATGGATGCAAAGGCCAAAAACTCACAGCCACCACCCTTTTTTTTTTTTTTAAAAAAAAAGGGAAGCTTACTGCTTTGAGAGAATTCGATGCAAAAACCTGTATTGTTTCGGATCGTCCAAAGGTTGGTTGAAAATGGGGAAGCAAACGATTATTTATGGACACACTACCTGAAATACTAGTATTTCTCTTCAATCTAGTTTGAAGAGTTAACTCCCAACTTCCTCTAAAGACATCAGTGTCATCCTACAGATTTTTTCTGAAGAACCATCCTCATCGAGAGGATGTAATGTTGCCTCGTGTTTCTTTATCAAGATTGTACTTTCTTGTGAAGCCCTAATTCTATTTCTGAAAGATCTGTTTACCCATGGAGGCAGCCGATAATTCTAGTAGTTAAGGAGGCTTGTTCTCTTCTTAATTGTCCAAGTTCGAACCTTGGAGCCAGCCGATAAGATCATTTAGTCTCGGTTAATATAAAGGTTGCTTTGATGATTTCTCAATATTTAGAGTCCTTTTCCTACAGTTTTATTGTGCACTAGTCTTTTTAGAGTTACTGAGTACAGTAGTGTTTTTAGGATTTTTGATTTGTAACCATTCATGTGAGCTTTGCTCTGTGCTGCGAGGAGGAGATCCTAGATTTGAAGTCTGTATGGATCTCAAATCTCCATGTCTAAAGCGGATGAGCAAGCTATTGGATTGGAAGTCTTAATGAGCTTGGACTACATGATCTGTATGGATTTCATCTGAACTCGAAAGCCGAAGTTCATTCCTTCGGTCTAACCCTCTTTCATGCGAGAATTTTCAAGGGGAAATGGATTGTGCAATTGGACGTTTGGTAAATTATTGGAAAAAAGAACGGTAAAGAAGACCCTATCCACACAATCGGCTCTTCGGTAGAAGCCCAACATGCCAAGCATAACAAAGAACTCAAAATGACTAATTGATTATAAAGCATCCTGAACTTTCAGGTGACATGAAAACCATTTTTATTCTGATTGGATCTTGAACCTTTTTTTTTTTTTTTTTTAATCTACAATCATAATTTTTTTTTATGTTTTTGTTGATTAATCTCATGTAATATTAGATATACATAATAGATATGTGAGCCATTAAAACAATGTCATGTTCTTTCACGTCCAATCACTCAAAATTAGGGATGATAATTTGCCTTGCCCCTCTCTATCTCGATCAACACAGAGATTTCTCGGGTTTATTGAGAACCCCTATCTCGTTTTGACTTTGAACGGGGATTGGGCGGAGATAGTATTTGCCTATTCCGTCCTTTTTTTATTAAAAAATTATAATTATATATAACATATATCTAAACTCTAAGCTTACAAACTAATCTCCAATACAATAAATAAGGTTTGATGATCTATAAACAGTAAAGACATGCAAAGATTTATGTTTTTTAAATGTATTTGTAATATTTCATTAACTTAATTAAGTATATTATTGATTCGATTGAAAACAATTTAATTATGAGTTGTGTTGTAAACTTATAGTTGAATATGATGTTAAATAATTGTTTTTTTTTAATTGTATTTTTTATATGAACTATTATCTTTCTACTATAGTTTAAAATTTGATACAAGATGATATGAGATAGACTAAAGCAGAACGGACGCAAAGAATTAAACAGGAGACCGGTGCTCTAAAGGGATTGTTCCGCATCGGGTACGAGGTGAGGACGAGGCGGAGTTTTTCAAGGGCAAGGCAGGGGTCGTGATGGCCATCCCCATCCTGCCCCGTTGCCATTCCTACTTGACATTAGTTAACCAGATGATAATTAAAAAAAAAAAAAAAACATGATACTTTAATACCAATTAGCAGCTTAAAAACACACAGGGGCAATTGCACCATTTTTAATTTGGAGTTTGGACTCTGGAGAGCATCTTCCCACATGTTTTAGTTGTAGGATTATAATTTTGAATGGTTTCCTGGTCAAAGCTGTGCCAAAGATATGACTGTTATGGCAACATTATTTTCAGACTTTATCATGCTGTCAAAAACAAACTAATTTCCATTTAGTGTAGCAGAACACGAACAAGCACCTAATTTTACACATTTCTTTCATCGTTTCCAAGAACAAGATTTCTGAAGTCATTGGTTTTTAAATTAAGGATGGTGGTGAATATCAAGCTAATCTGAGGGGACTATGTTGTAATTCATCCTTCTTGAAAAAAAACTTCCAACTAATCACATTAGCAACATACGTACCTTCAATTATTATCATACAGGAGATGACAAAAATAAAATTAACAATAGGCTCATCCAAAAAAAAAAAAAAAAAAAGTCTCTAGGGAGAAATTTTAGTACCTAAGACCAAAATTTTTTACATTGTTAAAGACCATGTAATCCTGCTCATAAATCATTAATAACTTGGTAGGTATGAATCCACAAGGAACTTTGGAGCACTGCTGGTGATTTCATATTCTACAATTTGCAGCTGCACGACAGAGAAATTACCTTAACAAATTGCACCATGATGTCAAGTAGTTTATGTTCATATTGAATTAGTTTTTACTTACTACAGTACACAAACTGATTGAAATCGAGAGTAACTCTGCCTTGCTTCGTTGTATCAAATGAATTAAAAAGATTCCTGCAATGAAAGAAATGAGAAATCATCCGTAAGAGCTTAAAGTAGATTATCTAAACCATGCACCATAAACAATCGAGGAGGAACGCACCGAGAAGACTGTACAAAGATGCAGAGAGATATGAAGTCATCTAGACGAATTCTTCCATTCTTCTTTTGGTCAAAGCTCTGAGCAACAATGGGCAGAATTCACATTTCAGTACTTATAACTAAATCAAAAGAATCTGACTCTTGTTCATGCAAGGGATCAGTTCCTCACTTGATAGGTTATCAAACATAAGTAGATTAAATATACAAGTGAGGAGGACTAGGCAACGGGCCAGTTGAATTTAATAATGAATTCTGTATACAAGCATGCTAGATAACATAAAGCCAGATCTTCAAAGAACGAAGGCTGTATCTAATATCTTTTCGACAGAAATTTATGATCTCACCCATAATATAGAAGTGAAAAAGGCCTTTACCTCACAAACTGTGCAAAAAGAAGGAGAGTCCAATGCAAAACCAATTTTCACCAATCCCTGCAAACAGGTTTTTGTCGTAAGAAACCAGATAATTAAGAAACAAAGAAGAGGATAGAGACAGAGGAAACCCATGTACTCTATTTCATGGATGTCTTGAAACAAGAACAACCTAAACAGAAGCACAAAAACTATGCTTAGGTAGACTATATAATAAATGAAGGAATTTATTTTTTACAGGACATATTGTGCCAGGAATCATGGGCAGCATTTAAAAGTACATTTATTCAGTCACAGCTAAATAACATTCTTGGAAAAAAAAAAAAACCTACCTCATATACATCATCAGGAACAAGATATCCGCGCCCCCTGTAACAATAAGATAGAAGCAAAGAATAGGTATGTATTTTTACACAAGCAAATCCAACCATTTCCAACTTAGGAGAAGAGAGACAGGAAAAAGGTGTAGAGTTCAAGCATTTACTCATCATTGTAGATATAAAGCATCAACTCAAACATAAAATTTCAAAAGCTCAGATTTTGTATGCCAAACAAGTCCAAAGCTGCAAACAGTACACGAATCCCAAAGATCTTATTGCTAAAGAATAACCCTACAGCAACCGAACACCAGAACCAATGACCAATCATACTAAAATGACTACAGAACCAAAGAACCATTAATGATAATCACATTTCGTTTCAGCCTCTACCAAAGCTAACTTTCGCCATTAATATGGAAACAAAGATAAGTATCCTATCAATTCCTATTTGAATGCTTTTATCTAGCTAGAAGAATACATTTACTAGAGCTACTAAAGGGAACAAACACAGACAGAATTCCACTATGTCACGACACCAAACCATAAAAACAGCTTACAAGGTAGGACAAAAAACAATCAAAGTCTACTTTGTAGCAGAAAAGCCACTAAATTTACCTCTCAAGATCTGCGAAAGCTTGTTGAACCTGCAAAGAACCAAAATAAATCACTACAAAATTCTAGTAAAAAAAGGCCACATAAATATTTCATAATTAGCTAGATAACAACATAACACACAAAAATATAGCCTTTTACACCTTGAAATGGACAATTCATGATGAAAGCACTAACCTTTAAAAGGAATTTATTAAGCCCAACAAATTCTGCATAAAGAAAAAGAAACGAAATTTGATCAAATCAACAAACAATAAACAAAACCCATTTCAAAAGTCTAAAACTTGAAGCCAAAAAGTGAAATTCACCATCAAAACTCATAGTTCCATTCCTATCAAAATCATACATCCTACACCACAAAAATTAAAGAATCTTGTCAAAGGAAAGGATTTGTGCTAAAAGAGAGATCAAAGAAGAGTGTTGACAAGTGGGTTACCTGATCATTTGTTGGACAACAGAGAGAGGAAACTCAAGATTTCCAACAGCAAGGGCACTCTGATTATTAATTAATTAAATTGATCATTAGAAGGAGTTTAGCCTTTTTAAGCTACAAAAAAGAAGAAGAAGGAGAAGACGGAGGAAGCCAAGACAGAGGAGGGGGAGAGAGAGAGAGAGAGAGAGAGAGAGAGAGGGAGACCTTGAGCTGAGTTGCAGTGATGTTTCCGGTTTTCTCTGAGTCAACTCGCTCGAACCATTCTCTTAGCATAGTCGTGTTCTCCATTTTCGTAGCTGCTTGCAATAGGAACAATAGCTATCAATCTATTACTCAAAATTTTGTCTCACTAAAAAGTTTTTGGGGGAAACTTCAATATCATTCCTAACTTCTTACGAAAATCTCAACTTCATCAGATATAAAAAACTTCATCAATTTAGTCCCTAAATTAAAATATTTCTGTTTTTGGTTGGCTGAAATTGGATACGTCACACTTTCATACTCTCTTTTAACAAATAATTCCCAAAAAATAAAATTCAAATTAAACTAAGAAGGGGCATTATTAATTGGCTTTATTATTAATTTAGTGTCTAAATCTATTATGTCTTTATCTCAAATATTTAATTTTATATCTCAAATCTATTCATTCATAATAATATATAAAAAATTATATACTATCCATGAGGTAGAGTTTAAGGAAAAAAAATTCTTGTAACTTGATAAAATAATTTCAAATTCAAATTCTTATGTATACAGAAAACTTTTTATATATAGATGGTTGAGTATGAAATACTTTGAAGATCTAAAAAAATTTATTATAATAAATTTTCTTTGGCTTCTTTAAACGATGGAAACAGAAAACATAAATGTTAAAAAAAAAAAAAAATTAGAAAATTTTAACAACAAAGCATAATAAAACTATTCAAAAATACAACATGATAGTAAAATTGAAGCAACAAAATTATTGACTAGTCAATTCATATAATTATGAGTAAATTATAAATTAATCTTTCTAATTTTGAGAAAAAAATTAATTATTTAGTCTATAATTAGTGTTGAGTATATTTAATTTAATATTATTTTATTTAAAAAACTTTATGTTTTAATAAATTCTTTCATATTTTTACTTGTTTTTTCTATTTTTAAATAAACAATTGAAATAAATTGAAAAGGAACGAAAAATTAAATTTTCAACAAAATATAAAATATAAAAATTAAATAATCAGTCTTTGAACAAATTCATCGCTCGAAACTAAAAAGGATTAACTTATAATTTTTGAATAGTTAATTGATATAATTATAATTGTATAAAGCCATGTGGGACCATTTTTTTAACGAAAGTCATTACCTACACCATAAAATTCTTTTTTTTTAATTAATTTATTTTTATTTTGTCGCAGAGCTGAATCATTTCGCCTATCCCACTCACCCCTCCAATTTCCTTGCCTTCTTCAATTCAATTTGGACTCAAGAACAAAGAAAAAGCTCAGCTGTAAGCAAAATTATTTTCTATTTTTATTTATTTGGATTTTTATAGAAATTTAATTCAAAATCTCTCTGTTTTTTTTTTTTTTTAAGATTGGTTATGGAAATGGGAAACTCAAATTGTGCTGTATGAAAGTTAGCATTTGAAGGAGAGGAGAAGGCGATGAAGTATTTACAGGATCTCATAGGGTATTATCTTTTGAGATTCTCATCTCCCTTATGGGCTACTTTGGTTGCTGGTGCTTTTGTACTTGTGACCTTGTCTTTGTCTTTCTACCTCTTGTTTGAGCATCTTTCAGCGTACAAGAATCCCGAGGTGATTGTTTCTTTCCTTATTTCACTGTCTTGTTTTTAAAATTTGAATGAGTTAGTTGAGATTTATAGTTGAATGTTTGGTGGGTTTTTACCTCGCAGGAGCAGAAGTTTTTGATTGGGGTTATCCTTATGGTTCCTTGTTATGCTGTAGAATCGGTGAGTGAGTGATTTTTTCAGCTCGATTGATGTTTATTCTGTGAAAAGTTTGAATTTTGAATAATGGGTTGTTTGAGTTTTTGAATTTGGAGAGGTGGGGGCTTTTTATTTTTCTAACAGGGGTTATTTTGAATAGTTTGTGTCGTTGCTGGAACCATCGATTAGTGTTGATATTGAGATACTGCGGGATTGCTATGAATCATTTGCTATGTATTGCTTTGGAAGATACCTTGTTGCTTGCTTAGGTATGTTTCTTACTAAGTTTTTTCTGTGCAAAGAAGGGTTTTTATCCGGAATTTGGTTTAATTCATCTTGTATAGTTTGTAATTTTCTAGATTCTGTGGTGGTATTTTTTTTGAAGTTGTTTATTAATTCTGGATAGTCTGATATTTTCCTCTCTATGGAATTGATATTTCCATGTTTTTGTCCATGAATTCTGTTATGGAAGTCAGAATATTGGAATGTTTTTTAGCAGCCATAGGCAGTTTCTTTCTGTACTTTGTAGTCAAATTTGTTGGTCCCAAGAGCACAGATGTTCATGATGTAGTTTTCTTGAATACAAGTTGCCTTGAAACAAAAAAGAACTTGTTGAACATAGGCTATGTATTTGTTTCCGTTCTGACAAATTCAATGGTGTGCTAGTTTCTTTGAAATGTGCAAAAATTAAAGCATGTGAACATATATTTTAATAGTCTGGGTAAAGTAATATATGATGCAAAGTTGGCCTTTTTCGCTGGAAGAAATCCGTTGGCATTGTCACTATGAGGTATTGGATTCATGTGTTCATGTTTCTTGCTTACACATTCAGAGAAAGACGTGAACATGGTCAAATACATTCTACAATGCATGTGTAGTAATGCTCATGTCTGGTTGAGTGCCAATCTAGTTTTGAATATCATCTTACATCATTTATGTCAAATTGCAAATTGCAATTATGTTTATAAGTGAAAGTTTTGTTCTATAAAGCATGAGCCATAGCTTTATGATTTTCAATTTTTGTCTATTAACATGACATGTGAACCTTCTATGTTATTGATTTATAATCATATACATGGATGAGGTATTTCCCTACGGTTTTCTTTAATTATTTTCCAGATTTCCTTTTGTTTTTTCTTCTGGTGTTGATATTGTTATTGTTGCTTTTTTTTCTGTTGTCTACTTCTTAAAGGTGGGGAAGAAAGAACGATTGAGTTTTTGGAAAGAGAAGGTCGCTCTAGTTCCAAGACACCCCTTTTAGAACATAATCATGAAAGGGGAATTATAAAACACCCTTTTCCATTGAATTATGTTTTTAAACCATGGAAGCTTGGTCAGTGGTTTTACCAAGTTGTAAAGTTCGGTATTGTTCAATATGTATGTTTTCTTTTGAGAAGTTCTATATTTTGCAGCTCTTTTACATTTCCCAATTGCAGTATTCTTGGTTTGGAAAAAAACAATGACTTTCATCTTTTTTGACAGATGTTAATTAAGTCTTTGACGGCTGTTTTAGCAGTAATTCTTGAAGCCTTTGGTGTATATTGTGAAGGAGATTTTAAATTGAGATGCGGGTAAAGTTGATCTTGATTCATACATTTCTGACATTCATTGCTTCTTTTCTTTATTGAAGCTTGAACCTTTTGTTTTCCATAAATGGTTTTGTGGTAATAATAGAGGTTGAAAATTATCATCCTCACCCCAATTTACTTGTGAGTTCATAGTTCAACTGTATATTCTTTAAAACGGTCATTCCATTCCATGTGGGCTCATTGTCTCATTGGTGAGTATGTGTATAATGATTCTTACTTTTAAACTGGCCCCAAGCAATGAGTACTTTCTTTTAAAGGATATCTCTTGTCAAAATCACTAGTACATTAGCATTCCATATTTATGTTCCTAATTCCTTAGCATTCCCCTGGTTTTGTAGGTATCCTTACATGGCGGTGGTTCTAAATTTCAGTCAATCTTGGGCTTTGTACTGTTTGGTGCAATTTTACACTGCTACGAACGATGAACTTGCTCACATAAAACCTTTATACAAGTTCCTGACGTTTAAATCAATTGTATTTTTGACTTGGTGGCAAGGAGTGGCAATTGCTCTTCTCTACTCTTTTGGTTTATTCAAAAGTCCGATAGCTCAAGGCTTGCAATTTAAGTCAAGTGTCCAAGACTTTATCATTTGTATAGAGGTAGATATCTTCCATTACTAAAGGATCTCTTTGCTGTTTCATACGTAAACAATTCTTGCCCTTGGTGGTGTAAGATAATCTGTTGCTGTTCTAGTAGCTGTATTTGATATCATGAAGTGAATACGTAAATGTCTTGGTTGAATCAAATTTCTGAACTACTAGTTATAGCATTAAGTTCTTTCATGGACGAGGCAAGAATTTATCACAAGATAAATGCAAAAGTTATGTAATTCCAACTTGAGTGTTGGAATACCTATGACAGAACAAAAGCAAGATTTTGTTTTTCAATAAAAAGTCACTGCATCAACGAGTGCTTTCTATTATTTGTGGATGGTTACATGAGAAACTTAAGCATTCTAGGAAGTGAAAATGATTAATTAGTTAATCTCTGGAGAGGAAACTATGGCATGTTGCTGATTGAATGAGCTTTAGGACAAGAGTCAATTGAAAAGTGAATTGGCAGCATTCTGCAATTTAGGGCTGGTGAAGCTGGATTCAAGTTGTTGAACTAAGGTGATGCAGCGAGGAGAGGAGCAGATAACGGTCGTGGATGTCACAGTTTGGAAGGTGGGTGATAAAGGGTTGGATGTAGTGCCCTTGGGCTTTAGCTTTAGCGGTAAAGGGGAGAGGAAGGGTTTGAATAAAATAGACCTGACTCAAATTTTATCAATCAAGAAAAATAAAAATAAAAGAGTGCTCAAGGGGATGCACTGTTTGGTTGCTCATGTAGCTTATCTAGGATGTCATTTCTGTCTTAACAATCAGAAATGCTGGACACATCAACTTCGCTTTATTTTATGGGGCCAGACTGATCCTTTTTTGTTATATGGCTGTTTAAACTCTCTTACAGAATGTTTTATGGGCCAATTCGTTTTGTTTTGTTTGCTCTGGGGATTTCTGCCTTGCAATTTTCTTCAGAACTAAGTGAAAAAAATGTTGTTATTCTACTAGTATGTTTGTTCTGCAGAAGGTTTGCCGTGGAATAGATGAGAGACATCTGATACAAAGTTACATTGATTATTCACTAAGACGTGCTGATAAACTTTGCTATTTGGCATCCTGTTTACTGCAAGATGTGATGAACATGTTTAGTGGTTATGGTGTAAGCAAAGTTACTAAGTATTGTTGGTCCTGCGTCTTTTACTGCAATGTGCTACATATATGTCAAAAGTTAATATTTGATTAGTGAACTTTTCTTGTAACTCTTGTTATAATATTCCTGGGGAATGCAACAATCATCTATGTCTGTATCTCTTCAATAGAGTTTATTACTGCTTTTATCTCATTCAAAATATTGAAGTTTAACAGGTCTATGTATTCATCCAGCACAGATGGGCATTGCTTCTGTCGTTCATCTGTATGTTTTCCCTGCCAAGCCTTACGAGCTAATGGGAGATCGATTTCCTGGAAGTGTTGCAGTTCTTGGAGACTATGCATCTGTTGATTGCCCTATAGATCCTGATGAGGTTAGAGACAGTGAGCGGCCAACGAAGTTACGCCTTCCTCAACCTGACATCAACGATAGGAGTGGAATGACCATAAAAGAAAGTGTCCGAGATATTGTCCTTGGTGGTAGTGAATTTGTAAGTTTCTTTCATTTAGCTTATTGTTCGTCGCAATTGGAATATATCTGTGCAGTCGCTGACCTGAAAACTTTAATAATGCTGCAAACAAAAGGAGTTGTTGGTTGAGTATCAGCTATATCAGTTTTAGTAAAAACTAAGTGAAAGCCAGCCTTGTCCATATGGGAAAATATGATAAAATTACCAAGTGTAAAACATAAATCTGGCAATGTTTACTGTGTTAAACTTGGTTTGTTGAAGTACAAGGCATCACATTTATCTCCTGCTGAATCAGCTGCTGGCCTCCCTTGCAGATTGTGAATGATGTGAGGTTCACCGTAAACCAAGCAGTGGAGCCTATGGAAAAGGGAATTATAAAGTTCAACGAGAAATTGCATAAAATTTCTCAAAATATGAAGCAGCACAACAAAGATAAGAGAAGAACAAAAGATGACAGTTGCATAGCAACGTCTTCACCCACACGGAGGGTCATTCGTGGAATTGATGACCCTCTTTTAACTGGGAGCTTCAGTGATACTGGGGTAGCAAGGGGGAAGAAGCACCACCGCAGGAAGTCAGGATATACCAGTGGAGAAAGTGGGGGAGAAAGTAGCAGTGATCAAAGCTACGGTGCATATCAGATTAGGGGTCGTAGGTGGGTCACTAAAGAGTAGAGTCCTTTTTGTTTAGTCCTCCAAAGCAAATTCAGTGGTAGCAGATCAGGGGTCGAAGAACAACCAGAGCAAACAAAGTCAGAAAGATGTCTTGTGCTGGCATTCACATGAGCTATTATTTTTCTCTGATGGGATGGTTGTTGGCTGACATGCATGAGAACATTTAACTCTTTGACAAAGAGACTGAAGGTTAGGGCTCAAATTTCATCCGAATCTATCTTTTCATCACCCGCAAGATCCTCCACGATGGGGTTGCCATTGAAATGTTGTATAGAAGTTTAAAAAATCTTGGTTGTGAAAAACATTACAGCTATGGAGTTACTTTGATGTTTGAGGCTTGTTAAACTAATGTGTTAAATGTACATCAATAATTCCACTTGACATACTGTTTCACTTATTGATCATAAAAGATAAGAAATAGTGTATAAGATTGCTAGAAAAATTGGGATCTTTCAGTTCAATCGGAAAATTAAAAATCTGATTAGGAAAACAGGGTACCTCTAGCTAGACTTATTTTTCATTATTGACGAGGAAAGACATGTTGTATTTGGAGCTATATTTCTATGATCAAACCAGATTTTCATATGCTTTTTTGCTATAAAATTGAATTTAGGTCAGCTTAATGGCTGGATCTGTATGTCATATCGAGAACCTTCTGTTCTGCTTTGTGTTAACTTCACCTTGATGCTTATGTTAGTTAATCTGGAGTAGTGATCCAATCTGTCTTTATTTAACGGGTCTAATATGTTCTTATAGTCTAAAATGATTTAGTTATGTTGTATTTTAAGTGAGTTTTTAATTGTCTTTCTGTCAGTTTTTTAGATCAAACCACTAGAAAAAAGGTTTTTTTTTTTTTTATTTCAAGAGCATTTTTTATTTTTTATTTTTAAAAAACAAATTAGTTATGTGCAAGTCATGTGATTTTTTCTAATTATTTAGCTAAAAAATTCATCATAATGACAAAGTGGTAGAAACTCGCCTAAAATACATATGTATAATTAGTTTATTTTAGAATATAAGGATATATTGGATTCTCATCTCATTATAGAAGGACAAAATGAGCCATTTCTCCAATTAATTTTGAACAAGATCAAGCCTTCCAACATTATTGGATCCATGATCTAGTTGGCAAATGTATCATTTTGATCCATCTTTTGACTATTTCATATTTGCTTGTATAGCTTGTGACACCTTTTCTGCATACTTATTTCTTTCAAGATGGCAATCCTCATTATTCTCTCTTGGTATCATCTTCAGTTTGATCATGCCCAAGTCAAGTTTCCTGCTTACAATTTTTAATCTCCAAGTCTCCAACCCTTTAAAATTTTCTGTCTATCAATCCTATACTCAGTTCTCTTTTAGGAACAAAACAAAGAAATCAGGAAGAAACAGCTTCAAAGACGGATGGTCTCCCACGTGAGATCATCCTGAACATTTTGTCAATGCTACCGAAAACATCTTTACTGCAAACCAAGTTTGTAAGTAGAACCTGGCGAAATTTAGTACAAGATCTACATCTTGTTAACATGCACTTTTCTCATGTTGCTAAGAATGATCCTGGTCTTATCTTACACTGCCTGTGCTTTCTGAAACCAGCTTTTCTATTTAGATATCACTTCGAGCATTTCAACCAACGAGATGGTGAAGAAAAAGTCCATGTTCCGACGATGCCAGAATTTGATATAGCAGGTTCATGTAATGGCCTTACATGAACCTGCTATGCTTGTGTGATTCCTCAGTTAACAATGCATTTGTGTACAATCCTTTCAGCAGGACTTGCATTGAGCTGCCTAAATCAACACAGTGTTTGAATCAAGAGGCTATGTTTGGATTGGGTTTCCATCCGAAGACGAAAGAGTATAAGGTGGTTAAGATACTGTCTTATACAGATGTTGTTGCAGGTTTGTCAGAATCAAAGGTTCAAGTTTTAACTATAAGCAGTCTTGCATGGAGAAGTTTGGGAGAGTATCTTACCATCGAATTGGGACTCAAAACTAGGGTTTTGCTTAATGGAAGGCTTCATTGGCTTAGTTGGATTCGCAGGCATTATAAACTTCCTATTATTCTCTCCTTTGATCTCGCAGATGAACAATTTGAAGTAGTCCCAAAATCTAACTGTTGTGGCTCCAATAGGTGTGGCTATCAACTTCTTGTTCTAGGAGATTGTCTTTCTTCAACAGCATTTTGCAACCAAGGAAAGTTTTAGATATGGATAGTTTTAAATCACGGACGGTTAAAAAAAAAGATTGCGATCGCTATCGCAGATCGCGACTTACTATAAACTAAAATAATAATAATGGGAAGCTCTGAAACCGTTACATAACGGTCATTATATAACGTAATGGTCGTTATTTAAAACTATATAATGAGGGATGAAAGAGTATGGAGTGGTGGAGTTTTGAGTCAAGGAGTACAGCGTAGGAAATTACTTGCCAAGGGGTTTGGAATACAATACAGATGAATCATTTAAGGTTTCTAAGTTCTATTCGAACAGTGGATTTGTTAAAGTCGTATGCCTGTTGAAGAATGGTGAGAGCTGATTGGAGCATGAATGCAGGGCTCGGGTTACTTACGATCAAAAGCATGGACATTCAAGGATCTTATGTGACATGGGATGCCAGGCTTATTTGAAGCAGTACTTCGTGTTGGTAACCTCCTCTGGATTGACTCAGATATTGTGATTTAGTGTGCAAAAATAAGGAAGAGTTTTCTTCTCATAAACTCTGTTTACTCTGTTCCTTTTTGTTATTGCTATTTGCTATGCCAAGTCTGTATTGCTGCTGTCCTTGTGTCTGTATTTTATCCAAAACAAATTGAAACTGAAAGGATTTTTTATTAACAAACTGATGCCATTTCTCATCAGAAAAATCATTGTTGCTTCAGGAAGGATAATAAGTCTGAACAAAATCAAATTGCTGAAGCTTCAAAGTGCATTCAGTCAACATGAGTTGTAAATTATACAACTGATCTAAGTTCCCCAGTAAGCAGTGCAAACTTCCGGTGCTGAGACAAGATGGAAGGGACCTTGGCTGCTTGAATTCTTGATGCAAAGTCACTAGAGGAGGACTCTGTGTTTTGATTGGTTGCGTTTAGTATTGTTTGCAAGATTTGCAAGGGGTCACCATGGCTCACAATCAAGACCGCACACCTGCACAGGAACAGATAGTTTAAACAAAGCCTTTACAGTCAATGCTAACTTTCACATTAAATTCAAGTTGAAAAACAATGGGTTGATTTTATGTCACCTGAAACGTTCCATATTTCCTATCAACACCTTAATTGACTATAAAGGGCATAATGTACTAAAACTGTTAATGCCAAAGAAACACAGACATGCTCACCCGTGAAATTCTGACTCAATAATTGCCACAGCACTTGCAAGTCTAGTAGCAACATCGTTAACACTTTCTCCACCTTCTGGCCGCATGAGTGGATCTTTCTCATCAATTGCCCATATCTCTGAATACTGTTGATAGAAAAAGAAAAAAAAAAAAACTCAATTGCTAATGGCGTTCCTTATGGTGAGACGGAGGGGTTTATTGAGGCCACAGTAGCAATGTATCTCCATAACAACTTGAGTACTCAACCTTAGCATATACCCGTACATAAGACCCTTAATCTAGAATATTTATGGCAAGAACATCTAAAATAAATTTCACAAATGTGTTACCTTATCATGTGTAAAAAGTTCAAATAAAGGACCAAAATAGCGTTCTCGAAGATCTTCCATCATCTGCCCAGCAGGATTTACTTTATAATGAGTGTTGAGGACATTAAATATAAAAAATGGCAAGAAAAACTCACTACATTTAAGGACCGAACATAGGTCCTTGCTGAGAGAAAAGAGACCAGAAGTTCAGCAGGTTATTGAGTAGCCCAATAGATTCATGTCATCCGAGGAGTCTACATGGTCAAGTGGCTGAATAAAACATAAGATAACCGTGCAACTTCTTTGCATGTTGAGGGGCATAACATCTAGTATGCCAACCCCTGCTAATTCATCGACCATAACTCAAACTTACAACCACAGTTGGTAAGGGTAACTCTATAAAATCAAATTATAGATGTTTTCCCCAACGAACAGCATTCTGGAGAGTGCCACTTTGCAAACAATTCAAGTGCAGCAGATGAGTAGATGCGCTAAATAAAGAATGTTAAATGGGTCAGATAACTCACTTTACATTGAGGGCCTTCAAAGGGAAGCTTCAAAACAGATGCAACAACTTTGGCAGTGTGGCTTGTTCTTGCAAATGGAGAGTAGCAGATGCGAACACTTTCAAGTGGTATGTTTCTCTCTTTCAATTCCTGCACAGATTATACAGTTAGCTGGATATGCAGCAAATTCTTAAATTAGCTAGGGGGAAAATCAGCAAGTGTAGTTAAACAATGCCAATTACTCGAGGGATAAAAAAAGTTCTATGAAGCTTTGGCACCTGTAGCTTTGGCACAGTATCATTGGCCGAAAAGGAATTCACGACGAAAAAAAAAAAAAAAGTCATTTGATTCTCACTATAATATGATATGTGATATGCTTCCAAGTTCCAACCTGTCCTCACAGGCTCAACTCTCACTGCCATATTCTCTCGTCAAACTTTCCCTCATACATCAATTATCTCTACCACAAATCCTAAAAATCTTTCATTTTGTGTCTCTTTAGCATGCACAGATGCTTCCAACAAAGCATCGCAACAGATTCTTCAAATTCAGAATTCCATCACTTTCTCATGTATTCCATTCTTGCATAATTCTTTGAGCGATATTTCTAGCTAACATATACATGCATCCTAAACCTCTCTAACTCTAGGAATCCAAAGATTAGTATCCTAAACCTCTCTAACTCTAGGAATCCAAAGATTGGTCTGAAAAAGGTGTCAATTTTTTTTTTTTTCCGAAATATAATCAGAACAGCCCTTCATCTTGTGAAGTATGATAATCACCAATACCGACAAAAGTAGTACAAACCCTAATCACCCATCTAGTCTGTGAAAATACATTACACAGGAAAACTGAACGCAGATTGAAAGGATAGAGCATGAAAAATGTAATCTTCTTGGGAAAAAAAATTCAATCTTTGCCCTGAAACACATACCTTAAGGAACAATTCTCCAGCCAACTGTGCCTGACCAACACCTTCGTCTGCTAATTGGTATTCTTCCTTGATTCCATTTTCCTGTTATAAGATCACCAACTGGTAAATAAACAAGCACCAAAACAGTTTTAAAAACAAAAGGTAGGAGTTTTTAAAAAGATATTTAGTAGTAACACCATAGAAGAAACAATAAGACCCTTTTCATTAGGAATGCTTTTTCCGTGCCTTAAAACCCAATATTTGTTTCTCAAAAACAAACTTTTTTCCATAGCCAAAATCTCTCCTCTCCACTTCTTTTGCCTGTTTCTGAAAATTAGCCATATATCCCCATATTTATTGTTTCACATGACTGACATGGCAGCACCTCATTGGTGGAATCAAGGAATAGTCAACAAAGTCAACAGAATGGATGCTTAAACATATGACGTGGTATAGTTCTATTGGAAAATCAGGACCCCACTATAATGGATCCGACCTCGTGGAATTCACGCAATATAAACAAACGCCTGACCTCTCGATCCTTGCCAGAGAGAAGCTAACAACAATGAAGAGATAGATTGAAGATTCAGACTACAGAGTAACAAGTTTACACTCCGAAATTTCACAAAGTTCAGATTTTTCTTCTTTTTCCTACGGTTATGGCTCTCAATCTGCGTCAAAAACAAACAGGTCAGTGCTTTTTCTCTGTTTCTTTCTCTCTGTCGATCTCTTATAGAATTAAGTCACAACCCATTTGTTATTACCTAGAGTTGAGCCCAGATAACCCTTAAAGTTCTTTCCTTTTTGTTGAATTTGGTGTATTTATTAAGCAAGCTTTGATTTTGATGTGAACCCATTTTGTATTACTTAGATTTGATCCCAAATTACACTGAATGTTTTTTCCTTTTTGTTTAATTTGATGTGTATATTGAACAAGTTTTATAATTTCAATTTTTTCTTTTGGGCTACAGAATGTATAATCCGAATGCTAAATCTGAACCAACCTGTGAATGCAACCGGTACTGCTAATGAAGAGGTTTACAAGATCTTGATCTATGACAAATTTTGTCAAAATATATTATCTCCATTGATTCATGTCAAGGATCTGAGAAAACATGGGGTTACTCTCTATTTCCTTATTGATAAGGATCGAAAGCCTGTGCATGATGTCCCTGCTGTGTACTTTGTTCAACCAAGTCAAGTTAATGTTCAGAGGATTGTTGCTGATGCATCACGTGCGCTTTATGATAGCTTCCACCTGAATTTTTCATCGTCAATTCCTCGTCCACTTCTTGAGGATCTTGCATCCGGGACATTGAATTCAGAGTCGATAGATAAGATTTCGAAGGTGCATGATCAGTATTTGGAGTTTGTGACTTTGGAGGATAATTTGTTTTCATTGGCTCAGAAATCTTGTTATGTTCAGTTGAATGATCCATCTGCTGGTGATAGAGAGATTGAGGAGATTGTTGAGAAGGTCGCTAGTGGGTTATTTTGTGTGTTAGCGACACTTGCAGTTGTGCCACTTATTAGGTGTCCACGTGGGGGCCCAGCAGAGATGGTAGCGTCCGTGTTAGATCAGAAGTTGAGGGATCATTTATTGTCAAAGAACAATTTGTTTACAGAAGGTGGGGGTTTTGCGAGCTCATTTCAGAGGCCGGTTTTGTGTATATTTGATCGAAATTTTGAATTATCGGTTGGAATACAGCATGATTTTAGGTATCGTCCTCTTGTTCATGATGTTCTTGGCTTGAGGCTTAATAGGTTGAGTGTGCCAGGGGAAAAGGGTGGGATGAGGTCGTATGAGTTGGATAGTGCTGATCCATTTTGGGTGGCAAATGGGTCCCTGGAGTTTCCTGAAGTTGCAGTGGAAATTGAGACTCAATTGAACAAGTATAAGAAGGATGTTGATGAGGTGAATAGGAGGACTGGAGGAACTGATGGGGCTGAGTTTGATGGGACAGACTTGATTGGGAACACAAAGCATCTGATGAATGCTGTGAACTCTCTGCCTGAATTGACAGAGCGTAAGCAGGTGATCGATAAGCACACGAACATTGCAACTGTTTTGTTGGGTGAGATCAAGGAGAGGTCTCTTGATTCCTATGCGAAAAAAGAGAATGACATGATGGTCAGAGGAGGGATTGATCGAAATGAACTTTTGGGTGTGCTTAGAGGGAAAGGAACCAAGATGGATAAGCTCAGATTTGCAATCATTTACCTGATATGTTCTGAAAGTATTAATCCGTCAGAAGTGGAAGCAATTGAAGCTGCTCTAAGGGAGTCTGAGGTTGATCCTTGCGCATTCCAGTATGTGAAGAAAATGAAGTCCTTGAATGTGTCATTGGCATCAGCAAATTCTGCCAGTCGAAGTAACATTGTTGATTGGGCTGAAAAACTTTATGGGCAGTCAATTAGTGCCGTGACAGCTGGTGTGAAGAATTTGTTATCTAGTGATAGGCAGCTGGCATTAACGAGAACTGTGGAAGCTTTGATGGAGGGGAGGCCAAATCCTGATGTTGATTCTTACCTTGTTTTTGATCCTCGTGCTCCTAAGTCTGGGACCAGTAGCAGCCATCTGAAAGGACCATTTAAAGAAGCTATAGTGTTTATGATCGGTGGTGGTAACTATATGGAGTATGGCAGCTTGCAAGAATTTGCACAGCGTCAGCAGCCTGTCAAGCATGTTATATATGGAACAACAGAAATTCTCACAGGAATGGAGTTTGTTGAGCAGCTTACTGTGTTGGGGCAGAAGATGGGATTGGGCAGTACTGTTGCTCCTCCTGCTCCAACCCCCTAGTGCAGGTATTTTTGAATATGCATTTTAAGGCCAGTTGTTTCATGGTTTATGCATTGAAAAAAGAAGCTGCAAATGCTGATTCAACATAAATGGATTGGTGGCAGAAAATATCTTGAAGCTCTGGTTAATAGGGGAGAATTAGGTTTTCTTCTTATTTCTTGGCTATCACGCCACATGGAGGCTTTTTGACGTAGAACTTCCACTTTCTTTGACAATCTGAAAGGATTCCTTTTCTGATGTTCATTGAAGTAAGAAACATATATGTTGTTTCTTCTTTCTCAAATATGATTGCTAGAGAATCATTTGTTAGTTTTAGTCCGTATACCCGCATGTATGAATGGTCTCTAGTTTCAAAATTTGTTAGATAAAGAATTGAGTGCTTGATAATTTTGTGGATGATCTTTCATTTTATTTGCGACTTCTAGCATGTCTTTCAACTTCAGATATAAAAACCAGAAATCTTCAACTATTTATGATATGGTTCGTTCCTGAGTCCTGACCAATAGCTTATGGTTTTGCTGTACTTATCTTTTAATTGAACCTTCCTTCTATCTGATCTGGTGTTAGCTGAATTAGACATTAGGAATCAGATGCTGGCATTTTTCTCCTCATTGTTCTTGATCCAGGTTGCAAAACATTGGGCGAAATAGTTACTGGTGTTTAAGAGTAAACTATAAATTAGTCCCTCTCTATTAGAGAAACAAATTAATTAGTCCTTATCCTTTCAAAAAACTAATAATTTAGTCTCTTTATTTTAATTCCGTCAATAACTTAGTTATTTCATAAATTTTCCGATTAGATTAATGATTTTTGTTTTTGCTCATTTTAAGTCCCCACCATTGCTGTAGCTTTAAGAAGCTCAAGCATCTCATCACCTTCCAAGATGAACTGTTAAAGAGGATCAAACTGCTATGGGCTGACAGGTAATGGTTTAGTAAGTGTAATTGGAATTAATGCCTTATATCTCAAATTTAACTAATTTTATCCTTAATTATTGATCAAATGTCGATATTTTTCTGATAAGATTTTCAAATTAAGCCATCAGAATTAGTCACGCTATTTGTACATGAAATTGTAAGAGTATTTTTGAAAAAAAAAAATAGTTATGCATAAATCACATAAATAATAAAATTCTGATAGGTAGATTAAAAATTATTTTATTATAAAAAGATAGATTGATCCATACCCACTTGTCTTCTTTTGGGCCTTAGTTTGGGTTATGTCTGGACATGAGAGACTTCTTGGTGGGCCTGCGAAGACGAGATGGTCCAAAACCTTTTAACACTACTTGGTCAAAAATCAAAGGGGACACAATAACAGTGTAATAAAATAAAATTACAGTAATCCTAAATAAATAAATAGAAAAAAATTGTAAATTTTAATTGAGGTCCAAAAAAAAAACATATATCAATTTAGGCTTCAAATGTTTCTTAATTGGATACTTTTATCAATATTTATTTATGGGTTAATGGCTCAATCTTTATTATTTATTTATAATTAAACTAATTTTATCATTGAATATTTATTAATAGTCTAATTTGTTATTCTACTAAGGTTTTCGAGCTAAATAATCAAAATTAATCTCGCGATTTGAGAATGAAAGCCTTTTATTTGACTAATTTGTAAGAGTATTTTTATAATAAAAACTAATTATGTAAATAATTTCAATGGTTTGATATGGAAATTCTGACAAAATGATAGATTGTAAACTTATTAGATATTTAAAGATAAAATCACCTCAATTAAATATATAAGGATATATTAGAAAATTATATCATTATATAAGGATAAATTATTTATTTATTAAATGGAAAACATCAACAAATATTAACAGAAGGACCGTATTGGAAAATGCCTCAAACATTTGAGAGCCGATTGATGAAATCTCTTGTTGTAGGATACAATTGAAACTAAATATAGCAAAAAAGGACTAAACTGAACGTTCCCAATCTTTTGACTTTCCCAGTTTCCCTTCCTTTCCATTCTAGCCTCCTCGATTGCCAATTTACCCGCTCTTTTCTCTCTCTTGCCCTTTAATGGCCTCAAAACCCTAATTTCAAAAATCAAACGCAAGAGGTTTCTAATTTCTCCAAGTCCCAAAACCTTCATGGCTCGCCGATCTTTCTCCCTCCTCAAAACCCTGACCAAATCCACCACCTCGTTCTCTCTAGCTCCCATCCCAACTTCCCGATCCGTCACCTACATGCCGCGACCCGGTGACGGAACACCACGGCCAGTCACCCTCATCCCCGGAGACGGAATCGGCCCTTTAGTCACCGACGCAGTGGAACAAGTTATGCACGCGATGCACGCTCCGGTTTATTTCGAGAAATACGAAGTCCACGGCGACATGAATCGTATTCCGCCAGAAGTAATCGAATCGATTAAGAAAAATAAAGTTTGTCTAAAAGGAGGATTGAAGACTCCGGTCGGTGGTGGTGTTAGTTCGCTGAATGTTATGTTAAGGAAGGAATTGGATTTGTATGCTTCGCTGGTGAATTGTTTTAATTTGCCTGGGCTACCGACTCGGCACGAAAATGTTGATATTGTTGTTATTAGAGAGAATACTGAAGGGGAATACGCTGGGCTTGAGCATGAGGTGGTTCCTGGTGTTGTTGAAAGCCTTAAAGTAATTAACTTTTTTGTTTCTTGTTTGATTGATTTAGTGAAAATTGCTTTGTTTATTCAAATTTGTTAATTGTATTGTTAATAATCACAGTCAGTGAATATGCGGGCCCCACTAAAGGGACCTATTGGTTTAATGTATGGGATTTTTCGGGAAGAAATTCCGGCAAGAATCTTTGGTAAAACTACCGTTATTCTATAGCCCCACTAGAATGTGAGCTGAGGGAGTGTGTGTAATCAATAGTCTCCTTGTGATAACTATGTTCTGTTTATTCAAATTCGAGTTTTTAGGAAAGTGGAAATGTTACAAAAACTGATTTGATGATTATTGGTTTCATGTTTTAATGAAAACTTTTTGTTGTGTGAGTGATTTGTTCATTTTTTTTAATTGTGGTGTGTTGATGATGATGATTGTTTTTTTAGGTGATAACGAAGTTTTGTTCTGAGAGAATTGCGAAATACGCATTTGAGTATGCTTATTTGAATAATAGGAAGACAGTGACGGCAGTGCATAAGGCGAATATTATGAAACTTGCGGATGGGTTATTTTTGGAGTCTTGCAGAGAGGTCGCGACAAAATATCCAAGTATCAAGTATAATGAGATTATTGTGGATAATTGCTGTATGCAGCTAGTTTCGAAACCTGAACAATTTGATGTAATGGTAAGTGATATTTGAAAACTTTGTTTGAATTGGTGTCTCTGAAGTATTTTATGCATTATTTGTTGATTTTGTGCGTATCTATGTTGTTAGTATGCAACTTTGGTTTTGATGCGATTCATATGGTTAGGGAAAATACCCTAGTGCGATTGTTATCAATGAATGTATTTGCATAGAATTTCAGATTATGATGGATGGTTGATGCTCTTTAGTCTGTAGACACAACACAAGGATACTAAAGCTATAATGTAAAATGATTGAGAATTAGACTTGTAGTTTTGCCTTTTCTTGCCACCTAACTGAGCTTCTTGCAGTAGCTGCAGTGTCCAATAAATGGTCTTGTGCATGCTTGATGATTAACTGGTTCCATCAGCAATTTTGACTTTGACCTTTCACTAATGAGAAGCTGTGTTATATTCTGAACAGGTTACTCCTAATCTTTATGGCAATCTCGTGGCAAATACAGCAGCTGGCATTGCTGGGGGCACTGGTGTCATGCCAGGAGGTATGAATTTGGTTACAAGTTCTAGTTCCGCAAAAGACTTTTCCCTACCTTATTTAATGAGTTATAAGTTAATGAATCCTAATCATGAAGCTGTTAGGAGCTTGATTGTTTCAAGTACTTTGGACCTCTGCTGTTATTATCAGCTCTATGAGCTTGAGCTTGCCTTACCATGTTTTTATGTTGACTACAGGTAATGTGGGAGCTGATTATGCCGTTTTTGAGCAAGGTGCTTCAGCTGGAAATGTAGGAAAAGAAAAAATGGTGGAACAAAAGAAGGCAAATCCAGTGGCTTTGCTCCTCTCATCTGCCATGATGTTGAGACACCTCCAGTTTCCTTCATTTGCTGACAGACTCGAGACTGCAGTGAAGCATGTAATATCTGAGGGGAAGTGTCGATCCAAAGACCTTGGTGGAGACAGCACCACACAAGAGGTGGTTGACGCTGTCATTGCAAATCTGGACTGATCCATTCTAGGAATTCTGCCCCCTAATTTTCAGTCATCATTTCATACAATACAATAGTGTCTTCCTGTGCAAAGTATCTTCATGCCACTGCTCTTTCCCTTGCTATACAAGTTAATCCTACTCCACTGCAGGATTATCTCATAGGGTGGCTGTTATTCTTTTTGTTTCTACTAAATAAGAATTTTCTTTTTTTGGTTGTGAGGAAATCAGGGAACATATTAATAAGAATCTGCCCCTGATCGTTCAGTTGGGTGAAAAGTTCTCCATTTGTTTCTTCCATTGCAGCTATATTGGTCTATCCTTCATTGGAATCTTGAGCCCTGGAACAGCTGATTATCCTCGCCCGTGGAGTCGGCTTTGTGCACCTCGTGTGTTCTTAAGGTTTGAATTTTGGCTTTAGCATAAATTATCAACGTAATGGATTATTTGTCCATAAATCTCTTCAAAATCTTGATACAGAATGGAAGAATTCATATTCAATGTCTCCATCACCGTTGCCAAGTCCCAGTTTCAGTTCTAGTCCATCATTGGTAAGATCTCCTGCTAATATTACGCAGGAGATCATAAATGGCATCTTTGTCCTGGAGAATCGGCAGTCTTTCCTGCATAGCCAGTGATATATGGTTTAATTTTGTCAGATTATTATTGTCAAAGTAATGCAAAACACTTCTACACAGCCTCCATCACACAGGATGCTTCTTTAGAAGAATGTGACTAAATGTTGTGAAAAATTCCTATGGACCAATCTATGCCAATTGGTTATGTGGAGAAGAATAATAGACAAACAATAACCACACAAGTACACAATTTTTAACGTTGTTTGGCACTTAAAAGCCTACTCCACGGGCGAGGATGATCGGAAAAATTTCACTATGAAAAAGTCTTAGGAGATTACATAAGAAACCTCGCTTGGACTTCATCACAGAAATCTCAAAAGTACAGTTCAATACATTTCAATACATAACAAAGCTTCTCTCTTAAACTCTCTCTCTCTCTCTCTCTCTCTATTTGTTTTGGTTCTCACTACACTCTAAGCCTTCCATGTGCAAAGAACTGCACCATATGTTTTGGGGCAGAAACGGGACAAAAAGCTTAAAAATTCCACCTACCAATGCTGACATTTAGGAGCAAGGGCCTTGCATGCATTAAGCAATCCCTCTCTTTAGGCTTGTATACATGCAGGTGGTAACTTAGATCACAAACCGTACCAACCAATTTCATCTTCGCCTTTCTTCGTGCATTTCATAGTTGTAGCCTTCCTTTGCTCTTAGACCGAGCATGGGCCTAGGTGTTTAGGACTCATGTAGAAGCAAACGAAGTGTCAAGCCCACTTATGCAAAGACTAGTTCTGGTGAAACTAACTCTGCTAATGCAACTTTTATCAACAAGATCCTTCAGTTATGCAAAGACCTGTACGATTGCAAATGCAACTATTATCAATTCAAATCAAGATGGTCACTTCTAATGGCCAAGTTTCTTGCGCATGTATAGGTCAAGGTATCGTACTTGTCAAAAATGTTTACCTCATTTGATGATCGGAAGTCTTCAACAGATAGAAGTGCTCAGCAGTCGGCATCATGTTGTAACCCTCAAGCCTAACCTAAAGTTCACGAAATGAAGTAACATCAAAACCAAATTATTCCACTCCTTATCGTTCTGCATACAGTTTATGTGAATTTAAACAAGGTAAATCTCAACAGGGCACAATCCACCTTATGAACTCTCCCATTTTCAGTACAAACATCGTGCATGTTCTAAACCTTAGTCCACGTTCCAAAAACATAAAATCTTTAGCCTCAGAGAACTCTGTAATATAATTTTTCTAACTATGTGAATATAAATATTGCTGTTTTGATTCTGTTTCTAGTTTCCTGCAAGGTGCTTTCCAACTAATGATAGCATCATACTTACCAAGTGCAGCTGGGGTGTAGTCCTTCGCTCGACTTCAGCAGCTGGCATATTTGCCCATAGTCCATTTTGCATCAACTTCAACGCAAGGGAGTGGAGGGTTGACAAAGCCCATATAAACTACCAAGGCTGAATAATGATCAGCTGCATTTTCTGATACAAGTCTTATCTTCGTCGCAGAGACTGCACCAAATCTTCATCTACCACCAATAACATTAGCAATGTAATTCATACAGAGAAGTTCAATAATTGTTAGAAATAATGCACTTCTTCAAATGCATGAGACCTACCAAAATGCCCACAGATTATTAAACCCTTGTGGAGGCAGAGGTGTTTCCTCGAAATGTCTCAGAGATTTGCAAATTGAAGGTAACATGATTGATTGCTGCTCCTTCTAGGCATTGATCAAATCAGGAGATGGACTGTGTATAAAATCACCATTGTTTGACTGAACAAGAAAGTACGTATCCCCTGAAAATATAGTAGTAATCATAATGATTACATACAATATCACAATAATTTTGGAGAATGGATATTCGAAGAAAGATGCAAACAAGAAAAGAAATCCTACGTTAGAACTGGAAAACAAATGGCCATATTTAACAACTTCACAGATTCTATGAACATCTATTTACTAAGGTTAACTTCATATCTATGCTACACACGTTCCTTTATTGCACAATTACACCCTCATAGAGAATATTAGAAGGTGAACCTTAGCATTATATCCTTGAAAAACATAAAACCGTCAACCTTAAAAATTTGTGATAACTATGTGAAGAAAATAATATTGGTGTTTCAAATTCTCTTTCTGGTTTCCTGCAAGGTGCTTCCCATTCACGATTACCATCATACTTACCATGCGTTGTTGTGATATAGTCCCTTGCTCAATTGCAGCAACTGGTGTATTTTCTGGGAGACGGCATTGCATCAACTTCAATGCAAGGGGAAACTCATATAAACAACCGAGGTTGAATCAGGATCAGCTGCATTTTCTGTTACAAAGATGGGACCTGTTCCTCCATTCTTTGAATTCCTAATTTGAAATCTGACACTATTTGCGGCAACTTGGTGAGCTAATGGAATCCCCAACTCTGCTGCAACCCATGAAGCAGAAGTGATATCTGCACATGAGCAAAGAAATGACACTGCCAAATGTGCTATTAGTTATAGTTATGAGACTAAACTTGGTAATAGGATGTAAGAGATATAAGCTGAATCATACCTGGAATTAATTTAACTTGAATTCCTTGCTGTTGCAGAAAATCCATCTCCTTTCCGTTGCTACCAAATACCTTTAAAACGCTGATATATGTCACTGAAAGCTCAAGTAGAAAGCACGTCACATTGCTTTCATTAGCTAACACTGCTAACATTTTAAATAAGAAACACACCAGCAGATCAACTCCTTTATGTCTCACAACAGCAGCTCCTACTTCAGCTGGACTCAAAAAGAAATTCATGTATCTTCCCCTACAAAAACCCCATGCTGGATAGATGAGTATTTTATGACTTAACTAGTTGGAGTAACTTTCTAGGTACATATTTACCTCAAGGACCATCTTCCACCATGTTCTCTACTCATGGCTTCCAAATTGTACCTTATTGAAGCAAAGAACCACTAATAAAATTAGCAATACAATTCATACACCAAATTTCAGTAACTGATAGAACTAATGCACATCTTCAAAAAAATGAGACCTACCAAAACATCCACAGTTGATTAAATTCTTGTGAAGGCATCTTGTTCGATTGCTTCTCCTGCCATGACTTAAGATCAAGGGAAATATCAACCAAGAGAAAACTTCAACTATGCTTAAGGGATTGTGCTGAAACTCACCAGCGGCTCACCTCCTTTAAGTCTCACAACAATAGCTCAGCTTCAGAAAAACTCAAGAGCAGTTTCTGTATCTCCTGCTGCAAAAATCCCCAAGCCAGATTAACAAGCTAAGAAATGAACAACTAAACAGAATACTAAATCAAAGTCGTACGAACTCAAAAATATTTTGTACTCTTAAACCTTTTCCAAGCTCACATTTATTATAATGGCGCACTGATTTTTGGGCTTCTTTGGCTTTTAGTTCTGTCCTGCGTCTTTCAGCTAACCCATGACCAAAAGCTGCTCTAGCTTTATCCAGTCTGAGACTGCTACGTTTGAATCTTTCCTTTGTCCTGGCTGACCTCAAATGCTCTCACTTGGTTCTCCTCATGGCTTTAGAATCTGTCTGCTCATAACAGACACTTTTAAGTAGAACAGAACCCCAAATCCAAAAATGCAAGAATCAGTACACCACCCCTGAAATCATGCATACAAACAAGCATTTATCACATGGACTACCAACCTGCCTTGCTTGATCTAGTCCTCTCCGCTATACTCTTACTTTTGTCCTTGCTGGACTCAAAATGATTACACTTTGTTTGGCTAGTAACACATCTAAATAGGAAAACACCTCGTGGCTTCAGAATACTAAAATGAAATAAAAGTATAGTAGTGCAGGAAAGTAGAACATGTGAAAGGCAGATTGGATTTATTATCTCTGTATATGAGCTTAGCAAAGCAAGTCTTGCTAGTGAATTGAAACAGAAGTAAATAGAAGTCTTCAAGATACTGAAGACAATTAGTTTAAATCATTGAAGTGTTTCCTTACAAAATTAGTATAAACAGCACAATGCCTTCGAGATACTTGCCTCTTACAGCAGTTAGCTAGCTCCTTGCCTGTGACTCAAAATAGAAAAGAAAAGCTAATAAGAAAATAAAATGAAGCAAAAAAGGAAGTATTCTTGACCTCAAAGAGAATATCAGAAATACATACCTCTAGCGTGCACTAGCGAAATTAAGCGCAAGACACCGATATGGAGTCTGCATTGTTTCTTCATCTCTGTTCAAGATCAAACCAGTCTGCTGATTCCTACAAAAGAAACGGAAGCTAAGAAAAGGAAAAGAAACAGAAACCATGGCAAGCCATAGCTAAATATGAATTGTTATAGTTAAAACAAACTACAAGACATAGTAACTCCCGCTTCAGCAAAACTCAAGAGCAGTTCATTTATCTCCTCCTGCATAGGAAAAAAAAAACATGCAGGATTTTAACGAGCAGAGCTTTGCACTGACAAACAGAACTACTAAATCATTGTTGAACGAACTCAAGAAGAATTTGGCCCCTTAACCTCACATTTTCGAAACCGGTGTCCTGATTTTTGGGCTTCTTTGGAATCTGGCCTGCCTCTTCAGCTAACATTAGAATCTTCCCCTTGTCGTCCTTGCTGAACTCATAGATCCAAGATCATAAATCACGAAGCTAGTAAGAAAATAACCTGAAACATAAAAGAAGTGATCATAACCAGAAAGAGAACATCACAAATACATAACTTTAGTGAGCAGGACAGTCAGTTTTCCATCTTCTGTGTTGTTGTGCATTCCCTTTCATGTTATATTGGGTCAAACATCAGATCTGTTGCAGTCTTGCCCTTAATTTTACCCACCCAACAAGACCTTGCTTTCCTTTTCTACCACATTCAAGAGACAGTACATTAGAATTCAAAATTGTACAAGCCCTCTCCTTTCTTCAAAATTGTACAAGCCCTCTCTGGCTCCTGCTCCAAAGCATAACCGAAAATGGAAAACACGATTGATACTATCAAACAACAACAAAGACATCCAAGTCAAAGTAAGCATAAGTCTCACAACAGTAGCTCTGCTTCAGCAAAACTCAAGAGCAGTTAAAAATGCTGGATTAACGAGCAGAGCTTTGCTCTGATAACACAAATGCCAAATCATCGTGGGACGAACTCAAGAAGACTTAGCAAAGCAAGTCGTTGTGAACAAGCTTAGCCAAGCATGTCTCATCAATGGATAAAAATAAAAATTAGTACTTGTAATCTGATAACACAAATTAAAAATAACATGTTTTTAAATCACTAAAGTGTTTCCTATAAAATTTGTAAAACCATCCCAATGCCTTCAAGATACACGTCCATACTGCAACTAACTCCTTCGCCTGTGATTCAAAATGGAAAAGAAAAGCCAATAACAAAAAATAAACTGATGAGGGAATAGAAGAACTTGAAAGATATAGTAGTAGTCATAATAATCACATAAAATATCACCATGACTTTGTTGCACATACCTGTCAAACATTACCTCGATAGAGGAAGGAGCTGTAATCTGTAGATCTTCGTTTAAGTCTACAATTCACTGAAATTATAAAGGAATCAGTTATTATCAGCTTTGCAAAGGAAAAGGACTGGATACATATAAAAGTCAGATAAACAGAAAAATGAAACCAAAAATTCAAAAAATAAAAACAAAAAGTACGAATAGAAAACCCACCTGAGGAAATTGATAGTCAGATTGTGCACCCTTACCCACCCCCACACCTTTCCTCTTAGTCCTACAAATTGATGAATGAAATGGAACAGAAAGAAAGAAAGGCAATTAAATCTAGCATAAAGAAATAAACATAATTGGAGACAGACAGATAGATTTGAGAAATTCAAACTTACCTTTAAATCAATATGTGGGATATGAGAAATCTTGGGCCACTCATAGCCTATACCCTCGGTGCAATTTAGCTTTAGAGCCGGAGTTTTTGGCCCAATACTCAGACTTGTTAATTTGGAGAGGCGTTGCATGGCTGTAGAACTTGGTAGACACCTCACTTTTGAACACCAATCAATAGAAAGGCTTTGAAGAGAGGAAAGGTTTCCTAACCAATCTGGAAGTGCTTGCTCAAATCCCAATCCATTGAAGTTCCTTATCTTCAATTTCTCGAGGGAAGTGAGGTGTTGAAGTTGATGGGGTATGCTCTTTAGTTTTCTCCATCCTGCTATTTCTAGGTATTCGAGGGATCCACTCAAGTGTTGGATTGAATTCATACCAGGAAACGCCTCCAATTCCTCTGAGAAAAGACCAATGCTCAACTGCTTCAACTGGGTGAGGCTGCAAAAGAAATCCTCCGGAAGACATCTCAAACTCCGACACGTGCAGATGTCTAATCGAACAAGAGAATGCAATCTTCTTCTATATAAACCATCAGGAACAGACCTGACCTTAGCACACCGAATAATATGTAATGAATGAAGACGAGAAGATGGCAGCAATTCTCCTCCTCCAAACACATCATCACCATCATCATCAAAGAAGAGGACAGACTTGTCACAGTCTTTGACTAGAAATTCCTCTAGAGATGGGCAGGATAGTAGCCTCCTCATTGGAAGACTGTTTATCCCACAATACGCAATTCTTACTATTTTCAGAGAATGGAATTCTCTGAAATCACAACCAAGACTAATAGACAACAAATTAAAGCACTGAAAAGCATAAAATTCCTCCAGAGCTGTGCAGTGTTGTAGGCTTGGTACGGATGCCAGATTATCGCAATACTTAATGCTTAAATATTTAAGAGATGATGGTTTGGAGGCATGAAATTCGCCACATAAATGACTCAATGCTCCGCAAGAATGGATTACCACTTTCGCAAGTTTAGATGAAAGATGAGTCATTGATGGAATGCTTCCCAACTTAGGACACCTCTCAATGTACAACTCTTCAAGGCAAGGAAATTGTAATTGTACTCCATCAGCTACAGCAGCAGCAGCAGGTACCCTCCATTCCTCAAGACTCCTCATATACGTCAGAGACAGTCTTTTTAATGCGCGAAACAAAGTTGTATCCTCACCACTCCTCCTACTACTATAAAACTCATTGCCTATACAACTTACGCTATCCATTCTTTCTATCTCAACAATTTCTAGACGAGGAAGATGACCAAGTGCTGCAATGCTTTTCAACTTCCCACACTCCTTAATGTACAGCTCTTCAAGGCAGGGTAATACCACAGCTGCATCTCCATCTCCTCCTCCTCCTCCTCCTCCTCCTCCTCCTTGAGGTATCATCCATTCCACTAGACTCTCCATTTTCACTAGAGACAATCTTTTTAGTGCTGGAAATATTGGATCCATACCACTTCCACCACTACTATAAAACCCCATACCTATACCTTTCACACCATTCATTCCTTCCATCTCAACAATTTTAAGATGAGAAAGATGTCCTAGTCTTGGAAGTTGTGTACACTCCCTGAAGTCTTTCAATTTCAACACCACCAAATTAGGGATGTCTGGAATCAAAAGCCATGGTGGGAATGCATCACCTCGATAATTCTCAATCTTTAAGCTTCTTATGTTTGGATGAGGCTGGAGACCTTCCAATACATCCTCGTCGTTCATGTTGCAGCTGCTGCTTCCTCTAAATGAACTCTACTCCAGTGCCAATGCGTTAATCTTTGCTTTTGCAAACAGGTTCGCTCCTTTGGCTTCTTCTTTGTCTCTCACATACTCCAAATTGCTTATTCTCAACTCCCCTCCTAGTTCCTTCAAGCACCCCAACTCTTCAACTTTGTGGCCTTTATCCGGACGCACTTCAAAGAATGGCAATGTTCGAAGACCAATTAAGCAACCGACATTAGCTGGTGTGCGATAACTAAAGTCAATATGTCTCAAGCTCACCAAATTTCTCATTTTTTTAGGAAGTTTTTTGAGGGACCAACAATAACGATATCTTAAGGTTTGCAAATGGTAGAGCTTCGTGATGGATTTTGGAAACATTTTGATACCTGTAAATGTAACGTCCAGATATCTCAAATGTTCCAGCCTGCCAATAGAAGCTGGCAGCTCTTCAATATCAAGACCGAGCAGCTTTAGAGTTCGCAAGCCTTTGAATTTCCAAGACTTGTTGAGGACATCGACCCTTGAGAATAACGTATGCAATTTTCTAGCATCGACCCTTGAGAATGACGTATGCAATTTTCTAGCATCTAATCCAAATTTTGATTCGTCTTCCTCATCACCAATGACCCCTAGATGACGAATACGAAGTGTACTGTCTATAGCTGAACCAGCCTCCAAAGTCTTTGTCTCTGGTTTTGACACTGACAAAGCAAGATCATGCACAAGATCGTGCATCTTGCAACCCGTTATATTCTCAAGCACATTCCTTTGGACATCTTGAAAAAGAGAGAGTGCAATCAGGTCACTAAAATACCTAGCACCTATTTCTTCCATATCTTCCATTCCTTCACGAGATGGCCTAAGTAACCCTTCAGCCATCCATAGCTGGATCAGCTGCTCCTTTTCCATCTCAAAACCTTCAGGAAAAATAGAACAATAAGCGAAACAGCGTTGCAGAGACGGTGAAGACAAGTGATCGAAACTTAATTTCAATATAGGTAAAATTCCATCATATCTTGACGCGTCAAAAGCATCACTGTTTTTTATTGATAGCCATTTTTCCCTCTCCCTTTCAGAATGCAACATTCCACCTAAAACTCTAGCAGCTAATGGCACTCCTCCACACTTCTTTGCAACATCTATTCCGATAGCCTCCAATTCTGCAGGAATCGGCTCCACTCCATTGCTAGTCACTGTGTTCCTAATAATTGACCAACATGCATCATCTGATAATTTTTCTGGTTCATGCCTAGATCCAAGAGAACTCTCCATTATAGATGAGGCTCGTCCACTACGAGTCGTAACAATAACAGCATTCCCACGATTCCTACTAATTTCAGCATTCCCATCATTCCTACTAATTTTTAACAAACGATCCTTTAAACTCTCCCACTTTCCAGGTTCTTCATTCCACACATCATCAAGTATGAGAAGAAATTTTTTATTCTCCAACCCTTTATGAAGTTGTTTCATTGTTTCATCTATTTCCTTGAAGCCACTGGTGGTCTCATTAACAGTTTGCAGCATTGCTCCTAAAATCCTTTCATCATCAAAACTATCAGAAACACAAATCCAAAATGTTACATCAAAAAGTTTTCTATTTTTTACTTCTTTATGCACCATTTTTGCTAGAGCGGTCTTTCCAATACCCCCCATTCCCACTATAGGGATGACAGAAAGAACATGTTGGTTGCAAGAGCTAATCATCAAGTTAACAATTTTAGAGACATCATCATCCCTTCCTATGACAACTTCTGAGCTGCCGAGGAAAGAGTCAGTCTGTCGGTTCGGACTAGGTCGAGGACTTGTATCTACAGCTAGGGCTCTAAGTCCATACCCAGTTGCATCTTTTTTAAGCTCATCTAAGGACTCCTTTATCTTTTGAACTTTTAGAGCCATACACAGACGAAATGCAATGGGGTTGCAGAGGGAGAAGAAGCTGCGTACCTTCCCTGCGAAACTGTTTTGAATCTCTACCTTCTGTCGAAGAATCTCGTAATCAAGCTCATCTAGTACATCTTCAGCATCATAAGCTACATCTCGAAGCCTCTCCAACCAAAGCCTCACGGACTCATCTGTTGCTGGTCTTTTCTTGGCGTCTTGTAACACTGCCTGCATCATGACCAATGAATCCTCCAGCTTTTCCAGCTCTCCCTTAAATCCCCAAGCAAGACTGATCCCTTGAGCAGCCAGTGAACCGAGCCTCTTCAGTGTCTCCTCCGTTGCGAATGAAAGGACTGTCTCAGCCATATTTTCTTTTTGGTAAGTACTGAGAAGAGAGAAATGCTTGGAAAGTTTTGGAAATAATAGAGGTAAAATGAAATTGTTGTTTGGAAGAGCAAAGTAGATAGCTTTTGACCCAACAAGATATAAACTTTATACTTTACCCTGTCTGAAGAAATGCATTAATGGCTTCTTTTGCATTGCTTTTTTAAAGAAAAATTGTTGTTAGTACTTTCCTTTGCCAAAAGAAATGGTTACGATTCCTTTCTTGAAACGGCATTCACTTGTTTCACACATTCACTTAAAACATCATTCGATGTTTCTGCCAAAAGAAAAGGTTTTGATTCCTTTCTTAGTCTGTTGCTCAAACGCAAGTCCCATGCTCAATCTGCAATGCTAATTTACTCGTAGCTAAACCAGGCAATGAGATCATTAAGTCTGTTAACTCCAGGATTATCAAGAGAATCAGCTATGTTGTTGGCTTTTTGTAGGACTAGGGGTATTAACCACCTAAAAAAAAAAAAAACCCACTAGCCGAGGCCTCTCTGTTTCGTTGAGAGACAACCTTATATTTTATTTTTTAGACATAGAAGGTGGAACCGGTATTTTCTGAAGAGAATGGAAAAACTCCAAGGTTCTAAGCTTGCTTTCCCCGTTTTCTAGCTGTGGCCCCTCAAAACCAACTAAATGTCCCTTTCAAAAGGAAAGTTGCTTGATGAATTAATAATTATGTTAAACCATGTCCTTTCCTGGGTCTCTCTTGTAGGTCATTCCCTAGTTTTTACTTCTTACCAGAACTAGTAAGGAAAGCTGCATGGGTTTTCTATTTGATTACTTCTGTACCATTCTGCACTCACATGTAGTTATAATATGGCATCTGAGATGATTTCATGTCCCATGACATATTTTGCGACATCTTTGGAAAGAAAGGACAGTACTGGTTTCCATTCCATGTTGCCTCCACTGCTCAAGACTGTGCAACAGCAAACAGCTGGGATTTTACTACCAGCTAAAGGATAGTACTGGTTTCTATTCCATGTTGCCTCCACTGCTCATGACTGATTGTTCTAGCACTTCTAATAATAAGGGTCTCTGCCTCTTTCTGCCCTCTTTTAGGTGGTTCACCAAGCTTGCATAGAACTGAAAGGTGAGTTCTTTGAGATCATTGTCCAAACCCAGCTGATCTAACTCCTCCAAAACATAACTAAAAAGGGCAAAACACAAGTGATAATATATAGCAAACAATTCAATAAATGGTTATAGTGTGAGTGTGAAAAGTCAATTAGTATCTTTAGGGTCAGTACAAAATCAGAAAGAAGATAATAAATAGCTACGATGTTACTGTGAGGAAATTGTTGGTAGCCAGTGTGGGCGGGCATATTAGTGTGGAGAAGCTCATAGGGTTCCGTGCTCAGTTTTGACAAATTGTCGGTTTTTGCTAAGAATATTGGGAAGGGTAGGGGTTTCGACTTTATTGTTCATAAGAGTTAAGAGGCATTAGGAAGACATTAGAATTTAGAAGAGTCTTTTAAGGTTTTTGAAGGAGCAAAGTTACAATATTCACTTGCTACTAAGAATATTAGTAGCAATAATAAGTGTGCTTTTTCTGGAGCATATTCCTGTATTGGTGCTTTTGCGGGTGAATCAGGCAGAGTCGAATCCATCATTTGCTGCTGCAAGGGTTGGAAATGTTAAATAAATTTCGCGATGCTAATTGTTACTCCTTCAACAGATTCGATGCTAGAGAAGCAATCCATTGG